AGTACCATGGCTTGTTGTAGTGTTTTAGAATCTCAGGTTCAAGTGTTGAAGAAGGAGATTCTACTTCCTCAGGAGGAAAATAGGAAGCTGAAGCTTCGTATAGATGAGTTTGGGAGTGACTGTGAGATAGTTGGTGCTGGTAAGGAGGAAATGGTCACCGGCAGTGATAGTGACAGCCGCTTTTAGTGGCAAGTGGTTCACAGCTCAGGAAGAAGGAAGATAAGGAGGGTTAATAAAGAAGATGTGAAGGTAGGAAATCGATTCTCTGTTCTCCTTGACGAGTGCACTTCAGTGGTTAGTGAGGTTAAAGGTATCACTGACTCCCCTGCTAATTAAAGTAAGAATATTCTAATTGTAGGAGATTATCAGGTAAGATATATGGACCATGCATTTTGTAACAGAGATAGGAAGGTCAGAGAGAGGTTGTGTCTCCCTGGTGCTGGTGTTGGTGACATAGTCAGCAGGCTGGATAATATTACGTCAGGTAATGGGAACAAGCCCATTATCTATCTTAGTGCTGGGGGTAATGACATTGGGAAGGGCAGGAGACAGGAGCTGCTGGATAAGTACAGGTCAGCCATAGAAATAGTTAGGTCTAAGGGAGGGATCCCAGTCATATGTAGCATCTTGCCTAGAAAGGGAGTGGGCAATGAATGGATGTCTAGGGCAATTGGTATAAATTGCTGGCTAGACAGGTACTGCAAGGAACTTGCAATCCCATTCATTGATAACTGAGACCTATTCTTTGGCAAACATGATATATATGCAAGGGATGGGGTTCATCTCTCTTAGGATGGAGTGGTTGCATTAGTTAATTCGACTGAGAGGGTAATTGATGACTTATCTAGAAATTTAAACTGATAGATTATAGAGGTATGGGTGTTTGTGGGAAACAATCAGGCTGCAGCATTAGGGTTAAAAACAGTAGATATTACCAGGATACCTCAGGGATATGTTTAAAAGACATATTCAAAATAAAGTTCCTAATAAAGGCAAATCAAATGATCAACAAACAAAGATAGTAAAGGGCAACGAGTGACTAGCTCCCTTAAGGTTTACTATACAAATAGTAGGAGTCTACGAAATAAGATAGATGAGTAAAGATTACTTGCAAGTGCAGGTAATATAGATATTATTGGTATAACAGAGACCTAGTTCAACCTGAAAGATAGAGAAATGCCTTCTGAATGCAACATACAGGGTTATAAACTATTCCACACTGATAGGGTCAACAGGAAGGGTGGTGGTGTGGCGATGTATGTCAGAGAAAATTTAAGTTGTTGTCTTAGATATGATATAAGATTAGAAACATCGAACACAGAATCTGCTTAGCTACAGTTTCTCGAGGGACGTGACAAATTAATTTTGGGTGTGATTTATAGGCCCCCAAACCTTGATAGGGAGGGCAGTAAGCTGTTATGGGACGAAATTCATAAGGCATCTAGATATGAAAATGTTTTGATAATGGGAGATTTTAACTTTAGACAAATTGACTGGAACAATATGACAGGAAATCTTGAGTCTAGTGACTTTCTTGATATGGTTCAGGATTGCTTTTTAGAACAGGTTGTGACAGAACCAACTAGAGGAAACAATCTGCTTGACTTGGTCCTTGCCAACAAAGATTCACTAATTAATAATCTTGAGGTTTACCTGGAGTTTACCTGGAGAGGGTTTCGTGGGTCAACGCCCCCGTGGCCCGGTCTGAGACCAGGTGTGAAAATTTGTCTGGACTGCCTCCAAGTGAGTCACCTACCCTGACAAACTCTGTTGACACCGAGCTCTGAGGCCGGTACCTCAGCCTCACAAGTGGCTTATAGGACAGATTTTCACAAATGATTGATGTTGCAAGAAACTCGCCTGCATGAACGTATAAAGGACTAACTTACTTGGTGTTGCAGCAAATATCCTGATCTTCAACCTTCCTAAGCTTAGCCCCTTTGGACTTCCCCTCAGAAACCACGTGCAACCGGGAGCTTTAATTCCTGCAATATTCAATCGTTATTAGTGACCTGACTGCACCTCAGAAATTCCTATATCCAAGGGGGTGTGTATCCCCTAGTACAACTATGCAGACACGGACACTAGCTTCTAGGTAGACAAGAGACACTGGTATGTACTGGGCATGCACTGCCAGTTGCATACAGGCCTACAGTTCAACTCACTCACAATTTTTCCCCAGACACTGGCCAGAAATCCTAAGAGAAAGTGGAGGTCTTGTCTTACTGTATGGGTCTGATGGAGGTCATCTACAGTACATCGAGGTGCCTCTACCAGATTTCCCCAGGTCTCAAATGTGAAGACACGTGGGGGGCGCCGTCTGCTGATCACGGCACATGTTGTCCAGTTGGTGTCTGTCTTAAGAAGAAGGAGCTGGTCTCTCTTCCAGACCCTCGTCTCTTCGTTCAAACTAGGGCTGCCAGATTTCCCTAGCTAACTTATCCTAGTGTTTGCCTACATTATCGGCCTATTACTACCTATGTTAAGGTCTTAGGTCTACATTATTATTATCTACAGTTGCCTTAGTAAACCTAATATTAATATACTAACAGAAAAACTACCTACTCCTTCCCTGAAGGGTAAATCTATAAATAAATAAGTGCCTACCATCAATCGCCAACCCGGGGAGAGAAATGTGTTTATGTTCGGGGAGAACGCTTTTTGTTTGGGTGAGTTTAAGGGCCACCCAGCTCAGCTGTTCCATTACGGCCATGCCGGATCTGTCCTGTGGAACTTTAGGGACCAAATAAATTTCCACACCAGGCCTCATGGTGGATCAGGGTCTGATCAACCAGGCTGTTACTGCTGGCCGCACGCAAGCTGACGTTATACATAGTTACACTAGGGGATACTCACCTCCCTTGGAATCAGGAATTTCTGAGGTGCAGGAAGGTCACTAATACCAACTAAATATTGCAGGAATTAAGTTCCCGGCGGCACGTGGTCTTGAAAGGGAAGTCAGAAGGGGCTAAGGCTTAGGGAGGTTGAAGACCGGGATATATTCTCCAACACCAAGTAAGTTAGTCCTTCATTCATGCATGCAGGCGAGATTTCTTGCAACATCAGTTATTTATGGAAATGCGTCATATAAACCACTTGTGAGACTGAGGTGCCAGCCTTAGAGCTCGGTGTCAACAGAGCTTGCCAGTGTAGACAGCTCACACGGAGGTAGTCCAGACAAATTTCCACAGACAGTGATAAGGATATGTGTGAAATTTTCAATACCTAATTCCTCTCAGGTTTTACCCAGGAAAATACTAGCGAAATTCCTGAAATAATAGATTATGTAGAACAGGACGATAATAAACTATGCACGATTATGGTAACTAGTGACATGGTTCTCAGACAAATAGAGAAATTAAAACCTAACAAAGCCGCAGGTCCTGATGAACTGTTTGCAAGGGTGTTAAAGGAATGTAAAGAGGAACTTAGTATACCTTTGGCTAATCTTTTTAACATATCACTACAAACTAGCATAGTGCCTGATAAGTGGAAAATGACAAATGTAATACCTATTTACAAGGCAGGTGACAGGTCCTTGGCTTCGAACTATAGACCAATAAGCCTTACCTCCACAGCAGGAAATTTTATGAAATCAATAATAGCCGAAGCAATTCGTAGCCATCTTGATAGGCATAAATCGATTAATGAATTTCAACACGGTTTTACAAAGGGGAGTTCCTGTCCTACGAATTTACTAACTTTCTTCACTAAGGTATTTGAGGATGTAGATCATGGTAATGAATATGATATTGTGTATATGGACTTCAGTAAGGCTTTCGATAGAGTTCTACATCAGGGACTTTTCAGGAAACTTAAGGAACACGGAATATGAGAAAAAAATTTCTGGGAAGAGGCATGGCTGACAAATAGGCAGCAGAGAGTTTGCATAAATGGGGAGAAATCAGAATGGGGGCACGTCACAAGCGGTGTTCCTCAGGGGTCAGTGTTGGGCCCGTTGTTGTTCACAATTTACATAAACGACATAAATGAGGGAATAAATAGAGACATAAGCAGATTTGCTAATGGCACCAAAATAGGCCATCCAATTCATTCTAATGAAGATATTAGAGCACTCCAGAATGATTTAAATAGACCGATACAATGGTCGGAGAAGTGGCAGATGCAGTTTAATATTGACAAATGCAAAGTTCTAAATGTTGGACAGTTAAATAACCATGCCACATATAAACTAAATAATGTAGATCTTAATACTACTGATTGCGAAAAGGATTTAGTTGTTCTGGTTAGCAGTAATCTAAAGCCAAGACAACAGTGCATTAGTGTTCGCAATAAAGCTAACAGAATTCTTGGCTTCATATCTAGAAGTATAAATAATAGAAGTCCTCAGGTTGTTCTTCAACTCTATATATCCTTGGTTAGGCCTCATTTAGACTATGCTGCTCAGTTCTGGTCACCGTATTACAGAATGGATATAAATGCTCTGGAAAATGTACAAAGGAGGATGACAAAGTTGATCCCATGTATCAGAAATCTTCCCTACGAGGATAGACTGAAGGCCCTGAATCTGCACTCTCTAGAAAGGCGTAAAATTAGGGGGTATATGATCGAGGTGTATAAATGGAAAACTGGAATAAAACGGGATGTAAATAGCGTGCTGAAAATTTCCAGCCAAGACAGGACTCGCAGCAATGGTTTTAAGTTGGAAAAAAATCAGATTCAGGAAGAATATAGGAAAGCACTGGTTTGGTAATAGAGTTGTGGATGAGTGGAACAAACTGCTGAGTACAGTTATTGAGGCTAAAACGTTGTGTAGTTTTAAAAATAGGTTAGATAAATACATGAGTGGGTGTGGGTGGGTGTGAGTTGGACCTGACTAGCTTGTGCTACTAGGTCAGTGACCTGACTAGGTGGGTCATTGGGCTAATCCGGAGGAGGACATGGACCTGCTTCGCATGGGTCAGTAGGCCTATTGCAGTGTTCCTTCTTTCTTATGCTCTTACTCACTCACTAACTGAGTCAGCTGACCGGCTACCGTGTAAGTCGTCAATGAACCTTATAAACCCCAACAAAAACAAGACCACCTTGACGGCTTCTTGAACCACCAGAACCTTGTTGAACCTTAATATACCACCACCACCAGTAGTAACACCACCAGCAGTAGCACCACCAGCAGTAGCACCACCAGCAGTAGCACCACCAGCAGTAGCACCACCAGCAGTAGCACCACCAGCAGTAGCACCACCAGCAGTAGCACCACCAGCAGCAGCACCACCAGCAGTAGCACCACCAGTAGTAACACCACCAGCAGTAGCACCACCACCAGCAGCACCACCAGCAGCAGCACCACCACCAGCAGCACCACCAGCAGCAGCACCACCAGCAGTAGCACCAGTAGCAGCAGCAGCTCAGGTAGAACAATTTTCACCATTAATAAGCTCACTAGACAACAATGTGATTTGTTTTTGGATGGGGGTGTGGGGGGGTACGAATGAACCAGCTGCTACTTGGTGTTCCTGGAACACCAGCTGCTACTTGGTGTTCCTGGAACACCAGCTGCTACTTGGTGTTCCTGGAACACCAGCTGCTACTTGGTGTTCCTGGAACACCAGCTGCTACTTGGTGTTCCTGGAACACCAGCTGTACTTGGTGTTCCTGGAACACCAGCTGCTACTTGGTGTTCCTGGAACACCAGCTGCTACTTGGTGTTCCTGGAACACCAGCTGCTACTTGGTGTTCCTGGAACACCAGCTGTTACTTGGTGTTTCTTTAATTAACACGTGCACCGTGTTCTGGAGCACCAGCTGCTACAGTGTTCCTGGAGCACCAGCTGCTACAGTGTTCCTGGAGCACCAGCTGCTACTTGGTGTTCCTGGAACACCAGCTGCTACTTGGTGTTCCTGGAACACCAGCTGTTACTTGGTGTTCCTGGAACACCAGCTGTTACTTGGTGTTTCTTTAATTAACACCAGCTGCTACCGTGTTCCTGGAGCACCAGCTGCTACAGTGTTCCTGGAGCACCAGCTGCTACAGTGTTCCTGGAGCACCAGCTGCTACAGTGTTCCTGGAGCACCAGCAGCTACAGTGTTCCTGGAGCACCAGCTGCTACAGTGTTCCTGGAGCACCAGCTGCTACAGTGTTCCTGGAACACCAGCTGCTACAGTGTTCCTGGAACACCAGCTGCTACAGTGTTCCTGGAGCACCAGCTGCTACAGTGTTCCTGGAGCACCAGCTGCTACAGTGTTCCTGGAACACCAGCTGCTACAGTGTTCCTGGAACACCAGCTGCTACAGTGTTCCTGGAATACCAGCTGCTACAGTGTTCCTGGAACACCAGCTGCTACAGTGTTCCTGGAGCACCAGCTGCTACAGTGTTCCTGGAGCACCAGCTGCTACAGTGTTCCTGGAGCACCAGCTGCTACTTGGTGTTCCTGGAACACCAGCTGCTACTTGGTGTTCCTGGAACACCAGCTGTTACTTGGTGTTCCTGGAACACCAGCTGTTACTTGGTGTTTCTTTAATTAACACCAGCTGCTACCGTGTTCCTGGAGCACCAGCTGCTACAGTGTTCCTGGAGCACCAGCTGCTACAGTGTTCCTGGAGCACCAGCTGCTACAGTGTTCCTGGGGCACCAGCTGCTACAGTGTTCCTGGAACACCAACTGCTACAGTGTTCCTGGAGCACCAGCTGCTACAGTGTTCCTGGAGCACCAGCTGCTACAGTGTTCCTGGACCACCAACTGCTACAGTGTTCCTGGAGCACCAGCTGCTACAGTGTTCCTGAAGCACCAGCTGCTACCATGTTCCTGGAACACCAGCTGCTACAGTGTTCCTGGAACACCTGCTGCTACAGTGTTCCTGGAGCCCCAGCTGCTACAGTGTTCCTCGAACACCAGCTGCTACAGTGTTCCTGGAGCACCAGCTGCTATGGTGTTCCTGGAACACCGGCTGCTACAGTGTTCCTGGAGCACCAGCTGTTTCAGTGTTCCTGGAACATCAGCTGCTACAGTGTTCCTGGAGCACCAGCTGCTTCAGTGTTCCTGGAGCACCAGCTGCTACAGTGTTCCTAGAACACCAGCTGTTGCAGTGTTCCTGGAGCACCAGCTGCTACTGTGTTCCTGGAGCACCAGCTGCTACAGTGTTCCTGGAGCACCAGCTGCTACAGTGTTCCTGGAACACCAGCTGCTACAGTGTTCCTGGAGCACCAACTGCTACAGTGTTCCTGGAGCACCAGCTGCTACAGTGTTCCTGGAACACCAGCTGCTACAGTGTTCCTGGAGCACCAGCTGCTACAGTGTTCCTGGAGCACCAGCTGTACAGGTTCTGAACACCGCTGCTACTGTTCCTGGAACACCAGCTGCTACAGTGTTCCTGGAGCACCAGCTGCTACAGTGTTCCTGGAGCACCAGCTGCTACAGTGTTCCTGGAGCACCAGCTGCTACAGTGTTCCTGGAACACCAGCTGCTACAGTGTTCCTGGAACACCAGCTGCTACAGTGTTCCTGGAATACCAGCTGCTACAGTGTTCCTGGAATACCAGCTGCTACAGTGTTCCTGGAACACCAGCTGCTACAGTGTTCCTGGAGCACCAGCGTGCTACAGTGTTCCTGGTAGCACCAGCTGTACAGTGTTCCTGGAGCACCAGCTGCTACAGTGTTCCTGGAGCACCAGCTGCTACAGTGTTCCTGGAGCACCAGCTGCTTCAGTGTTCCTGGAACATCAGCTGCTACAGTGTTCCTGGAACATCAGCTGCTACAGTGTTCCTGGAATACCAGCTGCTACAGTGTTCGTGGAACACCAGCTGCTACAGTGTTCCTGGAGCACCAGCTGCTACAGTGTTCCTGGAATACCAGCTGCTACAGTGTTCCTGGAGCACCAGCAGCTACAGTGTTCCTGGAGCACCAGCTGCTATAGTGTTCCTGGAGCACCAGCTGCTACAGTGTTCCTGGAGCACCAGCTGCTATAGTGTTCCTGGAGCACCAGCTGCTACAGTGTTCCTGGAGCACCAGCTGCTACAGTGTTCCTGGAGCACCAGCAGCTACAGTGTTCCTGGAGCACCAGCTGCTACAGTGTTCCTGGAGCACCAGCTGCTACAGTGTTCCTGGAGCACCAGCTGCTACAGTGTTCCTGGAGCACCAGCTGCTACAGTGTTCCTGGAGCACCAGCTGCTACAGTGTTCCTGGAGCACCAGCTGCTACAGTGTTCCTGGAGCACCAGCTGCTACAGTGTTCCTGGAACATCAGCTGCTACAGTGTTCCTGGAACACCAGCTGCTACAGTGTTCCTGGAGCACCAGCTGCTACATGTGTTCCTGGAGCACCAGCTGCTACAGTGTTCCTGGAGCACCAGCTGCTACAGTGTTCCTGGAGCACCAGCTGCTACAGTGTTCCTGGAGCACCAGCTGCTACAGTGTTCCTGGAGCACCAGCTGCTACAGTGTTCCTGGAGCACCAGCTGCTACAGTGTTCCTGGAGCACCAGCTGCTACAGTGTTCCTGGAGCACCAGCAGCTACAGTGTTCCTGGAGCACCAGCTGCTATAGTGTTCCTGGAGCACCAGCTGCTACAGTGTTCCTGGAGCACCAGCTGCTATAGTGTTCCTGGAGCACCAGCTGCTACAGTGTTCCTGGAGCACCAGCTGCTACAGTGTTCCTGGAGCACCAGCAGCTACAGTGTTCCTGGAGCACCAGCTGCTACAGTGTTCCTGGAGCACCAGCTGCTACAGTGTTCCTGGAGCACCAGCTGCTACAGTGTTCCTGGAGCACCAGCTGCTACAGTGTTCTGGAGCACCAGCTGCTACAGTGTTCCTGGAGCACCAGCTGCTACAGTGTTCCTGGAGCACCAGCTGCTACAGTGTTCCTGGAGCACCAGCTGCTACAGTGTGTCCTGGAGCACCAGCTGCTACAGTGTTCCTGGAGCACCAGCTGCTACAGTGTTCCTGGAGCACCAGCTGCTACAGTGTTCCTGGAGCACCAGCTGCTACAGTGTTCCTGGAGCACCAGCTGCTACAGTGTTCCTGGAGCACCAGCTGCTACAGTGTTCCTGGAGCACCAGCAGCTACAGTGTTCCTGGAGCACCAGCTGCTATAGTGTTCCTGGAGCACCAGCTGCTACAGTGTTCCTGGAGCACCAGCTGCTATAGTGTTCCTGGAGCACCAGCTGCTACAGTGTTCCTGGAGCACCAGCTGCTACAGTGTTCCTGGAGCACCAGCAGCTACAGTGTTCCTGGAGCACCAGCTGCTACAGTGTTCCTGGAGCACCAGCTGCTACAGTGTTCCTGGAGCACCAGCTGCTACAGTGTTCCTGGAGCACCAGCTGCTACAGTGTTCCTGGAGCACCAGCTGCTACAGTGTTCCTGGAGCACCAGCTGCTACAGTGTTCCTGGAGCACCAGCTGCTACAGTGTTCCTGGAGCACCAGCTGCTACAGTGTTCCTGGAGCACCAGCTGCTACAGTGTTCCTGGAGCACCAGCTGCTACAGTGTTCCTGGAGCACCAGCTGCTACAGTGTTCCTGGAGCACCAGCTGCTACAGTGTTCCTGGAACATCAGCTGCTACAGTGTTCCTGGAGCACCAGCTGCTACAGTGTTCCTGGAACACCAGCTGCTACAGTGTTCCTGGAGCACCAGCTGCTACAGTGTTCCTGGAACATCAGCTGCTACAGTGTTCCTGGAGCACCAGCTGCTACAGTGTTCCTGGAGCACCAGCTGCTACAGTGTTCCTGGAGCACCAGCTGCTACAGTGTTCCTGGAGCACCAGCTGCTACAGTGTTCCTGGAGCACCAGCTGCTACAGTGTTCCTGGAGCACCAGCTGCTACAGTGTTCCTGGAACATCAGCTGCTACAGTGTTCCTGGAGCACCAGCTGCTACAGTGTTCCTGGAACACCAGCTGCTACAGTGTTCCTGGAGCACCAGCTGCTACAGTGTTCCTGGAGCACCAGCTGCTACAGTGTTCCTGGAGCACCAGCTGCTACAGTGTTCCTGGAACATCAGCTGCTACTTCAGTCTTTCTAACAGCAACAAGTTAAATAACTTAAGTTTATTTAGATACACAGATACACTTAAGTACAATTATCATACTTAATTTAACATATGTGTAAATCGCCCAGCAAGATAACCCAAAAAAAGTTTTTGTCCGAGTCTGTTGTATTTTCCGCCAATCATTACACCATTAACATGTACTAAATGTATTGCCAGATGTACCTTTCTTTATTTTAAATATACTCATTTGTGGTTAAATATACATACAAGTTTATGAAACAGCCTACCTACCAAAGACTGGTGTGAGTGGCATCCTGGGGGACAAGAATGAAGGACCACAGTGGAAATAAGACAGACAGTCCTCAATTACCCACGGACTTTCTTGGGTTATCTTTGCTGACTAACCCTCAGGAGTTAAATATCTTTGTGGGTTTAGTGCTTTATTCTGATTATAATAATAATAGTCTGGGTTAAATATCTGAACAAATTTGATCTTATCTCTTGTCTTACCTAATATCAACTTGTCTGTACCTGATTATTGTGTAAAATAACCTTGAACAGTGAAAACCTCAATTTAACAAGACTTGTCAAATGCAGAACAAAATCTGCTGTCCACTGGTTCGGAAGTAACAGACGAGGTCCAATGTCTGCAGAATTGGCCATTAATTTTTCCAGTCATGGCAGAACAGTATCTCTATCCACCTTAACTGCCAATACTAGCCATCCCACCCATTCCCTCCCCTATTAATCTAATAAATCAAGATTTTTCTGTTTTCATTAAGTTTATTTAGGTACAGGTTTACATAAGCATAATTATCATACATAGTAACATATACAAAATAGCCACAGTGAAAAAATAGTTTGATTCCAAGCACTTTCTATAAACAATATGTTAACCTATGTGACATATCAAAATATTATTAATGAAAATAAGATTTTGGATATACGTCTTAAGCAAATTTCCTAAATTTGCTTGTAACAGGTATGTGAACTGTAGATATAAATCCAGATGTACTCCTGTTAACCCTTTTAGGGCATAATTCCTAGGCCTATTGTGTATCCATGTGGTCTTTTGCTACCATCCACGGGATGGATATGGGGTGCATGATAAACTAGCTACTTTGGAGGCTAAATCTAATCTTTCACAATTTCTCACATTATCAAGGGAAAATGTGAGAAATGACAAAAACGCTTGGAATTTCACTTAATTATTCACTGGGGTTATTTTGCATATTGTGATATCACCTGTTTACTGTGGTCTTAATACATGTAGTAATGTGTAAACTATCCACCAGGATAACCCCCCAAAGAAAAAAGTCAGTCAAAGCGACTTATTTCCATTGGGGTCCTCATTACCTGGCAGCTGGCCGTAGAGAAACTAACTTTTTTTTTTTTCCCCTCCACAGATATGTCGTCCAACAGTCTACAGAAGTATGGGTGGACCATCTGGAACTATGTGATGCTCTATGCCTTGGGATTTTGGTATCTGGTGAAGGAACTCTGCACACCACATAGGAAACCGAATGGTGCTTTTCCCTTGCATTACCCCTTACATTCATTTTTTTCCATGATTATGTGGAAAAAGGGCTTATGTACAGTTTAGGACATTTATTAGAGAAAATGTTTTGCCATGAATGGCTTCTTCAGTCTTAAAACAGAGATAATTAAGAATTGAGTATGTATATATAGTCGCAGGAGTCAGATGGCAGGTACAGGTACACATAAATACAGTTACACAAATTTTCATACATAGTAACATATGTCTCCATGGGGAAGTGGAACAGAATTTTTTCCTGTGTAAGAAATGCGTGTCATAAGATGCAACTAATATGCTGGAAGCAAGGGGCAAGTACAGTGGACCCCCAGTTAATGATATTTTTTCATTCCAGAAGTATGTTCAGGTGCCAGTACTGACCGAATTTGTTCCCATAAGGAATATTGTGAAGTAGATTAGTCCATTTCAGACCCCCAAACATACACGTACAAACGCACTTACATAAATACACTTACATAATTGGTCGCATTAGGAGGTGATCGTTAAGCGGGGGTCCACTGTATCCCCTTTCATTTTTCCTTTTGGGCCACTCTCAGTGGGATATAGCCAGTTTATTGAAAGATGATGATCAGGGGTGGATCTACTATGAAACTAATGAGGCTTGAGCTTCAGGGACCCTTATCCTAGAGGGGCCTCAGAAGCAACTTTAGTTCACATTGGTTAAAAATTTTCGGTCTAGTGTTTGAGAAGGTTTTTTTAAAAAGTAATAATATTAAAAATATAGTGTAAGTCAATACAAAATGATAGTTGTAAAAATTAAAAGATTATTGAAATATCACGTTGGCTAGTTGTTGCTGGGAAGGCATCTCTAATTACTATAACATAGATGTCTGTGAGTTAATAGCCTCATAGTTCCGAACAGTCAGTTAACAAAAAATTTTTGGGCATATATTAACATCGGAAGTTGGGAACCTACTGTACAGTATACTGATTTTATTAGTATAGATCAGGTTAGGTAAGGTTTGTCACGAAAGAACACAAGTGTTTCCTGACGCTGGTCTTCAGGTTAGGTTAGGTAAGGTTTGTCAGGAAACAGGACAAGTGTTTCCTGACGCTGGTCTTCAGGTTAGGTTAGGTAAGGTTTGTCAGGAAACAGGACAAGTGTTTCCTGATGCTGGTCTTTAGGTTAGGTTAGGTAAGGTTGTAAGGTTTGTCAGGAAACAGGACAAGTGTTTTCTGATTTCTTGTCTTAGTCATATGATGACCCACAGCTGGAGGTTTTGGTCATCTTATCAAGACCTTCCACTTGCTTACCAGTCCAGTCCTTGAAAAAACAATGGTTACAATTTTAACCATCACATTAAAATTTTTATTAATGTATCTTCTGGTTTAATCACTAAAGAGTTTGATATTTGTAACACCTGGAGAAGTAGTACAACTTGTATTATGAAAAGGTTTCTTTCCGCAGGCATCGAGAGTCAGCATGGGCGTGTGGGTATTGTGACTGGTGGTGGACGTGGTATCGGCTTGGAAACAGTCCACAAGTTTTTGGATTTGGATATGACAGTCATTATTGGCAAGTTACTTAATACTGTACTGTAATTCTCTCGTATATTTTTAAATACAGTGGACCCCCGGTATTCGATGGCATCGGTATTCGATAAATCCGGTATTCGATGCATTTTAACGCAAAAATTTTGCCTCAGTATCCGATTGAAAACCCAGTATTCGATACGATTCGTACGAGACGTGTCCACGTTTGGCCTGAACTGCCCCTTGTGTGCCAGTGTTTACAAGCCAGCCAGTGTGCGTGCATCTAAGGATACATTCAGTACATTCCATATTATCCATATTATCACTTTTTGGTGCTTGTTTCTGAAAAATAAGTCACCATGGGCCCCAAGAAAGCTTCTAGTGCCAACCTTGTGGTAAAAAGGGTGAGAATTAGTATGGAAATTAAGAAAGATTTTGAAGGGTTTGGGGCTAACCCTGAGAAGCCTATGCCAGTTGTGGAATCCATTGTGCCTACTTCAAAAATTAAGGAAATGTGTGCACAGTGGGTTGAAGTGCAAACCTTTATGGATGAAAATCACCCTAACACAGCTATTGCAAGCCGTGCTGGTGAATATTACAATGACAATGTTGTGGCCCATTTTAGACAAATCGTAAAGGAACGGGGGTTACAGAGCTCTATGGACAGATTTGTTGTGTGACAGAGGTCCAGTGACTCTCAAGCTGGTCCTAGTGGCATTAAAAGAAGAAGGGAAGTAACCCCGGAAAAGGACTTGCTACCTCAAGTCCTAATGGAAGGGGATTCCCCTTCTAAACACTAACACCATCCACACTCTCCCCTCCTCCCATCCTATCAATCATCACCAGATCTTCAATACAGGTAAGTGTCATGTAACTGTGCATGTCTTCTTCAGTTTGTGTGTATTAAAATTAATATTTCATGTGGTAAAAAAAAAAATTTTTCATACTTTTGGGTGTCTTGCACGGATTAATTTGATTTCCATTATTTCTTATGGGGAAAATTGATTCGCTTTTCGATATTTTTGGTATTCGATGAGCTCTCAGGAACAGATTAATATTTAATATTGAATACCGGGGGTCCACTGTATATGGTACAGTAAGCTCTCGATTTAATAGAATAATAAGGGGAAGAGAGGGTGGCTGATAATGGTGATTGTGGTAGAGAGTAATGAGATTGTTCTGCTTTGACTCAACAATAATGAACGGTTCTGTAACCAATGGACATGTCTGGTTCCTCTTCAAATTAATTAACACGGCAGATTTTGTTCTGTATTTCCAAAGTCTGTTAAATCGAGGTCCTTTACACTGAGGTTATGCAGTAATATTGTTTTTGTGCCTTTTAGTATAAGTAAGTACAGTGGACCCTCGAGTTTCGGCAGCCTCAACTTTCGTGAAATTCGACCTTCGGCGAGTTTTTTTTTTAAAAATTTGGCCTCGAGTTTCATGAAAAAGCTCGTGTTTTGGCGACCGTCCGGTACCCGTCCGCCCGTCACCATGCACACAAAGCCAGTCTCCCATGCCATTCATGCTCAGTGTGCCATTGTTTACCAACACGTGACCATCACCCCGCGGGTTCATACGTAATAATCCATTGTTTTTTGTGATTACAACTGCTAAATAAATCACCATGAGCTCAAGGAAAGCTAGTGCAAGCCCTTTGGTAAAGAAAGTGAGGAACACGCTCGAATTCAAGAAGGAAATCATTGAAAAATATGAGAGTGGAGTGCGTGTTACAGAGCTTGCCAGGATGTATGGCAAGCCCCATTCAACCATAAGATAAGATAAGATAAGATAAGATTTCGTTCGGATTTTTAACCCCGGAGGGTTAGCCACCCAGGATAACCCAAGAAAGTCAGTGCGTCATCGAGGACTGTCTAACTTATTTCCATTGGGGTCCTTAATCTTGTCCCCCAGGATGCGACCCACACCAGTCGACTAACACCCAGGTACCTATTTGCTGCTAGGTGAACAGGACAACAGGTGTAAGGAAACGTGTCGAAATGTTTCCACCCGCCGGGAATCGAACCCGGGCCCTCCGTGTGTGAAGCGGGAGCTTTAGCCACCAAGCCACCGGGCCACTTCAATCATGGTGAAAGGAAAGGAAATAAAGTGTGCTGTTGTTGCAAAAGGGGTGGATATGCTGACAAAAAGGAGATCACAAATATTCAAAGAAGTGGAGAAGGTATTGTTGGTGTGGATTACCAAAAAACAGTTAGCAGGAGATAGTGTTATGCAGTCGATAATATGTGAAAAGGCAAGGCAGTTGCATGACGATCTCGTAAAGAAAATGCCTGCAACAAGTGGTGATGCTTGTGATTTTAAGGCCAGCAAAGGTTGGTTTGAGAGATATAAGAAGCGTAGTGGCATTCACAGTGTGATAAGGCATGGTGAGGCTGCCAGTTCTGACAGAAAAGCAGCTGAGAAGTTTGTACAGGAGTTTAAGGAGTGCGTAGACACTGGAGAATTCAAACCCCAGCAAGTGTTTAATTGTGACGAAACAGGCCTCTTCTGGAAGAAAATGCCAAAGAGGACCCACATCACGCAGGAGGAAGCGGCACTCCCAGGACACAAGCCTATGAAAGACAGGCTAACTCTCATGTTTTGTAGTAATGCTAGTGAGGATTTTAAAGTGAAGCCTTTACTGGTGTATCACTCTGAAAATCCCAGTGTGTTCAAGAAATACAGTGTCGCCAAGAGTAATTTGTGTGTGATGTGGAAGGCTAACAGTAAGGCATGGGTCACAAGGGGAATTTTTCTAGACTGGTTTAATGAAGTGTTTGGCCCAAGTGTGAAGAAATACCTCCTGGAAAATAAATTGCCACTCAAGTGCCTCCTGGTAATGGACAATGCTCCTGCTCATCCTCCAGACTTGGAAGAGCAAATAGTGGAGGAGTTTAGTTTCATCACGGTGAAGTTCTTGCCCCCTAATACCACTCCTCTCCTCCAGCCCATGGACCAACAGGTCATTTCAAACTTCAAGAAACTCTACACCAAAGCAGTGTTTCAAAAGTGCTTTTAAGTGACCTCAGACACTGAATTGACCCTAAGAGAGTTCTGGAAAGATCACTTTAATATCCTCCATTACATAAACCTTATAGGTAAGTCTTGGGAGGGAGTGACTTCCAGGACTTTGAACTCTGCTTGGAGAAATTTGTGGCCAGATTGTGTACAAGAGAGGGATTTTGAAGGGTTTGTGGCTGACCCTAAGGAACCTATGCCAGTTGTGGAAACTATTGTGGCAATGGGGATGTCCCTGGGGTTGGAGGTGAGTGGTGAGGATGTGGAAGAGTTGGTGGAGGACCACAGGGAAGAGCTAACCACTGAAGAGCTGCAAGAGCTTCATCTGCAACAGCAACAGATCACAGTTCAGGAAACTGCTGCAGAGGAGGAGGAAGAGAGATGGAGGAAGGTGCCTTCTTCAGAGATAAAGGACATTTGTGGAAAGTGGACTGAAGTGCAAACATTTATGGATGAACTTCACCCTAACAAAGCTGTTGCAGGCCGTATTGGCAACATGTACAATGACAGTGTTGTGTCCCACTTCAGAGAAATCTTAAAGAAACGCCAGAAACAGACCTCTCTGGACAGATATTTTGTGCAACAGGGGTCCAGTGACTCTCAAGCTGGTCCCAGTGGCATTAAAAGAAGAAGGGAAGTAACCCCAGATCTGGACTTCATACCTGAAGTCCTAATGGAAGGAGATTCTCCTTCCAAAAATAGTGTACACCTTCCTCCTATCCCCTCCTCCCGTCTTCCATCCACGCAGAAGTCTTCAGTAAAGGTAAGTGTAATGTTATTATTATTTTTTTAAATGCATGTATTTGATTTCTGATTGTTTTCATTATGTAAATCTTTATTTAATTTGAAGAAAATATTTTATTTTAATATTTTTGGATGTCTGGAACGGATTAATTTTATTTCCATTATTTCTTGTCGGGAAAATGGTTTCGAGTTTCGTGAATTTCGACCTTTGGCGGGCTCTCTGGAACGGATTAATAACGAAACTCGGGGGTCCACTGTAGTAGGTTTGCCGGTACTGTCTCGGCCCAGGTCTTTTCCCGATGGTGACCCAGCGTAGCTTTTAGTATATGAATTAATTATGATAGATGGCCATGTATAATAAACTGGTGAGAATTATATTAGTTTGTGTTGCTTGTGGACATTTTGAAAGAATTGAACTTGTGACTGCTTTACTTTGTATCACTTATATGTGTAAGGTAAACTTTAGTGTCAGTATTCTTAGTACACACAATTTTGTTATTGTATTTCCTATTGATTACATGGGGGAAGTGGAAAAGAATACTTCCTCTGTAAGCCATGCATGTTGTAAGGAGTGACTAAAATGCCTGGAGCAAGGGGCTAGTAACACCTTCTCCAGTATGCGTTGCTAAATTTATAAAGAACAACTTTCGTTTTTTCTTTTAGGGTCAGCATACATAAAGAGGATTCCAATAGACCCCTGACTGTCTTCAAGAAGGCACTGGACAGGTACCTAAAGTCAGTACCTGACCAGCCGGGCTGTAGTTCGTATGTTGGTTTACTTGCAAACAGTAGTAACAGCCTGGTTGATCAGGCCTTGATCCACCATGAGGCTTGGTCACAGACTGTGCTGTGGGGCATTGAGCCCCAAAACCCTCGTGGTGGGAGATGGCCAACACATTACATAAATGAAAAAGAAAAAAAAAATCCTATTGAAATTTAAACTAGTGTCTTATCATCTAGCTAACTGTGAAGGTGAAAGATTTCTTCTTTGATATTAGTTTTTTATTATACATGAGCTTATGATAATCATACAGCTACACTGATAGTAACCTTGTGTTCTCTTACAGCTGGAAGGAATGTGCCAGCGCTGGAGAAGGCAGTGTCTGAGCTGCGAGCCCAGGGTGTGCAAGGAGGAACTGCTGTTTGCTTGGAATTAGATCTGGCATGCATGTCTTCTGTGTGCAAGTTTGTTCATGATTTTTCTGCTCTGAAATTGCCACTTCATCTTCTCGTTAACAACGGTGAGAAATTTAATGCACTCAAAAAGTTGTACTGTGCTAAGCTAGTTTGTCTGTCCTAACCAAGCAGACACCTGAAAATAGTGGCTTCTTAAGTAGATAGTGTTTTAAGAAGCAGTGTACCTGTAAAGTGGAGGTTTAAATGTATTAGTAAATTGAATTTACTCAGAATTTTGTCTTATTTTCGAAAGTTGTAGTCTCATCGAAGACTACACAGACTACGAGTATTACTGCAACTTGACGATTTCTCTTTCCTGGCTAAATACTGCTTATCACATATTACATTATCTTCTTTCAACAAACTGGCCATATCCCACCAAGGTAGCGTGACCCAAAAAAGAAAAGCTTTCATCATCATTCACTCCATCACTGTCTTGCTGGAGGCACGCTTACACTTATTTTTTTTTTTTTTTATTATCACACTGGCCGATTCCCACCAAGGCAGGGTGGCCCGAAAAAGAAAAACTTTCACCATCATTCACTCCATCACTGTCTTGCCAGAAGGGTGCTTTACACTACAGTTTTTAAACTGCAACATTAACACCCCTCCTTCAGAGTGCAGGCACTGTACTTCCCATCTCCAGGACTCAAGTCCGGCCTGCCGGTTTCCCTGAATCCCTTCATAAATGTTACTTTGCTCACACTCCAACAGCACGTCAAGTATTAAAAACCATTTGTCTCCATTCACTCCTATCAAACACGCTCATGCATGCCTGCTGGAAGTCCAAGCCCCTCGCACACAAAACCTCCTTTACCCCCTCCCTCCAACCTTTCCCCTCCTCCAGAGCGCAGACACTGTACTTCCCATCTCCAGGATTCAAGTCTGGCCTGCTGGTTTCCCTGAATACCTTCATAAATGTTACATTGCTCACACCCCAACAGCATGTCAAGTCCTAAAAACCATTTGTCTTCATTCTCTCCTATCTAACATGCTCACGCATGCTTGCTGAAGGTTCAAGCCCCTTGCACACACAACCTCCTTTTAGCCTCTCCCTCCAACCATTCCTAGGCCAACCCCTACCCCGCCTTCCCTCCACTACACGGTATTGTTATTGTTGAAACATTTTGGGTACACAGTAGGCTTCTTCATGGAGGTAGCATTTGTGCTGCACAGTTGTATTTATCTTCTTGTTGCTGTCATTGGTGAGTATTTTTATGGAAGAATTGTATACTTTCTTGCTGCTGTCCTCTATATTGCTACCTTAACTACTTCATCATTTCCTGTACCCTACCACTTTTTTTGTTTTTTTACTAAGGATACACAGGAGGCACCTATTTTCGATGTTCTATATTTTCATTAGCTTTCAACTGAGCCATTGTTCCACCCACAAGTGACAGTTGCCAATGGACGGCACATAATGAACAGTGGCACAATTTGAAGCCATCAAAAATGTGGAACATCAAAAAGAGGTGCTGAAAAAGCACTGCTCTAAGGGAGGGGTAGAGATATGTGCAGTTTTGAACTGTAGTATTGGCATCCCTCTGGCAAGACAGTGATGGAATGAGTGATGGTGAATGTGTCTTTTTTTGGGGGGAGGGGGGTCACCCTGCCTTGGTGGGAGACAACTGATGTGTTAAAAATAAAAAATCTGTCAACCTGTTTCATAATGATAAATAAAATTTCATTTTATTTTATAAATTGTTACTATCTTAAGTGTTTTTTCCTACAGGTTAGACAAGAAAAATAAAACACGACAGTGGACTGTTTACTTTACGATTGTCTTAACTCTGTTTTTGTATGATTGTCTTATTCTCAGCGGGCATCATGTTCTGGCCCTGGGACATGACAGTGGACGGTCATGAGTCACACTGGAGTGTGAATTACCTGGGTCACTTCCTGCTCACTCATCTCTTATTTCCACACCTAGTTGCTAACTCCACTCTGGATACCCCAGCACGTGTGGTCAACCTTACCTCATCAGCACATTATATGGGATCCATTCAGTTCAGTGACATAAATAACAAGTAAGTTTTAGTGTTAACTTCTCATTTTTCAAACTTTATTTCTATGAAGTGGACTACAGTATAGAGGAGAGCTCCACTTGTATGGCTCTTAGGTTCCCTACCCTGTGCAATAAGTGACAATTGCCAACGAGTGGAAAAGAGCATTTTTTTCGTTATTGAATGTGTCTAAAATGCCTGATAACGTGTTTACACTGTCATATATTAACCCTTAAACTGTCCAAACGTAGATCTACGTTCACGTGCTTAGTGCTCCGACCTTGATTTTTTCACAAGAAACAATGTAAAAAAAAAAGTAGATCTATGTTCGGAGCCTGCTGCACGTAAACGTATACCTACGTGTGGACAGTTTAAGGGTTAAGCTGTCAATACAGCTAGGCATAAAAACAGATAAAAAAGTCAAATACACATTACATACAATACTTACCTTAAAATATGGCACTGGCTGCCCTTCCCTTACACAACTGTTATGTAAAAATGGCAGAAAAGTGGTAAAGCAGTGAACATAATGAAAAATGGCTCAGTTGAAAACCAATGTAAACTTGAAACACTGAAAAAAGGATGCTGAATAAGCAGGGCCCTCCTGTATTATGCAGTTAGGGTGATTAACATATATTATTACAGTGGAACCTCTACCAGCAAGTTTAATCCGTTCCATGACCTTGCTCACAACTGGATTTGCTCGTTTGCAGAGTCAATTTTCCTCATTTAAATTAATTGAAATGCAATTAATCCGTTCCAGTGGAATTCTGTACTTCAATAATTTCGCTAATATCAACTCTACGGCTTATTTGTGTATCTCACTTCATCTAATATGACATAATAAACAATATAAATAACATAGAAACCTGATATATACTCTAAAATGAATAAAATATGTAATTCATTTAGTGGTATGGGCGATGTCAGCAGTGGATGAGAGTTTGTCTGGAGACAGGACAAAATACTTAACGAATAATTTCGCTTATATCATCTATACGCCTTATTTATCTATCACAGTTCATCTAATATGACATAACAAATAATATAAATAACATAGAAACCTGATATATACTCCAGAATGAATAAAATATGTCATTATATATGTGGCGGCGGCCGACAAGAGTTTGTCTGGAGACAGGACAAAATACTTGAATATTTCGCTATCATCAACTCTACGGCTTATTTATCTATCACATAAACAATATAAATAACATAGAAACCTGATACATATACTCTAGAATGAATAAAATATGTCATTATGTAACAGGTGAAGGCGGCCACAACCGCTCCCTCTTCATTGTGGTAAACACTGCCGTCTAGTGATGGCCTTTTGAAGCCGTCTATTATTATAATTATTATTATTCTGTAGTACATTATTATATGTATTATTATGCATATTATATTATTATTATTGTATTATATTATTATATTATTATTATTATATTATTATTATTATATGTACAGTGGACCCTCGACCAACGATATTAATCCGTTCCTGAGAGCTCATCGTTAATCAAAATTATCGTTAGTCGAGTTAATTTTCCCCATAAGAAATAATGGAAATCAAATTAATCCATGCAAGACACACAAAAGTATTGAAAAAAAAAATTTACCACATGAAATAATAATTTTAATACATACAAACTGAAGAAGACATGTACAATTACATGACACTTACCTTTATTGAAGATCTGGTGATGATTGATGGGATGGGAGGAGGGGAGAGTGTGGATGGTGTTAGTGTTTAGAAGGGGAATTCCCTTCCATTAGGACTTGAGGTGTCAATCCTTTTCCGGGGTTACTTCCCTTCTTCTTTTAATGCCACTAGGACCAGCTTGAGAGTCACTGGACCTCTGTTGCACAACGTATCTGTCCATAGAGGCCTGTACCTCCCGTTCCTTTATGACATTCCTAAAGTGTTTCACAACATTGTCAGTGTCACAATTAAACACTTGTTCAGGTTTCAGTTCTTCACTGTCTATGTACTCCTTGAATTCCTGCACATATTTTTCAGCTGCTTTGTGGTCCGAATTGGCAGCCTCACCATGCCTTATCACACTATGTATGCCACTACGATTCTTAAATCTCTCAAACCAACCTTTTCTGGCTTTAAATTCACTCACATCACCACTAGTTGCAGGCATTTTCTAATTAAATCGTCATGCAACTTCCTAGTCTTTTCACATATGATCGCTTGAGAGATGCTATCTCCTGCTATCTGTTTTTCGTTTATCCACACCAATAACAGTCTCTCAACATCTTCTATCACTTGCGATCTCAGTTTCGAAAATATAGTTGTACCTTTGGCAAGAACAGCTTCATTGATTGCCGTTTTCTTGGCCACAATAGTAGCGATGGTTGATTGGGGTTTTGTGTACAACCTGGCCAGCTCGGAGACACGCACTCCACTTTCATACTTAGCAATGATCTCTTTCTTCATATCCATAGTAATTCTCACCCTTTTTGCTGTAGGGTTGGCACTAGAAGCTTTCTTGGGGCCCATGGTGACTTATTTTGCAGGTGCAGTCACTAAAAACTCTGTGATAATATGAAATGTTCTGATTACACTGTATATGTTTGGATGGGACCGCGGTGGCTGGCTGGCTTGTAAACACTAGCCACAAGTGGACGCGTCTCGAATGGAACGAATCGTGTTGGTCGAGTTTTTTAGCGCTAGTCGAGGCAAAAATTTTGCGTTAAAATGTATCGCTAGTCGGATTTAGCATTAGATGATGCCATTATTGGTCGAGGGTCCACTGTATTATTATTATTATACATTTATTATTATTATTATTATTATTATTATTATTATTATTATTATTATTATTATTATTATTACTACAATGTAAATAATTTGTAATTTTTATTCCCACAAAAAATATAAGATTTACTGTTATGTATTATTGCAATAATTGTATAAATAATGTCAACCCATTCACTACTGCATATTGGAATGGCCAGTGACTTCATTTGTTTACTCTTGAACATAGCCAAGCAATGGAACATTTCTCCTACGTTAAGCTCAATTTCAAGGTACTTTTCATCATGAAAGCAATCAAAATCATATCTGTTTCTGTAATATATCTTCCATTCTATCAAATGAGACCAAAATAACGAGAATACAACCATAAAAACCATACGAAAATGCCGCTAAGGCGTGGCTAATTGCTGAGAAGTGAATTTCATTATTTATGCTTAAATTTCTTTCATTTTTGATGTAAGTTAAGAAGCATCTTTCCATCATACATTGCCCAAGTTTCAATAAGATAGTTCAACAAACAAATGAGATATAATTCCCTAGATCAAGAGTAAGAACCTTTCACCAGTGTCAAGGAACCTGCCTTGAGGTCTGCTCGCTTATGGAAATTTTGCTCGCATATGGAAGCAAAAAATCAACCCATCGACTGCTTGTATTTGGAAAAACTCGCACGTGGATGCACTAGCTAGTAGAGGTTCCACTGTACTTTATAGAAATCCTCGGGAGCAAGGGGATAGTAACACCCTCTCCTTTATAAATTATTAAATGTAAAAAGAAGAAAAAACTTTACATTTATTCTCTTTTGGGAGTCACACTGTCTCAGTAGGAGATGGCCATTGTGATAAAAAATAGTTATTAAAAGTTATTGAATCTTATTTGTATTATGTAAACTTTCTCATTGGAATCCAGTCTCAGTACATTAATTTGTTTCATGCGATATACATATATAATTTTGGGACCTTAGATCTGAGATTATATTTAGCTTTGAATGTTTGATGCATTGATTATTTTGATGTATTGTTTATTTTGAAAGATGTGCTCTAACCTTTATTGCTGACTTCTTGCTTGTAAAGGTAAATATACCCACAGGAAAAATTACTGCCCTCAAGCTGCATATGCTCAGAGTAAATTGGCACAGATGATGTTTACCATCTCGTTGGCCGAGCATCAGAAGTCATGTGGGGGTAGCGTTGTTGTCAGTGGTGTTCATCCGGGAGTGGTGGCCACCGAACTTTTCCAGCATGTTGCATGGGCTAGAAATTTCCCTCTGCTTGCCAATACTTTCCTCAAGGTAAATAGGTTTAATGTGCAATCCTTGGTGTTATTGTAAAAACTCATTGGACAGCCCATACCATGTCATTAACTCCATAAAAATGCATAGCATTGTTAGATATTACTGCTATAGCTCTGGCAAGAGGTGTGGAGTTAAAAGATAAAGAATCACACACAAAGTGGGAGTTGTCACAGCTGCTCTTTGCTGATGACACTGTGCTCTTGGGAGATTCTGAAGAGAAGTTGCAGAGATTTGTGGATGAATTTGGTAGGGTGTGCAAAAGAAGAAAATTAAAGGTGAATACAGGAAAGAGTAAGGTTATGAGGATAACAAAAAGATTAGGTGATGAAAGATTGAATATCAGATTGGAGGGAGAGAGTATGGAGGAGGTGAATGTATTCAGATATTTGGGAGTGGACGTATCAGCGGATGGGTCTATGAAAGATGAGGTGAATCATAGAATTGATGAGGGGAAAAGAGTGAGTGGTGCACTTAGGAGTCTGTGGAGACAAGAACTTTGTCCTTGGAGGCAAAGAGGGGAATGTATGAGAGTATAGTTTACCAACGCTCTTATATGGGTGTGAAGCATGGGTGATGAATGTTGCAGCGAGGAGAAGGCTGGAGGCAGTGGAGATGTCATGTCTGAGGGCAATGTGTGATGTGAATATAATGCAGAGAATTCGTAGTTTGGAAGTTAGGAGGAGGTGCGGGATTACCAAAACTGTTGTCCAGAGGGCTGAGGAAGGGTTGTTGAGGTGGTTCGGACATGTAGAGAGAATGGAGCGAAACAGAATGACTTCAAGAGTGTATCAGTCTGTAGTGGAAGGAAGGCGGGGTAGGGGTCGGCCTAGGAAAGGTTGGTGAGAGGGGGTAAAGGAGGTTTTGTGTGCGAGGGGCTTGGACTTCCAGCAGGCATGCGTGAGCGTGTTTGATAGGAGTGAATGGAGACAAATGGTTTTTAATACTTGACGTGCTGTTGGAATGTGAGCAAAGTAACATTTATGAAGGGGTTCAGGGAAACCGGCAGGCCGGACTTGAGTCCTGGAGATGGGAAGTACAGTGCCTGCACTCTGAAGGAGGGGTGTTAATGTTACAGTTTAAAAACTGTAGTGTAAAGCACCCTTCTGGCAAGACAGTGATGGAGTGAATGATGGTGAAAGTTTTTCTTTTTCGGGCCACCCTGCCTTGGTGGGAATCGGCCAGTGTGATAATAAAAAATAATAAAAAAAAAGCTCTGTTAGGTAATTAACCTACTGCAAACATTTTTAAATGTTGCATATCAGTATTTCTTAAGTCAGAGTTGGAGTTTATTATTATTATCATCATGATACAGTGTTTATACAGAAATGGGGGACATTTGATTGCATACAGAAAGCCCATAGACATGTAGAGCAAATATTTAACAAAACTAGAATTCACTTATTGTATTTCTTAGCTATACAGTTATAATTTGTGGTTTGTTTTTCAAAGAACGTACAATATTTTCATGTTTTATATACCAGTACTTACCAGTAAAATTAAGTTTATTGTTGCAGACTCCCGAGCAGGGATGTGACACCGTTGTGTATGTTGCATTATCAAAGTACGTCAAAGAAGGTGGTCAATATTATGAAAACTGCACAGTTACCACACCATCCAGAGCTGCCCGGAGGAGGGAGGACCGTGCCCGTCTTTGGGAGCTCTCCTGTCAACAGCTTGGAATAGACTCCTTTGGACAGTTATAATTCAGTAATTTAATTAATATCCTTGTAAGAGCTCCGACTGCCTTCATTCACTCGTATAGTACCTGGAGTTTCCCTGGAGAGGGCCTTGGGGGTGAACGCTACTGCGGCTTGGTCTGTACTGTACTGTACTGCAAAGTATTTTTTTTAGTACATAAATGGAAACTGATAAGATTGTGTGAAACACTAGAGGATTTGAATCTCTGCACTGCACTTATGGGGATTCAAATCCTCCGGTGTTTCACACACTAACATGGTAAGATAAAGTACTGAATTTTTGAACATTTCATAATAAGGGTTTGTTTTGATACTCTATTTAAATTAGAATTTAATCAATTACATCATCTTTGAGGACTATATGTAATCATATGTAAAGAAAGAGACTAGAATTTCTTTGAAATTCATTGTCTGTCTTGATGCATTATGTTGTCTTACTCAGTCATCCTCCACTGAATAGGGCTCTTCCTACATTATGTACCAATATTTGTTTGTAAACTTACGTTGAAAATATTTTCATGACTTACTAAGTAACCATCACAGCTAAAGAATAAAAAGTTACAGTACCATGACTTAAACAATACACAGATAACCCGCACATGGAAGAAAGAAGCTTTTGACGACATTTCGGTCCGACTTGTACCATTAACAAGTTATGTACACGTGTGTAACTTGTTAATGGGTTAAGTCAGACTGAATTAACAAAAGAACATAAGAAAGAAGGAACACTGCAGTAGGCCTACTGGCCCATGCTAGGCAGGTCCAAGTCACCTACTGGCTTATGCCACTGACCCAACCTAGTCAGGTCTAGGTCTCGTCCACTTAAGGAAAGTGCACGACATCAGACCTATTAGCACAAGCTAGTCAGGTCCAACTCGCACCCATTTGTGTATTTCTCTAACTGATTTTCATAAATTTCTCCTGTGTGAGGGTTATTTGTGCATCACAACTGTGGGTTGGATCATGACCCAGGGTTGACAACCATTGGCTTTAGCTAACCAGTTTGTTTGTTATAAATCTTTCTTTCTTTCAACACACTGGCCGTATCCCACCGAGGCGGGGTGGCCCAAAAGGAAAAACGAAAGTTTCTCCTTTTACATTTAGTAATATATACAGGAGAAGGGGTTACTAGCTCCTTGCTCCCGGCATTTTAGTCGCCTCTTACAACACACATGGCTTACGGAGGAAGAATTCTGTTCCACTTCCCCATGGAGGGTTTGTTATAAATATGTAGCATAAATAATAAATTAGTTTTGCTTTGCACAGACAGGTATATTTGTCACTAGAGTGATAAAGCTCTGTAATGAGCTGATGTAACCTGACCACATCAGTTGGTTTAACTTGCAAGTCCTTTGTAAGTCTCAAGATTACTATATATTACCGTAGAAACTCAAGATAATGTGAATTTTGTATTTTCTTATAAAATAAATGTTAATCCAGTAGATGTTTTTAAATCATTGGTAATGTGTGTAACCATAAAAGACACTGGCTGTTCCCACCAAGGCAAGATGAGTCTTTCTAGCAAGGTGGGGAACAAATGTTCCTCTTTACAAGAGTAGCTGAAGTGGTAATGTTCTTTTCTGAGTTGAAGCAAATGGTTTATATGACTTGATGTGTTGTTGGAGTGTGAACAAGGTAACATTTATGAAGGGATTCAGGGAAACTGGTTTGCTGGACTTGAGCCCTGGAGGTGGGAAATACAGTGCCTGTACCCTGAAGGAGAGGTGGAGATATATGTTTATAGTTTTTGAACTGTAGTATTGGCATGCCTCTGCATGCCAGTGAATGATGATGAAAGTGTTTCTTCTTCGGGTTGCCCTGCCTCAGTGGAAATTGCCAATGTGTTAAAAAAAATCTTTATACACAGATTGAGCTACTTGTCATGGACTTAAGACAACCACCATGACGGACATGGGATGCATAATTGTGTGTTATCAAGCCCATGGATGATACCAAGACTTGACATTTTGTATACCACCTGGCCTATGGCTGGTCTCCAGAAGAAAAGCTCGGGGAACTCGTCAAAGATATACCATCTAATTCCTTCTTTTTCATATTCTCTACATAATAATCTGCACCACAGTCTTGGACAAAACATTTGTGCTGTGTAGCATTTTGTCTTCACAGTAATACTGAATGATGGTGCTTCATACTGTACGAAAGTTTATATAATTTTTTTAAACACTGGCTGCCTCCCACCAAGGCAGGGTGACCCGAAAAAGAAGCTTTCACCATCATTCACTCCATCACTCTCATGCCAGCGGCACATAGATACGACAGTTCAGATGCCACTCTAAACAGTAAATATGCCAAACTCCTAAACCTGTATGGGTCATGCTGTGCCATGATGAAATGCTGGCATCATTGTACTGTATGATACAAAAACCACTTTTTGTCACTGACATCTTTTTCTAGAGAGACTTTGACCCTTGATGAAAGTGAGAAGCTCTTGATTCAAGGAAATTGACAAATACTCCCATTCCTTGGATCAGACCTGATGGCCTCTCATTGCACTAGATGCTGTATGACCTGTGTGGGTTTACTTCTCCACTTCCATCGTCCATGAATGTAATAATGATAGAAACCAATACAATACTTTCAAATTTATTTATATTCTGTGATGTACTGTTGAGCTCTTGATCCAAGGAATTTGCAGCTATCCTTGCCCCTTGGATCAAACCTGATTGCCTGCCATTTCCCTAGGTGCTCTGTCACCCCTACAGGTTTAGCATTTTCCACTGAAAATAACAAAAGCAACAAGTTGAAGAATGAGGCAGTTGTACAACATTTAGCAATATTTATTGTGAAGATGTTTCTCCAGCCAGTGACTTCTTCAGTACAAAGAACGGTGGGAGATGAAGAGGAGTTTGAGGTAATCAGTCCCTCTGCCCAGAGTCGAAGTGTTTGGTCTGTCAGTGTTGTATGTTGTTTAAAATGGTTTGTCTACACATCACAACTCATCACTACACATCACAACTCATCATTCCACATCACAACTCATCATTACACATCACAACTCATCACTACACATCACAACTCATCACTACACATCACAAATCATTCCTACACATCACAGTTCATTACTACACATCACTAATTATCACTACACATCATAAATCATTACATATCAGAGAACTTTCACAGCACGTGAAGGTACAATAAAGCACCTAAATTAATAGGAACGGTTAAAGTCCCTTGACCTGTATGACCCTTGTAGGTTTAATGCTACTTTTTGATTATAATAATAATGAAATCCCTTGACCTGTATTCCCTGGAATGCAGGCGAGAAAGATACATGATAATATACACTTGGAAAATCCTAGAGGGACTAGTCCCAAATCTTCATATGAAAATCACTTCCTACAAAAGTAAAAGATTTGGCAGGAGATGCAACATCTACCCAATGAAAAGCAGGGACTAACAGTGTCTGTCTGTATGTTTGGACAAGCTAACTTGACCTGGGCTGCCTTTAGTGTTGCAATTGTTTCTTTTAGTCCCCTGATTTGCTCAGATTTAGGCAAATCATCTACTACCACAGCTTCCACTGTCTTTTCCAGTTTCCTAGACCAACAGTGAATTTGGCCAGGTCAAATGTCTGTTTACCAGAACTTGGGGAAAAAAAAAACTACATATGTCGAATTGTGTTTTGGCATGGGGTTGTTTATTTAGCACCTAGAAAGGAATGAGCTTATACATGATAGCCAGCACGGTTTCAGGGAAGGGAAATCCCACATCACAAACCTACTGGAGTTTTACGACAAGATAACAGAAGTCCCATACCTCAATTGCTAATGCACTCAGCTCGCACACTGAGGTGCAGAGGTTGATCCCCCAGTATGAGTGAAAACACTAGAACATGTTTCCTTAAGACTGCTGTCCATGTTCACCTAATAGTAAAATAATTAGGTACCTGGGTGTCAGTGAACTGGTGTGAGTTGCATCACCCTGGGTCAAAATTGACCTAATTTGCCTGAAATGCTCAGCATAACAAGGGACTTTCTATATAGTAGTACATGTATTTCAATGATGTCAGCTATGGTCTGTATACCTTGTACATGTACTTATAGAAATAAAAAATTATTATTTAGTAAGACAGGCAAGAGAGGGCTGGGGAGATTGCATTTTCTTGGACTATAAGAAAGCTTTCAACACAGTTCCACACAAGAGATTAGTGCAAAAGCTAGAGGAGCAGGCAGGAATAACAGGAAAGGCACTGCAGTTTATCAGACAATACCTGTCATAAAGGAAATGAGTGATGGTATGTAACGAGGTGTCAGAATGGGCGCTTGTGCGAGCGGGGTTCCACAAGGGTCAGTCCTAGATCCAGTGCTGTTTTGGTATATACACAAATGATGTGATGGAAGAGATAGATTCAGAAGTGTCTCTGTTTGCATACAATGTGAAGAATTCAAAAGGATGAGGATCAGGTAGGAATGCAAAGGGATCTAGTGCAAAATCATGATGATAGGGAGGTATATCTGGAGAGGGTTTCAGAGGTCAATGCCCCCGTGGCCCTGTCTGTGACCAGGCCTTGTGGTGGATCAGGGCCTGATCAATCAGGCTGTTAATGCTGGTCAAAGAAGACCGTAGACAGAGTACAGGCTAGAGGACTAAAGACTGCAAACCTCACTCAAGGAAAAGGATCTTGGGGTAAGTATAAAACTGAGCATGTCTCCTGAGGCACACACAAACCAAATAACTGCTGCACATATGGGTGCTTGGCAAACCTAAGAATAGCTTTTCAACACCTGATTAAGGAATCATTCAAGACTCTGTACACTGTGTACGTCAGGCCCATATTCGAGTATGCGGCACCAGTATGGAACCCACACCTGGTCAAGCACGTCAAGAAATTAGAGAAGTGCAAAGGTTTGCAAAAAAAAAAAAAAAAAAAAAAAGCTGTATAATCCTCCGGGTTTAGCGCTTCCCCCTTGATTATAATAATAATAATAATAATTGCAAAAAAAAAAAGTCCCAAAGCTAAGGGGTATATCCTATGAGGAGAGGTTAAAGGAACTCAACCTGATGACACTGGAGGACAGGAGGGATAGTGGAGACATGATAATGACTTATAAAATACTAAGAAGAATTTACAAGGTGGATAGGGATGGAATGTTTCAAAGATGTGACACAGCCACAAGAGGTAAGTTTATTCAGGTATACACAAACACAGTTACATAGATTATCATACATAGCAGCATATGTATCAAGAACTTGGGATAACCCACAAAAGTCAAAGTGACTTATTTCCAGTGGGGTCCTATGCTTATTTCCAACTGAATGTTGAAGACTCAGATGAGTCACTGAGATGTTAGGAAGCATTCCTTCAGCCATAGAGTTGTCAGGAAGTGTAACAATCTGAAGAGTGATGTAGTGGAGGCAGAGTCCATATGTAGCCTTAAGAAGAGGCATGATAAACCCCCATGGAACAAAGAGTAGCCTAGTAGCCACCAGTAAAGAGGCAGAGCCTGGAGCCGTAAATTGACCCCAGCAAGTACAACTAGGCGAGTACAGACACACACACAGAGCTAAAGAGATTATTCTATGAAGAAAGGTCCCCTCAAGGAAGGTTCCTTGATGTTGGTGAGGGGCTCTTGATTTAGGGAATTGGATCTGTGCTCCAGTTCCCCAAATTAAGCCTGTATGCCTTCCACATCCCCCCCCCCCAGGCCCTGTATAATCCTCCGGGTTTAGCGCTTCCCCTTGATTGTAATAATAATAATATGAAGAAAGGTTAAGGGAAATCGGCCTGACGACACTGGAGGACAGGAGGGTCAGGGGAGACATGATAACGACATACAAAATACTGCGTGGAATAGACAAGGTGGACAGAGACAGGATGTTCCAGAGATGTGACACAGCAACAAGGGGTCACAATTGGAAGCTGAAGACTCAGATGAGTCAAAGGGATGTTAGGAAGTATTTCTTCAGCCACAGAGTAGTTAAAGTATAATAAAGCTCATGGAGCAGGGAATGAGAGGACCTAGTAGCGGTCAGTGAAGAAGCGGGGCCAGGAGCTGAGTCTCGACCCCTGCAACCACAATTAGGTGAATACAGAGTAGCCAGCAGTAAAGAGGCGGAGCCAGGAACCATGACTGGACCCCAGCAAGTACAACTAGGTAAGTACAGTAGTCAAGATGGCGTCATCACGGACACAAGACCTGCCTCCCCGGGAAGGTTATTCACCCATTACCTACTCCAGGATACCTGCCAGAACCTATTTTAAAGGTCAGTTGATGGTATACCACCATTATGTATCCTGGGTATACATAATACCCCCCAGTTGGGGCACTGACATACCTAAACCGGGGAAATAGTCACTTTCTGGGGGGTTATCTGGGGTAATTTATACATATATATAATAATTTGTGTATATAATTATGTATATCTGTATCTAAATATACTTATTTACTCGCCTAAAGTAGCTCGGGTATATATATACTGCCCCAGCTGGGGCACTAAGTCACATTTTGGGTTATCGTAGGTAATATACATATATGTGACTATGTATATTAATTTATGTATATATTTATGTATATCTGTAACTAAATATACTTTAACCCCCCCTAGAGCAGCCTGGGTATGTATACCCCAGAGATGTCCATACCCACGTATATATGCCCCCCTTGATGCCGGTACAGGGCTCTTGATCCCAGGAATTGGACTGGTCCTCCTCCTCCTCCTCCTTCCTTAGTACAAACAAATATCAAGCTGAAATAAAGTATTATCCCCCCACCCGGTGCTGTTTTACCCCTACGGGTGCAGAGCTTCCCCATGACTAATAAATTCTCCCCTCAAGGAAGGTTCCTTGATGTTGGTGAGGGGCTCTTGATTTAGGGAATTGGAACTGTGCTCCAGTTCCCCGAATTAAGCCTGAATGCCTTCCACATCCCCCCCCCAGGCGCTGTATAATCCTCCGGGTTTAGCGTTTCCCCTTGATTATAATAATAATATAATAAATTCCTCTCAGGGGCCCCATCATGCCAGGAAAAGGCTCTTGATCCAAGAATTTTAACCACTCTGAGGATAGAAAAACTCTCGGAACGCATCAAAAGTATATACTAAATATATATAAGTGTATACTAAATATACATAATTAATATGTGTTTTCCCCGTGACCTGGTAGGTAAACCTCGGCCTTCACACACTCATGTCTGGGTTCGATCCCCGGCGAGGGTAGAAACACTTATATAGATTTAAGTAGTTATTATGTACTAGGATTAGTCTGCCCGAAATGCCCCGGCGGGATAGTGGCTTTCTTTGTGCTTAGCAAAAATTTTAATTACATATTGTAACATTTACAAAGAAATAATATCTGTATTCTTTCCTTATACCGGTTGTCTATGTTCATCCATCAGTAAAATGGGTACCTGGGTGTTAGTTGGCTGGTGTGGGTGGCCCGGTGGCCTGGTGGCTAAAGCTCCCGCTTCACATACGGAGGGCCCGGGTTCGATTCCCAGCGGGTGGAAACATTCGACACGTTTCCTTACACCTGTTGTCCTGTTCACCTAGCAGCAAATAGGTACCTGGGTGTTAGTCGACTGGTGTGGGTCGCATCCTGGGGGACAAGATTAAGGACCCCAATGGAAATAAGTTAGACAGTCCTCGATGACGCACTGACTTTCTTGGGTTATCCTGGGTGGCTAACCCTCCGGGGTTAAAAATCCGAACGAAATCTTATCTTATCTTATCTCTTATCCTGGGTGTTAGTAGGCTGGTGTGGGTGGCATCCTGGGTGTTAGTTGGCTGGTGTGGGTGGCATCCTGGGTGTTAGTTGGCTGGTGTGGGTGGCATCCTGGGTGTTAGTTGACTGGTGTGGGTGGCATCTGGGTGTTAGTTGGCTGGTGTGGGTGGCATCCTGGGTGTTAGTTGGCTGGTGTGGGTGGCATCCTGGGTGTTAGTTGGCTGCTGTGGGTGGCATCCTGGGTGTTATTTTGGCTGGTGTGGGTGGCATCTTGGGTTGTTAGTTGGCTGGTGTGGGTGGCATCCTGGGTGTTAGTTGGCTGGTGTGGGTGGCACCCTGGGTGTTAGTTGGCTGGTGTGGGTGGCATCCTGGGTGTTAGTTGGCTGGTGGGGTGGCATCCTGGGTGTTAGTTGGCTGGTGTGGGTGGCATCTTGGTTTTTAGTTGGCTGGTGTGGGTGCATCCTGGGTGTTAGTTGGCTGGTGTGGGTGGCATCCTGGGTGTTAGTTGGCTGGTGTGGGTGGCATCCTGGGTGTTAGTTGGCTGGTGTGGGTGGCATCCTGGGTGTTAGTTGGCTGGTGTGGGTGGCATCCTTGGTGTTAGTTGGCTGGTGTGGGTGGCATCCTGGTGTGTTAGTTGGCTGGTGTGGGTGGCATCCTGGGTGTTAGTTGGCTGGTGTGGGTGGCATCCTGGGTGTTAGTTGGCTGGTGTGGGTGGCATCCTGGGTGTTAGTTGGCTGGTGTGGTTGGCATCCTGGGTGTTAGTTGGCTGGTGTGGGTGGCATCCTGGGAGTTAGTTGGCTGGTGTGGGTGGCATCCTGGGTGTTAGTTGGCTGGTGTGGGTGGCATCCGGGGTGTTAGTTGGCTGGTGTGGGTGGCATCCTGGGTGTTAGTTGGCTGGTGTGGGTGGCACCCTGGGTGTTAGTTGGCTGGTGTGGGTGGCATCCTGGGTTTTTGTGGCTGGTGTGGGTGGCATCCTGGGGTTAGTTGGCTGGTGTGGGTGGCATCCTGGGTGTTAGTTGACTGGTGTGGGTGGCATCTGGGTGTTAGTTGGCTGGTGTGGGTGGCATCCTGGGTGTTAGTTGGCTGGTGTGGGTGGCATCCTGGGTGTTAGTTGGCTGGTGTGGGTGGCATCCTGGGTGTTAGTTGGCTGGTGTGGGTGGCATCCTGGGTGTTAGTTGGCTGGGTGTGGGTGGCATCCTGGGTGTTAGTTGGCTGGTGTGGGTGGCATCCTGGGTGTTAGTTGGCTGGTGTGGGTGGCATCCTGGGTGTTAGTTGGCTGGTGTGGGTGGCATCCTGGGTGTTAGTTGACGGGTGTGGGTGGCATCCTGGGTGTTAGTTGGCTGGTGTGGGTGGCATCCTGGGTGTTAGTTGGCTGGTGTTGGGTGGCATCCTGGGTGTTAGTTGGCTGGTGTGGGTGGCATCCTGGGTGTTAGTTGGCTGGTGTGGGTGGCATCCTGGGTGTTAGTTGGCTGGTGTGGGTGGCATCCTGGGTGTTAGTTGACTGGTGTGGGTGGCATCCTGGGTGTTAGTTGGCTGGTGTGGGTGGCATCCTGGGTGTTAGTTGACTGGTGTGGGTGGCATCCTGGGTGTTAGTTGACTGGTGTGGGTGGCATCCTGGGTGTTAGTTGGCTGGTGTGGGTGGCATCCTGGGTGTTAGTTGACTGGTGTGGGTGGCATCCTGGGTGTTATTTGGCTGGTGTGGGTGGCATCCTGGTGTTAGTTGGCTGGTGTGGGTGGCATCCTGGGTGTTAGTTGGTGGTGTGGGTGGCATCCTGGGTGTTTGTTGGCTGGTGTGGGTGGCATCTTGGGTGTTAGTTGGTTGGTGTGGGTGGCATCCTTGGTGTTAGTTGGCTGGTGTGGGTGGCATCCTGGGTGTTAGTTGGCTGGTGTGGGGTGGCATCCTGGGTGTTAGTTGGCTGGTGTGGGTGGCATCCTGGGTGTTAGTTGACTGGTGTGGGTGGCATCCTGGGTGTTAGTTGACTGGTGTGGGTGGCATCCTGGGTGTTAGTTGGCTGGTGTGGGTGGCATCCTGGGTGTTAGTTGACTGGTGTGGGTGGCATCCTGGGTGTTAGTTGGCTGGTGTGGGTGGCATCCTGGGTGTTAGTTGGCTGGTGTGGGTGGCATCCTGGGTGTTAGTTGGCTGGTGTGGGTGGCATCCTGGGTGTTTGTTGGTGGTGTGGGTGGCATCTTGGGTGTTAGTTGGTTGGTGTGGGTGGCATCCTTGGTGTTAGTTGGCTGGTGTGGGTGGCATCCTGGTGTTAGTTGACTGGTGTGTGGTGGCATCCTGGGTGTTTAGTTGGCTGGTGTGGGTGGCATCCTGGGTGTTAGTTGGCTGGTGTGGGTGGCATCCTGGGTGTTAGTTGGCTGGTGTGGGTGGCATCCTGGGTGTTTGTTGGCTGGTGTGGGTGGCATCTTGGGTGTTAGTTGGTTGGTGTGGGTGGCATCCTTGGTGTTAGTTGGCTGGTGTGGGTGGCATCCTGGGTGTTAGTTGGCTGGTGTGGGTGGCATCCTGGGTGTTAGTTGGCTGGTGTGGGTGGCATCCTGGGTGTTAGTTGGCTGGTGTGGGTGGCATCCTGGGTGTTTGTTGGTTGGTGTGGGTGGCATCTTGGGTGTTAGTTGGTTGGTGTGGGTGGCATCCTTGGTGTTAGTTGGCTGGTGTGGGTGGCATCCTGGGTGTTAGTTGCTGGTGTGGGTGGCATCCTTGGTGTTAGTTGGCTGGTGTGGGTGGCATCCTGGGTGTTAGTTGGCTGGTGTGGGTGGCATCCTGGGTGTTAGTTGGCTGGTGTGGGTGGCATCCTGGGTGTTAGTTGGCTGGTGTGGGTGGCATCCTTGGTACTCACCTAGTTGTACTCACCTAGTTGAGGTTGCGGGGGTCGAGTCCGAGCTCCTGGCCCCGCCTCTTCACTGATCGCTACTAGGTCACTCTCCCTGAGCCGTGAGCTTTATCATACCTCTGCTTAAATCTATGTATGGATCCTGCCTCCACTACATCGCTTCCCAAACTATTCCACTTACTGACTACTCTGTGGCTGAAGAAATACTTCCTAACATCCCTGTGATTCATCTGTGTCTTCAGCTTCCAACTGTGTCCCCTTGTTAGTGTCCAATCTCTGGAACATCCTGTCTTTGTCCACCTTGTCAATTTCTCTCAGTATTTTGTATGTCGTTATCATGTCCCCCCTATCTCTCCTGTCCTCCAGTGTCGTCAGGTTGATTTCCCTTAACCTCTCCTCGTAGGACATACCTCTTAGCTCTGGGACTAGTTATGTTGCAAACCTTTGCACTTTCTCTAGTTTCTTCACGTGCTTGGCTAGGTGTGGGTTCCAAACTGGTGCCGCATACTCCACTATGGGCCTAACATACACGGTGTACAGGGTCCTGAATGATTCCTTATTAAGATGTCGGAATGCTGTTCTGAGGTTTGCTAGGCGCCCATATGCTGCAGCAGTTATTTGGTTGATGTGCGCTTCAGGAGATGTGCCTGGTGTTATACTCACCCTAAGATCTTTTTCCTTGAGTGAGGTTTGTAGTCTCTGGCCCCCCTAGACTGTACTCCGTCTGCGGTCTTCTTTCCCCTTCCCCAATCGTCATGACTTTGCACTTGGTGGGATTGAACTCCAGGAGCCAATTGCTGGACCAGGTCTGCAGCCTGTCCAGATCCCTTTGTAGTTCTGCCTGGTGTTAGTTGGCTGGTGTGGGTGGCATCCTGGGTGTTAGTTGGCTCGTGTGGGTGGCATCTTGGGTGTTAGTTGGCTGGTGTGGGTGGCATCCTGGGTGTTAGTTGGCTGGTGTGGGTGGCATCTTGGGTGTTAGTTGGCTGGTGTGGGTGGCATCCTGGGTGTTAGTTGGCTGGTGTGGGTGGCATCTTGGGTGTTAGTTGGCTGGTGTGGGTGGCATCCTGGGTGTTAGTTGGCTGGTGTGGGTGGCATCCTGGGTGTTAGTTGGGTGGTGTGGGTGGCATCCCGGGTGTTAGTTGGCTGGTGTGGGTGGCATCCTGGGTGTTAGTTGGCTGGTGTGGGTGGCATCCTTGGTGTTAGTTGGGTGGTGTGGGTGGCATCCTGGGTGTTAGTTGGCTGTTGTGGGTGGCATCCTGGGTGTTAGTTGGCTGGTGTGGGTGGCATGCTGGGTGTTAGTGGGACAAAACTGACCTAATTTGCAGGAAATGCTCTACATAACAAGCAACTTTCTATATAGTAGTATGTCATTGATGTCAGCTATGGTCTGTATAAGTTGATCATGTACTTGTAGTAAATAATTATTATTATTATTATTATTATTAATTTTCAGGGTATCAGTTGTTCGCAGGATATGCGGTTGTCACAGCTGTGGCAGCTTATGTCTACTCACTCACAGACAAAAAGATCAGGTATTTTTTTTTTCTATGCCCATTATTTGATTTTAGTTGAAAACTAGCTATAAGATTTTATTTAAAATTTGCAATATTTGAACTATAGTATCGGCACACCTCTGGCAAGACAGTGATGGAGTGAGTAATGATGCAAGCGTTTCTTCTTTTTGGGTTGCCCGGCCTCAGTGGGAACTGGCCAATATGTTATAAAAAACTTTCCCATGCTTAAATAATTTTTCTTTTAGTTGTCCTCATTATGAATACTGACCCAGTGTTGACATATTAGAGAAGTATATTTCAAGGCATGACATTGAAAATACGCTCAAATTATTATTCAGACGTAATTTCATGTTATTTGTGGATTTTAAGTTTGTGGAACCTCTAGAACCATTCATTTCTCAATAATAACATGGAGACAGAAACACAAAGGATTAATTAGTCTGTATTTTAATCCCCATCTGGGATTCTTTTCATTTATTTACTTTTCAGTATGTAGAGTAGTAGCATAGAACCTAACCTAACTTAACCTAGCCTAACTTAACCTAGCCTAACTTAACCTAGCCTAACTTAACCTAACCTAACTTAACCTAACCTAACCTAACTTAACCTAGCCTAACTTAACCTAACCTAACTTAACCTAACCTAACCTAACTTAACCTAGCCTAACTTAACCTAACCTAACTTAACCTAACCTAACCTAACTTAACCTAGCCTAACTTAACCTAACCTGCTGTATAAGTGGGTCCCTCCTTTACAGCAGCAGCCCACAACCTTACCTTTACCTTTACCTTTGCCCTTGCCCTTGCCCTTGCCTTGCCTGGCCTGGCCTGGCCTGGCCTTGCCTTGCCTGGCCTGGCCTGGCCTGGCCTTGGCCTTGGCCTTGGCCTTGGCCTTGGCCAAACCCATGATGATTCTCTTCAAACCGCTTGTGCTCTCTAGGCTGGAATACTGCTGTACACTAACGGCCGCCTTCAAGGCTGGCGACATTGCAGACCTGGAGAGTGTACAAAGAACTTTCACGGCACACATAAGTGCGATAAGGCACCCAAACTACTGGGAACGGTTGAAGGTCCTTGATCTGTATTCCCTGGAACACAGGAGAGAGAGATACATGTTAATATACACTTGGAAGGTACTGGAGGGATTGGTACCAAACCTTCACACGAAAATCACTCCAAATGAAAGCAAAAGACTCGGCAGGAGATGCAACATTCCCCCGATGAAAAGCAGGGGTGCCACGAGTACACTGAGAGACAACACAATAAGTGTCCAGGGCCCAAGACTGTTCAATTGCCTCCCAGCATACATAAGGTGGATTACCAATAGACCTCTTTCTGTCTTCAAGAAGGCACTGGACAGGCACCTAAAGTCAGTACCTGACCAACCGGGCTGTGGTTCGTACGTCAGCTTGTGTGCGGCCAGCAGTAACAGCCTGGTTGATCAGACCCTGATCAACCAGGAGGTTGATCAGGGTCTGATCAACCAGGGGGGGTCTGGGGCCACAGGGGTCTGGGACCCCCGGCCTGGTCCAGTAAACTTGGCCATGGCTTATTGACCCCTACACCGAATACCCCTCCTCAGGTAAACCTTCCACCTTTATAACTTTACCTTTACAGCTACCACTACACATAACATAACATAACCTACTGTATAAGTGCGTCCCTCCTTTACAGCAGTAGCCCAGAACCTTACCTTACCTTACCTAACATAACATAACCTGCTGTATAAGTGGGGCCCTCCTTTACAGCAGTAGCCCAGAACCTTACCTTACCTAACATAACATAACCTGCTGTATAAGTGGGGCCCTCCTTTACAGCAGTAGCCCAGAACCTTACCTTACCTTACCTAACATAACATAACCTGCTGTATAAGTGCGTCCCTCCTTTACAGCAGTAGCCCAGAACCTTACCTTACCTTACCTAACATAACATAACCTGCTGTATAAGTGGGGCCCTCCTTTACAGCAGTAGCCCAGAACCTTACCTTACCTTACCTAACATAACATAACCTGCTGTATAAGTGCGTCTCTCCTTTACAGCAGTAGCCCAGAACCTTACCTTACCTTACCTAACATAACATAACCTGCTGTATAAGTGGGGCCCTCCTTTACAGCAGTAGCATATGGGCGCCTGGCAAACCTAAGAACAGCATTCCGACATCTAAATAAGGAGTCATTCAGGACCCTGTACGCTGTGTACGTTAGGCCCGTATTTGAGTATGCAGCGTCAGTTTGGAACCCTCACCTAGCCAAGCATGTAAGCAAACTAGAGAAAGTGCAAAGGTTTGCAACAAGACTAGTCCCGGAGCTAAGCGGTATGTCCTATGAGGAGAGGTTAAAGGGAAATCGACTTGATGATACTGGAAGACATAAGAGATAGGAGGGATGTGATAATGACATAAAATACTGAGAGGTATCGACAAGGTGGACAGACACAGAATGTTCCAGAGATGGACACAGCAACAAGGGGTCACATTTGGAAGTTAAAGACTCAGATGAACCAAAGGAATGTTAGGAAGTACTTCTTCAGTCACAGAGTTGTCAGGAAGTGGAATAGCCTGGGTAGTGATGTAGTGGAGGCAGGATCCATACATAGCTTTAAGAAGAGGTATGATAAAGCTCATGGAATGGGAAGAGTTACTGAGTAGCGGCCAGTGAAGAGGTGGGGCCAGGAACTGTGTTTCAACCTCTGTAACCACAACTAGGCGAGTATAGCTAGGCGAGTACCTAACCTAACCTAAGCTGCTGTATAAGTGGGTCCCTCCTGTACTGGTATTTATTTAGTTACAGTAACTTTATTTACTCATCATTTTCACATTCAACTTATGATATTTTTAATTTACGATGTGTTCATTGGAACGTAACCCCATTGTAAGTTGAGGAGCGCCTGTATTTATATATAAGACAGCTTCTTAGAATCTACTTTTCTTTTTACCGTAGCTTATTCTAGCATATTGTTTAAGGATTGTGCCCTTGAAATGAGAAACAAATTTTAAACCTAGAAAGGTATTTCATGCAAGAAGTGTATGTATTTCAATATTGTATTAATTTTATTTTTCATATGTATAGGCGCAACAAGTTGGAAATGTTGAGTGGTGTTCTAGCTCTTGAGCCAATGCTACTTGCTGAGAGAGATCGGCAGTTCCTCAAGCAGATGAGACGTAACCGTGATGAGGAGGTGAGCATTTGTTGAGATAAGACTTAGAGTTATTTGTATTCATGCCCTTAATCCACTTAAAAATTTATATATGGGATGAATTTGTTTGTATATACAATCTGACTGGATGCAAGCGACACCTTACTGTTACACGTACGTTTATTTAGGCACATGTACACACAAGTAGAATTATACATAGTGTAAATTACCCACCAGGATAACCCAAAAAAGTCAAAGGGACTTACTTTCCATTGGTGTCCTTGTAATATGATCCCACCTTTCTTATTACCTTCTTTCTGTATACAGTGCATAATGTTGCTATATTCTTTATATTACTAAAGCTCTGTTTATAGCAAAATAGCAATAAATATAGGTTTTTTCTGTATATAATGTCTTTCTGCCAGATCATTGATGAACCATTACTGGTTTATCAGAGATCTTTTAATACTGGAGGTAATGTGACATAAATTAGATAACTTAATCCCAGAATTTATATTAAGTAAACATTTTTTACCATAGTCACTTACTGAGCATTCTTTTTCACATACAACTTTGTTACAAAGCATGTTTTTTCTCCAGGAAAAACTGATGGCAAACGTTGAGGGGTGGGAGGTAGGAAAGTTGTACAATGAGCCTATCTTCAAGACTGTGCCTGAAGACCGTTACATGGACCCCATTGTTGACGAATACTACATCCACGGACACCAACGCAACTTCATTCGTAATGCTTACTTGCACCTCTTTACCTAAGCAGTGATTCGAATGTTATCCGATAGGATGTGGTATTGTTGTAACCTTGTAGATAACTGCTTCAGTTTGTGTTGTAAATTTCCATATTGCTGTATTGTGGAAGTGCACAGTGTATGATGCCAGTGTGCACTTGCATCGTCATGATCCTGTATGAGCAGTTTTTATTCAAGTTGAAATGTACATACCAGTGATAATACAAGATTAAATGATTAAAAATAAGTTAGTTTAATTTGATCCTTTTAGCTTGCCTTTCTTTCTTCCCCATCCACTTCACCTCGTTCTTGTTGCTTGCTTCACTGGGGAAACAATTTGGGGAAAAAATCTGACATTGGTCTGTCGCAAGATAAAATGTGAGAAATGTTAGCATTATGGTGAGTACTCAGCAGCATCAGCAGCACCGGTGCACAACGAACTTAGTTTTCTGAGTGCAATCTCTCCTAGTTATCTCTTGTTCTCTTGCCACCACTACTGCTTTACCCACACTAACTAGCACCTACACTAATAAGAGTTTGTCATAAAAACCAATCTGAAGCTGCCAGACAGGAAGCATGAGACTTTTCCTGCTTGAAAGGGAAATGTGAAGAACGATACGGGGGTGACATGTCCTCATGGGATAATTATTGGTAGTAATATTAGTAGTATTTTATTATTATTATTCAAGGGAACTGTGAAGTAATTAGGCTTGATCCAATGAAAGGGAGAATAGCTCTTGATTCCTTGGATCAAGAAGCATGGGGTAATGCCACAGGGATTGGTATTCCCTTTGGTGTTTCTAATTGGTATAAATAACTTGCCAGGACTTAAGACCTATTGGACTATATCTGAACATATTTGCTTAGGCAAATAAACTGTGCAAGATGATTATAGTAATAAAAATTAGTGTATTCTTATAGGAAGACCCAGAGCACATGAAGATGGAATAATAATGATAATAATGTGTATAACATCAAGGAGGAGGTTCCTTGATGCTCGTGAGGGGCTCTTGATCTAGGGAATTTGATGCCCCTCAAGGGAGGTTCCTTGATGCTGATGATGGGCTCTTGATCTAGGGAATTGGATCTGTGCTTCAGTTCCTTGAATTGAGACTGAATACCTTCCATAACCCCCACAGGCACTGTATAATCCTACAGGTTTAGCGCTTCCCCCTTGATTATAATAATAGTGACAGGCTGTCAGTCTAAGGGGTTGGAGTTATCCTCCCCTTCCTTGGATCAAACCTGATTATCTCCACCCTTTATAACTGCCAGGCACAGTATGAGCTTCAGGGGTTTAATGTTTCTCTGCTTGTATAAGAGCAATGTGGTTTATGCCAGGTATTAAACATGGATAAACGTGAAGCCAGGCGGAACACAATACCAACTGTACAATATAATAATAAATATATAACCCTAATTTTTAAAGGGGTGGCTCGGTAAGCCAGTGGAAGGCCTTGGTCAGATGACCAAAAGCTCCAGCTGTGGATAATCATATGACTAAGACCAGCATCAGGAAACACTTGTCCTGTTTCCTGACAAACCTTACCTAACCTGAAGACCAGCGTCAGGAAACACTTGTCCTGTTTCCTGACGAACCTTACTAACCTAACCTGAAGACCAGCATCAGGAAACACTTGTCCTGTTTCCTGACAAACCTTACCTAACCTAACCTAACCTGAAGACCAGCATCAGGAAACACTTGTCCTGTTTCCTGATGAACCTTACTAACCTAACCTGAAGACCAGCATCAGGAAACACTTGTCATGTTTCCTGACAAACCTTACCTAACCTAACCTGAAGACCAGCATCAGGAAACACTTGTCCCGTTTCCTGACAAACCTTACCTAACCTAACCTGAAGACCAGCATCAGGAAACACTTGTCCTGTTTCCTGACAAACCTTACTTAACCTAACCTGAAGACCAGCGTCAGGAAACACTTGTCCTGTTTCCTGACAAACCTTACCTAACCTAACCTGAAGACTAGCGTCAGGAAACACTTGTCCTGTTTCCTGACAAACCTTACCTAACCTAACCTGAAGACCAGCGTCAGGAAACACTTGTCCTGTTTCCTGACAAACCTTACCTAACCTAACCTGAAGACCAGCGTCAGGAAACACTTGTCCTGTTTCCTGACAAACCTTACCTAACCTAACCTGAAGACCAGCATCAGGAAACACTTGTCCTGTTTCCTGACAAACCTTACCTAACCTAACCTGAAGACTAGCGTCAGGAAACACTTGTCCTGTTTCCTGACAAACCTTACCTAACCTAACCTGAAGACTAGCATCAGGAAACACTTGTTCTGTTTCCTGACAAACCTTACCTAACCTAACCTGAAGACCAGCGTCAGGAAACACTTGTCCTGTTTCCTGACAAACCTTACCTAACCTAACCTGAAGACCAGCATCAGGAAACACTCGTCCTGTTTCCTGACAAACGTTGCCTTACCTAACCTAATAACAAGGATCAGACAAAGGGTCTTAAGAACCACTGCAGTGCTATATGACCCTTCTGTGTTTAGCACTTAATTATGTTTATAATAAGAACCACTGGTGATGAAAGATTGTTATGTAGCTTTCAAAGGAAATTAACATCTCTACTCCTGAGGTCCTATGTGGCACTGACAAACTTGAGAAAAACATATAGTAAATAAATATGGAAGGGGAAATGTAAAAAAAAACTATTTGCATATGTGTATTAGTTCCAAATTGGAATGTCTATGTTTGAACTCTGGCAGTTTTTCTTAATTTACTTCCCAGTGCTGTATGACCCTGATGGGTTTAGCACTTAGTTACGATTATAATAATTTACTTCCTTGTGTCCATTCTTTTTCCTTAACCCCCCTTCTTTTATGCATCCATTGTGTAGGCTAAGGGTCATTATCCTACCTCAGCTTATTTCAAAGCCCAGCCGTATCTGAGGTAAACTCCCGCCCCCCAGGATACAACCCCCACAAGTTGGGTAACACCTACTTGCTGCTAGCTGAAAAGGGACAGCAGGTGTAAGGAAACCTGCCCAATTTTTCCACCCATGCCAGGGATTGAACCACAGACACTCAGTGTGTGTGAGCTGAGTGCTCTACTAACCCAGCTACAAGACACCCCTTTGTTCCTCCCTCATAACTTCAGACTCAAAGATATTGCTACAATTGTGGCTTCTCTAGCTTGACCCTTCTAGGGAAGTGCCTTGATGCTGCTGAGGGGCTCTTGATCCATGGAACTGGATTTACCCTTTCCTTGGATCAAAGCTGAACTTCTTCCCCAGGTGCTACATGGCTCCTATGGGTTTAACCCTTCCTGCCCAAGATGCCCCGGCATGATAGTGGCTTTCTTTGTGTTTAGCAAACCAAAACTGTAGTTACACATTGTAACCTTTACAAAGAAATAAAACTTTATCTTTATCTCAGCCTACTTGTGGTGCCGCTGCTTTTCATTGGGGAAACGTTGCATCTCCTGCCAAGGATTTTGTTTTTGTAGGAAGTGGTTTTCATGTGTAGATTTAGTACTAGTTCTTCAAGAATTTTCCAAGTGTATATCATCATGTATCTTTCTCGCCTGCATTCCAAGGAGTACAGGTCAAGGAACTTCAACAGTTCCCAGTAATTTATGTGCTTGAGATACATGATTATATACACCTGGAAAATCCTAGAGGGACTAGTACCAAACTTGCACATGAAAATCACTCCCTATGAAAGCTAAAGACTCGGCAGACGATGCAACATTCCCCCAATGAAAAGTAGGGGTGTCACTAGCATGTTAAGAGACAACACAATAAGTGTCAGGGGCCCAAGACTGTTCAACTGCCTCCCAGCATACATAAGGGGGATTACCAATAGACCCCTGGCTGTCTTCAAGAAGGCACTGGACAAGCACCTAAAGTCGGTACCTGACCAGCCAGGCTGTGGTTCGTACGTTGGATTGCATGCAGCCAGCAGTAACAGCCTGGTTGATCAGGCCCTGATCCACCATGAGGCCTGGCCACAGACCAGGCTGTGAAGGCATTGACCCCTGGAGCTCTCTCCAGGTATATGTGCTGTAAAAGTTCTCTGTATATTGTCCAGGTCTGCAAGTTCACCTGCCTTGAAGAGGGTTATTAGTGTACAGCAATATTACAGCCTAGAGAGAACAAGCGATTTGAAGAGAATCATCATGGTCTTGGTGTCCCTATCTTTGAAGGTTCTCGTTATCTATCTCATCATTTTCCTACCCCTCAAGAAAGGTTCCTTGACACTGGTGAGGGGCTCTTGATCTAGGGAATTGAATATGTGCTCCAGTTCCCTGAATTAAGCCTGAACACCTTCTACATATCCCCAGGTTTAGCACTTCCCCCTTGATTATAATAATAATCATTTCCTAGCAGATGTGGTACCTGGAGTTTACCTGGAGAGAGTTCCAGGGGTCAACGCCCCCACGGCCTGGTCTGTGACCAGGCCTCATGGTGGAACAGGGTCTGATCAACCAGGCTGTTACTGCTGGCTGCACACAATCCAACGTACGAGCCACAGCCTGGCTGGTCAGGTACCGACTTTAGGTGCTTGTCCAGTGCCTGCTTGAAGACAGCCAGGGGTCTATTGGTAATCCCCCTTATGTATGCTGGGAGGCAGTTGAACAGTCTCGGGCCCCTGACACTTATTGTGTTGTTTCTTAGCGTGGCAGATACATTGATGTGGACCTAGTTGTAACCTAGTGTCAATTACATACAATAACCCCAGAAATTGCTTAGGGATGCTAATCTAATTATAAAATGGGTCTTGGGGATTGTCCTTGAAGTAATCTCATCATTTTGAAGGGGACTGATGGAATTTTTGGAGGAGGGGACTGATGGATTTTTTGTAGGGGGGGCTGACGGAGTTTTTGGTTGGGAGGACTAATGGATTTTTTTATAGGGGGCTGATAGAATTTTTGGTTGGGAGGACTGATGGATTTTTTTATAGGAGGCTGGTGGAATTTTTGGAGGGGGCTGATGGATTTTTTAAAGGGGGCTTCAGCCCCTTAATTAATTTTTTATAATAGACAAAAACAAATCTAGAATTGCTGGTTTTATGTCAGTGTATGAAATATATAAAGGGTCTTTTTAATTATATATTATACAATAATTCGAAAAAAAAGATAGAATTGGAATTTTGAATTGAATCAAAATTAGATAAACCACAAAACTGAGTTTTTAATTAAATAATACAATAGTTAATATACTCTGATGTATATGATTTTTTGAGTACTTAGAGAGTATAGATTAATAAGTTAAATTTGATGTTATTATTGAGAAGGAGCTCAGTTGATAAACTAAATTTTTATATCATTGTTATCTGTTTGTTGAAGGTCAATGTTGAAGGAAGTGAAGGAAGGAAGAAAGTAAAGAAGGAAGGTGAGGAAGGAAGGAATATATATATATATATATATATATATATATATATATATATATATATATATATATATATATATATATATGAATATATATATGTGCATAAGTGGGTCATTGATCAATCCATACTGGTTTAGGACTCTACGTAAGTGTCCCTAGAGTCAACAATCACAAGCAGCCGGGTACAACCCCGGGGGCGGGCCAGACACCTTAGCGGTAAATAGGTACCTTCTCTCTCTCCCGTATAGTGCAATAAACCCGTAAGGGTGGGGGGAAGGAGGGTCGCCCAGCTCCTGGGAAGTCCCTGTTTAGTCGTGTTTGATCCGAGGAAGGAGAGGCAAAGATTTTTTTTAATGTATTATAAATCTTTGGAAAAGGAGCATTGAGGCTCTTGGTTCAGGGTAGTGGAGCTGCCTGCCGCTTCCTTGGATCAACTCTACCCCCCCTTTGCTACCCATACCCAGGATATTCTCTCTGGCCCATACAGGTTTAGCGCTTCCCCGCGAATATAATTTTTTCAACATTTTTAGTCACTAAATACCACAAAAAAACACAAAAAACACCAAAAGTAAGAAATAGCACAAGTGACAACATTAAAATTAATGCCGAATAAATGACACCAAGTTATTGTATAATAAAAATTACAATTAAAGCTAATTTTTAATGTTTATTGAGGAAAAAAAAAGAATCAGAGCGAGTGCCGTCACACCGCGCGTCTACGAGCCATAGTGAACATCACCGCTTGCTGATATACCAGCATGTATGATAGACACTATCATACCCTAACTGGTATGATAGACACTATCATACCATAACTGGTATGATAGACTATCATACCATAACTTGTATGATAGACTATCATACCCTAACTGGTATGATAGACACTATCATACCATAACTGGTATGATAGACACTATCATACCATAACTGGTATGATAGACTATCATACCCTAACTGGTATGATAGACACTATCATACCATAACTGGTATGATAGACTATCATACCCTAACTGGTATGATAGACACTATCATACCATAACTGGTATGATAGACACTATCATACCATAACTGGTATGATAGACTATCATACCATAACTTGTATGATAGACTATCATACCCTAACTGGTATGATAGACACTATCATACCATAACTGGTATGATAGACTATCATACCCTAACTGGTATGATAGACACTATCATACCATAACTGGTATGATAGACACTATCATACCATAACTGGTATGATAGACTATCATACCCTAACTGGTATGATAGACACTATCATACCATAACTGGTATGATAGACACTATCATACCATAACTGGTATGATAGACTATCATACCATAACTTGTATGATAGACTATCATGCCCTAACTGGTATGATAGACACTATCATACCATAACTGGTATGATAGACTATCATACCATAACTGGCATGATAGACTATCATACCCTAACTGGTATGATAGACACTATCATACCATAACTGGTATGATAGACTATCATACCCTAACTGGTATGATAGACACTATCATACCATAGCTGGTATGATAGACTATCATACCCTAACTGGTATGATAGACACTATCATACCATAACTGGTATGATAGACACTATCATACCATAACTGGTATGATAGACTATCATACCCTAACTGGTATGATAGACACTATCATACCATAACTGGTATGATAGACACTATCATACCATAACTGGTATGATAGACTATCATACCATAACTTGTATGATAGACTATCATACCCTAACTGGTATGATAGACACTATCATACCAGTTATGGTATGATAGTTATAAAAATCCATAAATACTTCAACATACATGTAGTGATACTGGTCCTGTGAGGAGCAGCAGCAGGATAATACTGCACCACCTCTAGGGGCCCTTAACAACAACAACAACAGTTTGGTGTGGTCATGGGTACCAACACATGGTGTGTGATTCTCTTATACTTTATCCATTTATCTGCGATGCAGATTACATGGTGAGTTTAAATATGTGGCCTGTAGTTATAACTTTTCTCTTGACATATGCAAGACATCACCATCCCTGTAGAAGCCATTATTAGATGTACTAGTCATTATATTTTGTTGTTGCAGAAGTACTATGAAGATTCTATGTTCAATAAAGCCTAGAGATAAGGCCTGTGTTTCTATCACAACAATACATTACAGTATAATCATGGTGTGTTAACACAGTAATGCTCTTGTACTCTGTGGCTTAGTTACCATCTGGTATAATACCCATAACGAAGTTTATTTAGGCACAAGTACACCTAAGTACAATTATCATACATAGTTTAACATATATGTGTAAATTATCATATATAGTGTAAATTACCCACTAGGATAAGTCAAAAAATTTAGTCAAAGTGACTTATTTCTACTGATGTTCTACCAATGTTTTATTATATAGAAACTATATGTACTGCATAAAAAACTACACTATATGTACTGCATAAAAAACTACACTATATGTACTGCATAAAAAACTACACTATATGTACTGCATAAAAAATAAAATTTGTATTGTAACAGGTTTCAGTGAGAGCAATGAAAGTCGCTGCCAACTTGTCGTTCATGTTCGTGGAGGCCGGTGGACTGGTGGGTCGCTATAGGGCTGCCAGGGAGGCAGGATTCTTAGCTGTTGAATGTGCTTTCCCTTATACTGTGCCTCAGGAGGACATAGCAGCTGTACTCAAAGAACAAGGCCTTAAACAAGTTCTCATCAACTCCGATCCTGGTAATTAAAGTTTTAATTTTTAGAGGGCTGGAGTGGTAAGCCAGTGGAAGGCCTCAGTCAGATGACCAAAAGCTCCAGCTGAGGGTCATCATATGACTAAAACCAGTGTTAGGAAACACTTGTCCTGTTTCCTGACGAACCTTACCTAACCTAACCTAGTTGGTAATTGCCTACCATATTTCGAATTGGATAATGCATTTTTACACATTTTACTAGCATTCACTGCATTTTTAGTGGCTTTCATTTGTGCATAGCAATATTTTATAATGTAAACTACAGTATCTCTCTACTGGAGTATATGTACCTAGAGAGGGTTCCAGGGGTCATTGCCCCTGCAGCCAGGGATGTTGAAGACAACCAGGGGTTTTGAAGACAGCCAGGGGTCAATTGGTAATCACCCTTATGTATGCTGAGAGGCAGTTGAACAGTCTTGGGCCCCTGACACTTATTGTGTTGTCTCTTAGCGTATTCGTGGCACCCCTGCTTTTCACTTGGGGGATGTTGCATCTCCTGCCAGATCTTTTGCTTTCGTAGGGAGTGATTTTTGTGTGCAAATTTGGTACTAATCCTTCTGGCATTGACAAGTCATAGTGAAGCCTTCCCATCCCCCTTTCTTTTATATATAGGTGCTCCTTGACTTGCAATAAAGTTTTGTTCTGATGAACCCATCATAAGTCAAAAATATTGTAAGTCGAATGTGAATATGATATGCTAAATAAGTAAATAAACACATAATTACTGTAATTAACTAAATACCAGTATTGAAAAGCAAATAAGAGGATGGAACAAAATAGAATGACTTTCAGAGTGTATAAATCTGTAGTGGAGGGAAGGCGGGGTAGGGGTCAACCTAGAAAAGGTTGGAGGGAGGGAGTAAAGGAGATTTTGTGTGCAAGGGGCTTGGACTTCCAGCAAGCATGCGTGACCATGTTAGATAGGAGCGAATGGAGACAAATGGTTTTTAGGACTGGACGTGCTCTTGGAGTGTGAGCAAGGTAATATTTATGAAGGGATTCAGAGAAACTGGCAGGCTGGACTTGAGTCCTGGAGATGGGAAGTACAGTGTCTGCACTCTGAAGGAGGGATGTTAATGTTGTACGTAGTTTTATAACTGTAGTGTAAGCACACCTCTGGCAAGACAGTGATGGAGTGAATGATGGTGAAAATTTTTCTTTTTTGGGCCACCCTACCTTGGTAGGAAACAGCTGATACCTGGAGTATACCTGGAGAGGGTTTCGGGGGTCAATGCCCCCACAGCCCAGTCTGTGGCCAGGCCTCATGGTGGCTCAGGGCTTTGCTGCCTTCATGCTGGTTAATTATCTTAAGTTTCACCTTCAAAGTAATTGCTTTCACACTATCGTAAAGTCAAATTATTGTAAGTTGAACCATCGTAAGTCGAGGAGCACTCGTATTCTGGTGGCTTCTCCACTTCTCACTTCAGTGTGATTTATCAGTGACCCAAGACAGACTGAAATGTCATCATGAATTTCCTCTCCTAAGTACAGTGGATCCTTGGTTATTGGTGGTAATCCGTTCCAGAAGGTCGCCCAAAACCCGAAATTGGCCTCTGGAAGATAGGGAGGAGGAAAGAGGGAGGAGTTAGTGTTTGGAAGGGAAATCCCCCTCCATAAAGACTTTAGGTAGCAAAACCTTCTCTGGAGTTACTTAGGCTAAAGGAATCGTATAGGAGTCAGGAATCGCGGGAAGAACTAAAAGCCATAAATAAAATCGAAAGAAACCCAAAGTATTTCTTCTCCTATGCCAAATCAAAGTCGAGAACAACATCCAGTATTGGGCCCCTACTTAAACAAGATGGGTCCTACACAGATGACAGCAAGGAAATGAGTGAGCTACTCAAGTCCCAATATGACTCAGTTTTTAGCAAGCCACTAACCAGACTGAGAGTCGAAGATCAAAATGAATTTTTTATGAGAGAGCCACAGAATTTGGTAAACACAAGCCTATCTGATGTTATCCTGATGCCAAATGACTTCGAACAGGCGATAAATGACATGCCCATGCACTCTGCCCCAGGGCCAGACTCATGGAACTCCGTGTTCATCAAGAACTGCAAGAAGCCCCTATCACGAGCTTTTACCATCCTGGGAGTGATCATGTCGGAGGATCTCACCTTCAAGGACCATAACATTGTATCAATCGCATCTGCTAGAAAAATGACAGGATGGATAATGAGAACCTTCAAAACTAGGGAGGCCAAGCCCATGATGACACTCTTCAGGTCACTTGTTCTATCTAGGCTGGAATATTGCTGCACACTAACAGCACCTTTCAAGGCAGGTGAAATTGCCGACCTAGAAAATGTACAGAGAACTTTCACGGCGCGCATAACGGAGATAAAACACCTCAATTATTGGGAGCGCTTGAGGTTCCTAAACCTGTATTCCCTGGAACGCAGGAGGGAGAGATACATGATTATATACACCTGGAAAATCCTAGAGGGACTAGTACCGAACTTGCACACGAAAATCACCCACTACGAAAGCAAAAGACTTGGCAGACGATGCACCATCCCCCCAATGAAAAGCAGGGGTGTCACTAGCACGTTAAGAGACCATACAATAAGTGTCAGGGGCCCGAGACTGTTCAACTGCCTCCCAGCACACATAAGGGGGATTACCAACAGACCCCTGGCAGTCTTCAAGCTGGCACTGGACAAGCACCTAAAGTCAGTTCCGGATCAGCCGGGCTGTGGCTCGTATGTTGGTTTGCGTGCAGCCAGCAGCAACAGCCTGGTTGATCAGGCTCTGATCCACCAGGAGGCCTGGTCTCAGACCGGGCCGCGGGGGCGTTGACCCCCGGAACTCTCTCCAGGTAAACTCCAGGTATGGAGAGGGAGCATGGACACGGGGGTCGTCCCACAGTTACTAAAAACAACAGACATAGCCCCACTCCACAAAGGGGGCAGAAAAGCAACAGCAAAGAACTACAGACCGATAGCACTAACATCCCATATCATAAAAATCTTTGAAAGGGTCCTAAGAAGCAAGATCACCACCCATCTAGAAACCCATCAATTACACAACCCAGGGCAACATGGGTTTAGAACAGGTCGCTCCTGTCTGTCTCAACTATTGGATCACTACGACAAGGTCCTAGATGCACTAGAAGACAAAAAGAATGCAGATGTAATATATACAAACTTTTCAAAAGCCTTCGACAAGTGTGACCATGGCGTAATAGCGCACAAAATGCGTGCTAAAGGAATAACGGGAAAAGTCAGTTGATGGATCTATAATTTCCTCACTAACAGAACACAGAGAGTAGTAGTCAACAGAGTAAAGTCCAAGGCAGCTACGGTGAAAAGCTCTGTTCCACAAGGCACAGTACTTGCTCCCATCTTGTTCCTCATCCTCATATCTGACAAAGACAAGGATGTCAGCCACAGCACCGTGTCTTCCTTTGCAGATGACACTCGAATCTGCATGACAGTGTCTTCCATTGCAGACACTGCAAGGTTCCAGGCAGACATCAACCAAATCTTTCAGTGGGCTGCAGAAAACAATATGAAGTTTAACGATGAGAAATTTCAATTACTCAGATATGGCAAACATGAGGAAATTAAATCGTCATCAGAGTACAAAACAAATTCTGGCCATAAAATAGAGCGAAACACCAACGTCAAAGACCTGGGATTGATCATGTCGGAGGATCTCAACTTCAAGGACCATAACATTGTATCAATCGCATCTGCTAGAAAAATGACAGGATGGATAATGAGAACCTTCAGAACTAGGGATGCCAAGCCCATGATGACACTCTTCAGGTCACTTGTTCTATCTAGGCTGGAATATTGCTGCACACTAACAGCACCTTTCAAGGCAGGTGAAATTGCTGACCTAGAAAATGTACAGAGAACCTTCACGGCGCGCATAACGGAGATAAAACACCTCAATTACTGGGAGCGCTTGAGGTTCCTGAACCTGTATTCCCTGGAACGCAGGCGGGAGAGACACATGATTATATACACCTGGAAAATCCTAGAGGGACTACTACCGAACTTGCACACGAAAATCACTCACTACGAAAGCAAAAGACTTGGCAGACGATGCAACATCCCCCCAATGAAAAGCAGGGGTGTCACTAGCACGTTAAGAGACCATACAATAAGTGTCAGGGGCCCAAGACTGTTCAACTGCCTCCCAGCATACCTAAGGGGGATTACCAACAGACCCCTGGCAGTCTTCAAGCTGGCACTGGACAAGCACCTAAAGTCGGTTCCTGACCAGCCGGGCTGTGGCTCGTACGTTGGTTTGCGTGCAGCCAACAGTAACAGCCTGGTTGATCAGGCTCTGATCCACCAGGAGGCCTGGTCACAGACCGGGCCGCGGGGGCGTTGACCTCCGGAACTCTCTCCAGGTCCAGGTCCAGGGGGCGTTGACCTCCGGAACTCTCTCCAGGTAAACTCCAGGTCCAGGTAATGCCACTAGGACCAGCTTGAGAGTCACTGGACCCTTGTCTCACAGAATAACTGTCCAGAGTGCTCTGTTTCTGGCATCTCTAAGATTTCCCTGAAGTGGGACAGGGTTTTGTCACTAAACATGTTGCAGATATGGCTTGTTTCAGCTTTGTCAGGGTGGTACTTCTCGACAATACTCTACACATCATTCCACTTTGCACAAATGTTCTTAATCAATTAAGAAGGCACCTCCTTCACTCTCTCTTCTTCCTCTTCTGAAGCAAGTTCTCAGCTGCAGTCTGTTGCTGTCAAGTTGAAGCTCTTGCAGCTCTTCAGTGGTTAGCACTTCCCTGTTGTCGTCCACCAACTCTTCCACATCCTTCCCACTCACCTCCAACCCCAGGGACTTCCCCAGTGCCACAATAGAGCCCACAGGGTTGGCAGGGTCAGGGTCAGCCTCAAGCTCTTCAAAATCCCTCTCTTGGACACAATCTGGCCACAGTTTTCTCGAAGCAGAGTTCAAAGTCCTGGAAGTCACTCCCTCCCAAGCTTATGCAATGAAGGACAGTGAAGTGATTCCAAAGTGATTCCAGAACTCTCTTAGGGTCAACTGAGTGTTCGAGGTCACTTCAAAGCACTTTTGAAACGCTGCTTTTGTGTAGAGTTTTTTGAAGTTAGAAATGACCTGCTGGTCCATGGGCTGGAGGAGAGGAGTGGTGTTAGGAGGCAAGAACTTCACTTTTATAAAACTGAAGTCCCTAAACGCTTGGTCTTCCAAGTCTGGAGGTTATGCAGGAGCATTGTCCAGTACCAGGAGGCACTTGAGTGGCAGTTTCTTTTCCAGGAGGTATTTTTTCACACTTGGGCCAAACACATCATTAACCCACTCTTTGAAAATTTGCCTTTTGACCCATGCCTTATGATTAGCTTTCCACATCACACACAATCTATTCTTCATGACATTGCTTTTCTTGAGCACTCTGGGATTTTCTGAGTGATACATGAGTAAAGGCTTCACTTTGAAATCCCCACTAGCATTACCACACAACAAAAGAGTAAGCCTGTCTTTCATAGGCTTGTGTCCTGGCAGTGCCTTTTCCTCTTGGGTAATGTAAGGCCTGTTTGGCATTTTCTTCCAAAACAGGCCTGTTTTGTCACAATAGAAAACTTGTTTGGGTTTGAATCCTTCAGCCTCTATGTACCCCTAGAATTTCTGCACATATTTTTCAGCCTCACCATGCCTTACAACACTATGTATGCCACTACGCTTCTTAAATCTTTCAAACCATCCTTTGCTGGCCCTAAATTCACAAACTGCAGCACTTGTTCCAGGCATTTTCTTTGCAAGATCCTCGTGCAACTGCCTTGCCTTCTCACTAATAATTGACTCCACAACACTGTCTCCCACTAATTCTTTTTCCTTAATCCACAGTAATAACTTTTCCATCTCTTCCATTATTGGTGACCTTTGTTTAGTTAGAAAAGTTACTCCTTTTGCAACATTAGCATCTTTGATTTGTTCTTTCTTTGCCAGGATGGATGTAATTGTTGATTTATTCTTGCTGTACATCCTGGCAAGTTCCACCACCTTCATACCACTCTCAAACTTTTCTATCACTTCACGCTTAAATTCCATGGTGTTTCTCACTTTCTTTACCACAGGAACTTTCTTTGGAGCCATGGTTACTTATTTCATAGTTGCACTGCAAAAATAACGCAAACTGCAATGGGAAATAAGTAAAATGTTTTGATGTATGAGCAGAAGCTTCCTCAGCCACCGAAAGACACAGTCAAACTGACACACAAGCGGCCCCAGCCAAACGGCCGATCACCGAATTAACGGCCGATAACCGGGCGTAGAAAAACCGGCCAATCACCGAATTGGCTGATAACCGGGGGTCCACTATACAGGTTATTTATGTAGTATATACAGTCAATCCATTAATCCATTTATGCATACTGAAGTTTATACCATTGTTCATTTAGCTACCTCTCTTTTTTGCACATTTGAAAACTCCTTAATAACCCATTTCTAGCTCAGAAGTAGTCATTAAACATGAGGATTAGTCTGCCCAAAATGCACTGCTTGTTAGTGATTTTCTTTTGTGTCTAGAAATATTAATGTATCATTGAGTTTAAAAAGAAAAACTCGTTTTTCTTTTTAGGTCACCCTGCCTTGGGATATGGCCAGTTTGTTGCAAAAAAAAATTAATGTAGTGCAATTTTTTTCCTATTATTTTTAAGGTGATACTCAAGCTGGAGAATTGGGGTTTGCTGCTGCTCCAGGAAAAGAGACACGCTTCAGGGATAGTCTCGAAAAATCAATATCATATGCAAAGGCTCTTGGCTGTAGCAAGTGAGTTGTTCACCTTGGTTTTTGGTGCATTCACATCTTTGCATCTGTTATGGAGTGAAATAATAGTTGGATTGACCTGAAGTTTTTAATTAAATGACTATAATTTCTGGGTCATCATCCCTGAGTGTTTGGATAAATTCTGTATCATAATGTAAAGTGAAACTATGACATAAGACAGACAGTCCTCGATGATGCACTGACTTTCTCAGGTTATCTTGGATGGTTAACACTCTCTACCCCGGATTATCTTCGGTGGCTATCCCTCCCTACTCAGCGTTGAAAATCATGACAAATCTTAATCTTAACACAATGTTGGATTTGCAGGCTTCACATAATGTCAGGTCGACGATGCGAAACCTATGATGAGAGTGCTCACATTGCGACTCTCGAGGCCAACTTGAGGTATGCTGTGAGTCGTCTTGCTCAGGAAAGCATCACTGGCCTTATTGAACCCATCAACCCAATATCCATCCCAGGCTACTTCCTCAACAACTATGATACCGGTTAGTATTTGCATCACTTGTAATGTTGGTAGTGTAATAATAATAATTTAAAAACTAATGAATTATAAGATGTCTGTTCACTTCTGGTAAGACAGCCATTGAATGAATAATGATGAATATTTCTTTCTTTAGGATCACAATATCTTAGTGGGAGATGATCAGTGTGGTAAAAAAAATAATTAATATGTAAGTGTATAGCAGAGGTATTAAAGTTTTTCATTATTTCTTTCTGGTGCTTTGTAGGATCATACAGGAGGGCTCCATTTATACAGCAGGTTAGGTTCCAGGCTACAGCTGTAATGTGAAAATTGCTGTAAAGTGAATCAGCATTATTTTACTTTCAAATACACATAAAAGCCTGATAACACATTTCCACTATCATATATTAAGTGAGCAATATAGCTAGGCCTGAAAAATGCATATACAGTACACACTATTCACTGCATATTGTTTACCTGGAGTTTACCTGGAGAGAGTTTCGGGGGTCAATGCCCCCGCGGCCCGGTCTGTGACCAGGCCTCCTGGTGGATCAGCGCCTGATCAACCAGGCTGTTGCTGCTGGCTGCACGCAAACCAACGTACGAGCCACAGCCCGGCTGATCAGGAACTGACTTTAGGTGCTTGTCCAGTGCCAGCTTGAAGACTGCCAGGGGTCTGTTGGTAATCCCCCTTATGTGTGCTGGGAGGCAGTTGAACAGTCTCGGGCCCCTGACACTTATTGTATGGTCTCTTAACGTGCTAGTGACACCCCTGCTTTTCATTGGGGGGATGGTGCATCGTCTGCCAAGTCTTTTGCTTTCGTAGTGAGTGATTTTCGTGTGCAAGTTCGGTACTAGTCCCTCTAGGATTTTCCAGGTGTATATAATCATGTATCTCTCCCTCCTGCGTTCCAGGGAATACAGGTTTAGAAACCTCAAGCGCTCCCAGTAATTGAGGTGTTTTATCTCCGTTATGCGCGCCGTGAAAGTTCTCTGTACATTTTCTAGGTCGGCAATTTCACCTGCCTTGAAAGGTGCTGTTAGAGTGCAGCAATATTCCAGCCTAGATAGAACAAGTGACCTGAAGAGTGTCATCATGGGCTTGGCCTCCCTAGTTTTGAAGGTTCTCATTATCCATCCTGTCATTTTTCTAGCAGATGCAATTGATACAATGTTATGGTCCTTGAAGGTGAGATCCTCCGACATAATCACTCCCAGGTCTTTGACGTTGGTGTTTCGCTCTATTTTGTGGCCAGAATTTGTTTTGTACTCTGATGAAGATTTAATTTCCTCATGTTTACCATATCTGAGTAATTGAAATTTCTCATCGTTGAACTTCATATTGTTTTCTGCAGCCCACTGAAAGATTTGGTTGATGTCCGCCTGGAGCCTTGCAGTGTCTGCAATGGAAGACACTGTCATGCAGATTCGGGTGTCATCTGCAAAGGAAGACACGGTGCTGTGGCTGACATCCTTGTCTATGTCGGATATGAGGATGAGGAACAAGATGGGAGCTAGTACTGTGCCTTGTGGAACAGAGCTTTTCACCGTAGCTGCCTCGGACTTTACTCTGTTGACGACTACTCTCTGTGTTCTGTTAGTGAGGAAATTATAGATCCATCGACCGACTTTTCCTGTTATTCCTTTAGCGCGCATTTTGTGCGCTATTACGCCATGGTCACACTTGTCGAAGGCTTTTGCAAAGTCTGTATATATTACATCTGCATTCTTTTTGTCTTCTAGTGCATTTAGGACCTTGTTGTAGTGATCCAGTAGTTGAGACAGACAGGAGCGACCTGTTCTAAACCCATGTTGCCCTGGGTTGTGTAACTGTTGGGTTTCTAGATGGGTGGTGATCTTGCTTCTTAGGACCCTTTCAAAGATTTTTATGATATGGGATGTTAGTGCTATTGGTCTGTAGTTCTTTGCTGTTGCTTTACTGCCCCCTTTGTGGAGTGGGGCTATGTCTGTTGTTTTTAGTAACTGAGGGACGACCCCCGTGTCCATGCTCCCTCTCCATAGGATGGAAAAGGCTCGTGATAGGGGCTTCTTGCAGTTCTTGATGAACACAGAGTTCCATGAGTCTGGCCCTGGGGCAGAGTGCATGGGCATGTCATTTATCGCCTGTTCGAAGTCATTTGGCATCAGGATAACATCGGATAGGCTTGTGTTAATCAAATTTTGTGGCTCTCTCATAAAAAATTCATTTTGATCTTCGACTCTCAGTCTGGTTAGCGGCTTGCTAAAAACTGAGTCATATTGGGACTTGAGTAGCTCACTCATTTCCTTGCTGTCATCTGTGTAGGACCCATCTTGTTTAAGTAGGGGCCCAATACTGGGCGTTGTTCTCGATTTTGATTTGGCATAGGAGAAGAAATACTTTGGGTTTCTTTCGATTTCATTTATAGCTTTTAGTTCTTCCCGCGATTCCTGACTCCTAAAGGATTCTTTTAGCTTAAGTTCGATGCTTGCTATTTCTCTGACCAGTGTCTCCCTGCGCATTTCAGATATATTGACCTCTTTTAGCCGCTCTGTTATTCTTTTCCGTCGCCTGTAAAGGGAGCGCCTGTCTCTTTCTATTTTACATCTACTCCTCCTTTTTCTTAGAGGAATAAGCCTTGTGCATACATCGAGTGCCACCGAGTTAATCTGTTCTAGGCATAAGTTTGGGTCTGTGTTGCTTAGTATATCTTCCCAGCTTATATCGGTTAGGACTTGGTTTACTTGGTCCCACTTTATGTTTTTGTTACTGAAGTTGAATTTGGTGAATGCTCCCTCGTGACTAGTCTCATTTTGTCGGTCTGGGGCTCCTCGCATACATGTCTGAACCTCAATTATGTTGTGATCTGAGTATATTGTTTTTGATATGTTGATATTTCTTATCAGATCATCATTGTTAGTGAATATGAGGTCTAGTGTATTCTCCAGTCTAGTAGGCTCTATTATTTGCTGGTTTAAATTGAATTTTGTGCAGAGATTTAAAAGCTCGTGTGAGTGTGAGTTTTCATCAGAGCTGCCTCCTGGTGTTATTACTGCAACAATATTATTTGCTATATTCCTCCATTTTAGGTGCCTTAAGTTGAAATCCCCCAGTGTATCTATTATTTTCTTCTAATTATTGTAATGGAACTTAATGGTGTATAACTTTTCAGCTGTCTCTCTCATAGAGAAAATCAACTCTCCCAACCTCCGACTTCAGCTAGACATCTTCCACCTCCAGATGATTTGTGGCAACGTAGCTAACAACATTACGAAACTTATGCCACTTACAGGTTAGTTATGAGTGGGATTGTAAAGTGCACTCTGGAAACTACAATTAAATTTACACTAGAGGCAGAGGAGAAGGACAACCAGTTACCATTTCCCGACGTACTGCTACTCACAGGTGAAAACCAATGTAAACCAACTTGGAAGAACAGTCTTCTGCATTTCTTCTGGATTTGTTATATCAGTTATCTGACTCTGGGATTGGCAACAGTTTGTGCTCATATCTAAATTCAAATTCTAATTCCTTTATTTCCTTGCAAGTTTACAATGTGGTTGGCATATTTTAGGAAGTATATTTACATAAGTAGTTTACACTGAGAGTTTACAATGAGTTGTAGTGCAAAGCGAGCCACTATCATGCCTTGGCATTACAGGCAACCTAAACTTAACACATTACTGATTACTTAACATTCGATGTACAAAACATATTATTATTATTATAATCAAGGGGGAAGCGCTAAACCCGGAGGATTATACAGTGCCTGGGGGGGGATGTGGAAGGCATTCAGGCTTAATTCGGGGAACTGGAGCACAGATCCAATTCCCTAAATCAAGAGCCCCTCACCAACATCAAGGAACCTTCCTTGAGGGGTGTACAAAACATAGTTTGATAAGGTTGCACTAATTATGCAATAGGTTATACATCTATTAAATAATTTGTTATTCAACATTTGCATTAGGTTAAAATGTGAGAATTTATTGTACTTAAGAGCATTTACTTATGGGGTTCTGAGGCAAGGGGAGTAACACAGTGAGCAATGATATTTTGAGGCAGTGGAGTGATTTGTTATCTGACCTTAACCAGGTCAGCATCAAGGTAATTTGTCTTGTAAGATATTTAAAACTTGTTTATAATTATCTTTAAAAAACTAGTGGCTCTCTGAATCATTTATTACAATTTTAAAGTTTTGTTTAGGATTCCCCTCAAGTGAGGTTCCTTGATGCTGGTGACAGGCTTCCCTCAAGGGAGGTTCCTTGATGCTGGTGACAGGCTTCCCTCAAGGGAGGTTCCTTGATGCTGGTGACAGGCTTCCCTCAAGGGAGGTTCCTTGATGCTGGTGACAGGCTTCCCTCAAGGGAGGTTCCTTGATGCTGGTGACAGGCTTCCCTCAAGGGAGGTTCCTTGATGCTGGTGACAGGCTTCCATCAAGGAAGGCTCCTTGATGCTGGTGACAGGCTTCCCTCAAGGGAGGTTCCTTGATGCTGGTGACAGGCTTCCACCAAGGAAGGCTCCTTGATGCTGGTGACAGGCTTCCCTCAAGGAAGGTTCCTTGACACTGGTGATAAGCTCCCCTCAAGGGAGGTTCCTTGATGCTGGTGACAGGCTTCCCTCAAGGGAGGTTCCTTGATGCTGGTGACAGGCTTCCCTCAAGGGAGGTTCCTTGATGCTGGTGACAGGCTTCCCTCAAGGGAGGTTCCTTGATGCTGGTGACAGGCTTCCTCAAGGGAGGTTCCTTGATGCTGGTGACAGGCTTCCATCAAGGAAGGCTCCTTGATGCTGGTGACAGGCTTCCCTCAAGGGAGGTTCCTTGATGCTGGTGACAGGCTTCCACCAAGGAAGGCTCCTTGATGCTGGTGACAGGCTTCCCTCAAGGAAGGTTCCTTGACACTGGTGATAAGCTCCCCTCAAGGGAGGTTCCTTGATGCTGGTGACAGGCTTCCCTCAAGGGAGGTTCCTTGATGCTGGTGACAGGCTTCCCTCAAGGGAGGTTCCTTGATGCTGGTGACAGGCTTCCATCAAGGAAGGCTCCTTGATGCTGGTGACAGGCTTCCCTCAAGGGAGGTTCCTTGATGCTGGTGACAGGCTTCCACCAAGGAAGGCTCCTTGATGCTGGTGACAGGCTTCCCTCAAGGAAGGTTCCTTGACACTGGTGATAAGCTCCCCTCAAGGGAGGTTCCTTGATGCTGGTGACAGGCTTCCATCAAGGGAGGTTCCTTGATGCTGGTGACAGGCTTCCCTCAAGGGAGGTTCCTTGATGCTGGTGACAGGCTTCCCTCAAGGGAGGTTCCTTGATGCTGGTGACAGGCTTCCCTCAAGGGAGGTTCCTTGACACTGGTGACAGGCTCTTGATCTAGGGAATTGGATCTGTGCTCCAATTCCCTGAATTAAACCTGAATACCTTCCACATTCCCCCACAGGTACTGTATAATCCTACAGGTTTAGTGCTCCCCCATGATTATAATCATTGTGTGGTATTGTTTCCTCCTGTCTTTATCTTTTAATTTTCTTTTTTCTCATCATAGAGAATTACGTATTTGCTCTCTTTTTTTTTTTGTATTATTTTCAAGGTGATTTACAGTGTATAATTAAAATAAGAATTTATTAATGTAAATAGATGGCACTTGTTTTATGATTTTCAAACACTTTTATATTTTTGAGTGTTCAGGTCTTACTGTTGAAGATACAGACAGTCTACACAGCTACTTTTTATTTTGGGAAAAAATGCCTTCTCCTTACATTATAAAATTACATGAACACAAAAATATAAATTTCACAAACAGTGAAAGTACAAAACAGTTGCAGAAATGATTTGTACAGTTGACTTTACAAATAGCTTCCATTTTTATTGTAACTATTTTTATTTGCAACTTTTGTACGTACGATTTGGAAAGAAAATTTTCACTTTCACTTCATTTCCACAGGTCACGTGCAGGTTGCTCAAGCTCCTCACCGACACGAACCTTCGTGTCCTGGAGAGTTGGACTATGTATTCATTTTCAACAAATTACGGGAAGCTGGTGAGTACAACACCAGTGTAAACTTTAATTTTTTTTTATGATAATATTGGAAGTGGTACACCTAGATGAGCCTCAGTGACATCAGGTAAGCAAGCAAGTAAGTTTATTTAGGCACAGGTACACATAGACATAAACAAATTTTATTTCTTTGTAGTATAGTGTATTTTTTTAACACAGCGACTGTATCCCACTGAGCTAGGGTATTTTAGTTGCCTCTTACGACATGCATGACTTACGGAGGAAGGATTCTTCTCCACTTCCCATGGAGTGTAGTGTTTGTGTTGGCTGTATAAAGTTTCTGAAATAATAAATGTCTCATTAGTTTCTCCTGTGTCCTTTTACTCAAGAAAGTTAAAGTTAGCTTGATGGTTTTATTATAGAAATAAGTCACTTTATGTGACATTTTTGGGTTATCCTGATGGGTAATTTACACTTATTTATACCTGTGCCTAAATAAACTTACATACTTATTTAAATCTGAATTTTGAATTTATACCTCATCTCCGTCCTATGAGCAGTAGTCAAAAGAATTAGAGACAATGTGTGGAGAGACTCGTCCCCAACATTTGTATTAACTAAACAAATTACAGTGATAACGAACTATTTACAAATTAATTGACTTCAGAAAAGTAGGACAAAGACAAAGATTTATTTCTTTGCAAAGGTTACAATGGTTATGAACACAATAATGGTATACAATACCGACAAGTAGATAAATATGACACGTGTGCAAGTTAGGTATCTTGTTTCTGAAATGTTTCTTTCATCTACTTGCAGTCTTCCATCAGTCAAATACAGATATACCTTACCTTTGATGCACCTTTGAAGAGTTTCAAGAGTTTCTCTACTCTGAGCCCGGCCATGGGTCAGGTTCATCTGGTGCCAGCCTGATCAACCAGGTTGTTGCTGCTGGTGGCCTGCTGCCCTACATATCCATCACAGCCTGGTTGATCTAGCACCTGGTGAAGATACTTGTCCAGTTTCCTCTTGAAGGCTTCTACACTTGTTCCAGCAGTGTTCCTGATATCTTTTGGTGAGATGTAAAGTAAAAGGACACAAGTGCAACTAATGTGACATTTATTGTGGCAACGTTTCGCTCTCCAGGAGCTTTATCAAGCCATTACAAACAATAAATGGACACAGAGGGTATATACAGGGTCAGAGTGAGATGCAATACTAGTGGTAGTAGTAGTAGTAGTAGTAGTGACAAAAGTTGTAGTAGTAGTAGTAATACAATATGGTAGAGCAATTAATTCGTACATGAGTAAAAGGATATAAACGCTATTATTATGTTACCCAAGTAATAGCTTTTATATCCTTTTACTCATGTACGAATTAATTGCTCTACCATATTGTATTACTACTACTACTACTACTACTACTACTAGTATTGCACCTCACTCTGAGCCTATATATACCCTCTGTGTCCATGTATTGTTTGTAACAGCTTGATAAAGCTCCTGGAGAGCGAAACGTTGCCACAATAAAATGTCACATTAGTTGCACTTGTGTCCTTTTACTTTACATATTGTCGGTAATTCTACCAACTTTATTACAATCTTTTGGCGAGATGTTGAATAGTCTGGAACCACGGATGTTGATACAGTGTTTTCTTATTGTGCTCACTGTACTCCTGCTCCTCACTGGGTTCATTTTACACTTCCTCCCATATTTCTCACTCCAGTATGTTGTTATGGCAGTGTACAGAGGTTTCAAGGGTGGAGACAGCAGCAGTGGAGAGGTAAGATGATGTGGTCAGTCCAGTCCATCCACTCCTTAAACCTGGAGATGTGTTCAACTTTATAGTCTTGAACCTTGACCTGGAGATGTGTTCAACTTTATAGTCTTGAACCTTGACCTGGAGATGTGTTCAACTTAATAGTCTTGAACCTTGACCTGGAGATATGTTCAACTTTATAGTCTTGAACCTTGACCTGGAGATGTGTTCAACTTAATAGTCTTGAACTTTGACCTGGAGATGTGTTCAACTTTATAGTCTTGAACCTTGACCTGGAGATGTGTTCAACTTAATAGTCTTGAACCTTGACCTGGAGATATGTTCAACTTTATAGTCTTGAACCTTGACCTGGAGATGTGTTCAACTTTATAGTCTTGAACCTTGACCTGGAGATGTGTTCAACTTAATAGTCTTGAACCTTGACCTGGAGATATGTTCAACTTTATAGTCTTGAACCTTGACCTGGAGATGTGTTCAACTTTATAGTCTTGAACCTTGACCTGGAGATGTGTTCAACTTAATAGTCTTGAACCTTGACCTGGAGATATGTTCAACTTTATAGTCTTGAACCTTGACCTGGAGATGTGTTCAACTTTATAGTCTTGAACCTTGACCTGGAGATGTGTTCAACTTAATAGTCTTGAACCTTGACCTGGAGATATGTTCAACTTTATAGTCTTGAACCTTGACCTGGAGATGTGTTCAACTTTATAGTCTTGAACCTTGACCTGGAGATGTGTTCAACTTTATACTAGTCTTGAACCTTGACCTGGAGATATGTTCAACTTTATAGTCTTGAACCTTGACCTGGAGATGTGTTCAACTTCATGGTCTTGAACCTTGACCTGGAGATGTTCTCAACATCATGGTTGTGAACCTTGAATGAGACTCGTGTGTATGGAAACAGAAACAACAGTTAATTTATACAAGCAGAGACAATGTAGAGAGGAAACAGAAAGATCAGCTAATTTATACAGGTGGAAATAGTATACACGATGTTTAGATCCAACATATTATTAATATTATGTAACATGTGTAAATCAGTTTGATGGTTTACACACAGGATACAGTGATTATGTTGGTGCTGAATATTCACCTTCGACTAGCTCCAGTGGTTCCCTCCAGTGGATACATCAATGTGGTCTTCAGTTCTAAAATCAACAACAACAACAACAAAGGTATTTTTACATCATAAACAAAATGATCAAATAAGTTTAATGGTGTGTTCTCTTAGCCACAAAATTTATTGATTAAATATTGAGTTTCAGGCTGCTTGCACACTTTTTTTTTTTTTTTTCAACAAATCGGCCGTCTCCCACTGAGGCAGGGTGACCCAAAAAGAAAGAAAATGCCCAAAAAGAAAATACGTACTTATATTCATCATTCAACACGTTCACCTCATTCACACATAATCACTGTCTTTGCAGAGGCAAAGACAGTGATTATGTTCTTCTAAACTGTTGCAGACACAACAGTTTAGAAGCATATATAAAGATTTACTATAACATACCCCTCCAAACTGCCAATATCCCAAACCCCTCCTTGCACACACCATAAATTAATAAAATCTCATGTATAATTTTAAAATGATAATTACCATAATTTCTTTCTTTATTACTGCAGTATGTTGCAATTATGGCAGGGTTACTTAGCCATGCAATATGTTGCAATTATGGCAGGGTTACTTAGCCATGCAATATGTTGCAATTATGGCAGGGTTACTTAGCCATGCAATATGTTGCAATTATGGCAGGGTTACTTAGCCATGCAATATGTTGCAATTATGGCAGGGTTACTTAGCCATGCAATATGTTGCAATTATGGCAGGGTTACTTAGCCATGCAATATGTTGCAATTATGGCAGGGTTACTTAGCCATGCAATATGTTGCAATTATGGCAGGGTTACTTAGCCATGCAATATGTTGCAATTATGTTAGGGTTACTTAGCCATGATGGCTTAGCGCATCTTTTTGATTATAATAATAATAATAATAATTATTTATTTATTATTTATTATCACACTGGCCGATTCCCACCAAGGCAGGGTGGCCCGAAAAAGAAAAACTTTCACCATCATTCACTCCATCACTGTCTTGCCAGAAGGGTGCTTTACACTACAGTTTTTAAACTGCAACATTAACACCCCTCCTTCAGAGTGCAGGCACTGTACTTCCCATCTCCAGGACTCAAGTCCGGCCTGCCGGTTTCCCTGAACCTCTTCATATATGTTACTTTGCTCACACTCCAACAGCACGTCAAGTATTAAAAACCATTCTTCTCCATTCACTCCTATCAAACACGCTCACGCACGCCTGCTGGAAGTCCAAGCCCCTCGCACACAAAACCTCCTTTACCCCCTCCCTCCAACCTTTCCTAGGCCGACCCCTACCCCACCTTCCTTCCACTACAGACTGATACACTCTTGAAGTCATTCTGTTTCGCTCCATTCACTCTACATGTCCGAACCACCTCAACAACCCTTCCTCAGCCCTCTGGACAACAGTTTTGGTAATCCCGCACCTCCTCCTAACTTCCAAACTACGAATTCTCTGCATTATATTCACACCACACATTGCCCTCAGACATGACATCTCCACTGCCTCGAGCCTTCTCCTCGCTGCAACATTCATCACCCATGCTTCACACCCATATAAGAGCGTTGGTAAAACTATACTCTCATACATTCCCCTCTTTGCCTCCAAGGACAAAGTTCTTTGTCTCCACAGACTCCTAAGTGCACCACTCACAATTTTCCCCTCATCAATTCTATGATTCACCTCATCCTTCATAGACCCATCCGCTGACACGTCCACTCCCAAATATCTGAATACATTCACTTCCTCCGTACTCTCTCCCTCCAATCTGATATCCAATCTTTCATCACCTAATATTTTTGTTATCCTCATAACCTTACTCTTTCCTGTATTCACTTTTAATTTTCTTCTTTTGCACACCCTACCAAATTCATCCACCAATCTCTGCAACTTCTCTTCAGAATCTCCCAAGAGCACAGTGTCATCAGCAAAGAGCAACTGTGACAACTCCACTTTATGTGTGATTCTTTATCTTTTAACTCCATGCCTCTTGTCAAGACCCTCGCATTTACTTCTCTTACAACCCCATCTATAAATATATTAAACAACCACGGCGACATCACACATCCCTGTCTAAGGCCTACTTTTACTGGGAAATAATTTCCCTCTTTCCTATGTACTCTAACTTGAGCCTCACTATCCTCGTAAAAACTCTTCACTGCTTTCAGTAACCTACCTCCTACACCATACACCTGCAACATCTGCCACATTGCCCCCCTATCCACCCTATCATACGCCTTTTCCAAATCCATAAATGCCACAAAGACCTCTTTAGCCTTATCTAAATACTGTTCACTTATATTGTTTCACTGTAAACACCTGGTCCACACACCCCCTACCTTTCCTAAAGCCTCCTTGTTCATCTGCTATCCTATTCTCCATCTTACTTTTAATTCTTTCAATAACAACTCTACCATACACTTCACCAGGTATACTCAACAGACTTATCCCCCTATAATTTTTGCACTCTCTTTTGTCCCCTTTGCCTTTATACAAATGAACTATGCATGCTCTCTGCCAATCCCTAGGTACCTTACCCTCTTCCATACATTTATTAAATAATTGCACCAACCACTCCAAAACTATATCCCCACCTGCTTTTAACATTTCTATCTTTATCCCATCAATCCCGGCTGCCTTACCCCCTTTCATTTTACCTACTGCCTCACGAACTTCCCCCACACTCACAACTGGCTCTTCTTCACTCCTACAAGATGTTATTCCTCCTTGCCCTATACACGAAATCACAGCTTCCCTATCTTCATCAACATTTAACAATTCCTCAAAATATTCCCTCCATCTTCCCAATACCTCTAACTCTCCATTTAATAACTCTCCTCTCCTATTTTTAACTGACAAATCCATTTGTTCTCTAGGCTTCCTTAACTTGTTAATCTCACTCCAAAACTTTTTCTTATTTTCAACAAAATTTGTTGATAACATTTCACCCACTCTCTCATTTGCTCTCTTTTTACATTGCTTCACCACTCTCTTAACCTCTCTCTTCCTCTCCATATACTCTTCCCTCCTTGCATCACTTCTACTTTGTAAAAACTTCTCATATGCTAACTTTTTCTCCCTTACTACTCTCTTTACATCATCATTCCACCAATCGCTCCTCTTCCCTCCCGCACCCACTTTCCTGTAACCACAAACTTCTGCTGAACACTCTAACACTACATTTTTAAAGCTACCCCATACCTCTTCGACCCCATTGCCTATGCTCTCATTAGCCCATCTATCCTCCAATAGCTGTTTATATCTTTCCCTAACTGCCTCCTCTTTTAGTTTATAAACCTTCACCTCTCTCTTCCCTGATGCTTCTATTCTCCTTGTATCCCATCTACCTTTTACTCTCAGTGTAGCTAGAACTAGAAAGTGATCTGATATATCTGTGGCCCCTCTATAAACATGTACATCCTGAAGTCTACTCAACAGTCTTTTATCTACCAATACATAATCCAACAAACTACTCTCATTTTGCCCTACATCATATCTTGTATACTTATTTATCCTCTTTTTCTTAAAATATGTATTACCTATAACTAAACCCCTTTCTATACAAAGTTCAATCAAAGGGCTCCCATTATCATTTACACCTGGCACCCCAAACTTACCTACCACACCCTCTCTAAAAGTTTCTCCTACTTTAGCATTCAGGTCCCCTACCACAATTACTCTCTCACTTGGTTCAAAGGCTCCTATACATTCACTTAACATCTCCCAAAATATCTCTCTCTCCTCTGCATTCCTCTCTTCTCCAGGTGCATACACGCTTATTATGACCCACTTCTCGCATCCAACCTTTAATTTAATCCACATAATTCTTGCATTTACACATTCATATTCTCTTTTCTCCTTCCATAACTGATCATTCAACATTACTGCTACCCCTTCCTTTGCTCTAACTCTCTCAGATACTCCAGATTTAATCCCATTTATTTCCCCCCACCGAAACTCCCCTACCCCCTTCAGCTTTGTTTCGCTTAGGGCCAGGACATCCAACTTCTTTTCATTCATAACATCAGCAATCATCTGTTTCTTGTCATCCGCACTACATCCACGCACATTCAAGCATCCCAGTTTTATAAAGTTTTTCTTCTTTTTTTTAGTAAATGTCTACAGGAGAAGGGGTTACTAGCCCATTGCTCCCGGCATTTTAGTCGCCTCATACGACACGCATGGCTTACGGAGGAAAGGTTCTTTTCCACTTCCCCATGGACAATAGAAGAAATAAAGAAGAATAAGAGCTATGTAGAAAAAGGAGAAAAACCTAGATGTATGTATATATATATGCATGTGCATGTCTGTGAAGTGTGACCAAAGTGTAAGTTGGAGTAGCAAGATATCCCTGTTATCTAGCGTGTTTATGAGACAGAAAAATACACCAGCAATCCTACCATCATGCAAAACAGTTACAGGTTTCTGTTTCACAGTCATCTGGCAGGACGGTAGTACTTCCCTGGGTGGTTGCTGTCTACCAACCTACCTAATAATAATAATAATAATAATAATACTTAGCCATGAAATGTTGCAATTATGGCAGGGTTACTTAGCCATGCCATATTTTGCAATTATGACAGGGTTACTGAGCCATGCAATATGTTGCAATTATGGCAGGGTTGCTTAGCCATGAAATATATTGCAATTATGGCAGGGTTGCTTAGCCATGAAATATATTGCAGTTATGGCAGGGTTACTTAGCCATGAAATATGTTGCTTCTGCAGTTTTTAACATTTATGGTCAGATAATTTTTTTACACATTGTTACCTCTGCACTTTACAGGACTTTGGAAGAATCTGTGTGATCACAATGCAACAACATTGTCTGGGTGACTATGAAGAAACCTTCAATCAAATTTACCAACTTAACAACTTCCTGGAGTGATGAATGTGCAATTTACCTTGAAACCTTCAATGAATTATTTAGGATGCCTCGGTGGGAGACGGCCGACTTGTTGAAAAAAAAAAAAAATAAATAAATAAGAAATTCAAGTCAATGCTTCTGCTACAGTGTGCAGTGGCAAGATTACATACCTCATAAAATACAGAAAACCACACATCAAACATTGGATTAATCCCACACAATTTGCATTTCAAGTGTCCCCTGCCTGATCAACAGAACTTTGGGATCCAGAAATCTGTAGGTTCCTTACATCTGTTATTTTTCGATAGCCAGGACACATTTTAAATATTTTTTTTTTTTTAAAGCAAGAGCCATCTTCCACTGAGGCAGGGTGACCCAAAAAAGAAGTCCTTCTTTTTACATTTAGTAATTTATACAGGTGTTACTAAAACCTTGCTCCTGGCTCTATAGTGTCCTTTTACAACATGCCTGGCTGACAAGAATAATTCTCCACTTCCACATAATGACTATGACATCTGTACATAAAAAACCTAAAAATGCCCAGTCGTAGGAATGTAAGGGAACTTCTAGTCACACAGTTGGATCATGATCAGTGACACTAAAAGCACAGCAGCTAACCTATTATTATATTAACAAATGTGCTAAAACTTTTCTGTTTGGGTCATACAATGCTTTTACCTTACTAGACACTAGTTGCCCATCATTATTATCTTGTAATATGTCTGCTTTCAAAGATATTTATATAAATGCTCAGCCAATGTAATGCTCAAGTTATAAATATTTTGGAAAATGTCATTTACCACTGTAATTCAGTTATAAATCAGAAGAATGATTTTGCATTTAATTTGTACCTACAATAATAATAATCTTTATTTCTACCAGTACATGTACAAGGTATACAGACCATAGCTGACATCAATGACATACTACTATATAGAAAACCCCTTGTTATGCAGAGCATTTCCCACAAATTGGGTCAGTTTTGTCCCCAGGATGCGACCCATACCAGTCCACTAACACCCAAGTACCTATTTTACTGCTAGGTGAAGAGGGATAGGTGTCGTAAGGACACCTGTCCTTAAGACACATTTCACCCCATTGGGGTGAAATGCTGATGTGTGTTAGTTGCTTTCTTTGTGTTTAGCAATATTATATTACATGTAAACTACACATTGTATTCTATGCATAGAAATAAGAATTTTTGAATAGTGGCTGGGAATGAGAGGTTACCAGAATTGATCCGAGGAAGGGGAGGGTAGCTCCATTTTCTTTAATCAAGAGCCCTACACAGATAAGTCCTAAAACCATTGGGGTCATACAGCTTATGAGAAATGGTAGACAGTATGGTTTGATCCAAGTTAGGGGAGAACAGATTCAATTCCTTGGATTAAAATCTTTTCACTGGCATCAAGGAACCTCCCTTCAGTGTGCTACACCTCTTATTAATATATAAGTAACCTATTATTTATTCATGGGGACCATCAAACCCATAGGGGTCATACAATGCTAGGAGGAATGGGAGACGCCTGAATTCGATTCGCTTGTTTTTGTAACACCTTCATAAAACACTATGGCCCTTATTGGTTTAGCACTTAGTCCTGATTGTAATAGTAATATATTTTTTAAACAGGTTGGCCATCTCCCACTGAGGCAGAGTGATATGTATAACAATATCACTTAATTTTTTATAATCATAACTAAGCACTAAACCCACAAGGGGCATCTTTACTAAAGTGTACTACATGTGCTGCTTACTGTAAGACAGAAGCCAGGGTCAGTGGTGCCTTTGGGTATGGTCAATGGGGCATCCTCTGCCACTACCATTACATTCATGGTGAGAGTACTGAACCTATAGGAACCTGGGGAATGACAAACACTCAGGTTCAATCCAAGGGAAGAGAGTCACATCCACCAGCATCCATGAGGGGTCTGCCAATACCTGGAGAGAGTTCTGGGGGTCAACGTCCCCACGGCCCGGTCTGTGACCAGGCTTCATGGTGCATCAGGGCCTGATCAACCAGGCTGTTACTGCTGGCCGCACATAATCCAACATACGAACCACAGCCCGGCTGGTCAGGTGCCAATACTACAGTTCAAAAACTACAAACATATCTCTACTCTTCACATCACAGGCACTGTAATTACAATCTTCAGGACTCAAGTCTGGCAAAATACAATACCATACACAGTAACATATATTGTATTTAAGATTGTATAAGGTATTTTACAATGTTCTGAGGTAGTGTTTTAATGACACTGAATAATCAATATTTTTCATAGGTAATGTAACTAACAAGCCGGGCAATAAAAAAAATGTTTGTACAAAATCTGTATTTTATATAACAGCATATAACCCCCACCCACCCACTCCATTTCCCTTGAAGCTTACACCCCAAAAAGAAAAACTAAACAGTTATAATAACATAATCAGATTAAGCGCTAATTGAGGAGAAAAAGTGAAGCCATACGTCCTTGTAGGAGAAACCAGTGGTTAAGTTGTTAAATACTTCTTGTAAAGTAAAAGGACACAAGTGCAACTAATGTGACATTTATTGTGGCAACGTTTCGCTCTCCAGGAGCTTGATAAAGCTCCTGGAGAGCGAAACGTTGCCACAATGTCACATTAGTTGCACTTGTGTCCTTTTACTTTACATATTGTCGGTAATTCTTCCAACTTTATTACAATAGATACTTCTTGCTGCACTGGAAATAAAAAATTACTATGCCAGACAATATGTTGCTTAATTACTTTATATTAACACAGTTGGTGTATGACAGACGATGAGCAAAGAACTTTGTTGATGGAGACAATATCTAGAAAGATGCTCATAAGAAATGTACAATAGTTAATTGTCTGGCTGAATTTTAAGAGTTTCCAAAATAAAGATAAAACTGTGTATAGATTTATACTACACTCTGTGTAGAGCTTTATCAACTCACAATAAAGCTCTACATGGGAGAGTGGAGGGAAAAGAGAAATATGGACCCAATAAAGCACTACACAGAGCAAAACGTCGTCTCGCTATTGTCGCCACTTTTTTCAAAAATGAAATTACAATTCACATGTATGACTTCAACTTATCTATCCATTAGTGTGTGAAACACACCAGAACATCAATGACTTATACAGCACGAGCGCTACAACAAACTTGTAAAAAAATGAGTCTTTTATTATTTCTGGCACATTTCAACATCTTTATTCAGTTCACATCTTTTCTTCGAACCATGGGTTGATAACTAGTGAAAAAGTTAAAACAAACTTGTGTTAAAATATTTAATATTGTACTCGATCACAAGACTAGTCGAAGCAGTTCGGCTCACTCCTTATGGGGAACATTTCAATGTATAATTAATATTATACCTTAGCTACTGGAATTTATTCTAGTATTTACTTTTTCTCATCACTCTTCTTGTCATCTTTTGAATCATCTTTTTTCTCCTTTTCTCCATCTTTCTTGTCCTTGTCCTTATCCTTGTCCTTGTCCTTATCCTTGTCCTTGTCCTTATCCTTGCCCTCCTTCTTCTCAGCATCAGTGTTGGCCAGCTTATTGTTGATGAGGTTATGAAGGGCAATGACCGAGCGGATGAGAGACGCCAAGTACACCACCAGCATCTGGTCGTTGGTTTTGACGTAGAGTGATTTTACTAGCGCAGGATTGGTCACGTCTGGCAGCAGGTTGAACATGTCCTGTGTGAAGAAATGTTATATTATTTTTTTTTTCAACAAACTGGCTGTATCCCACCAAGGCAGGGTGACCTAAAAACAAAAGCGAATTTTCTTTTTTAAATTTAGTAATTTATACAGGAGAAGGGACTAACAGTCCCTTCTCCTGTATAAATTACTAAATTTATACAGTTTTAGTTGCCTCTTATAACACACATGGCTTACAGAGGAAGAATATAGATAGATATTAAAGCATTCAAAAAAAAAAAAAAACAGACATGCTACGTAAGTGGGGCCCTCCTGTCCAACAGTAGTCGGGAACCTGACATGCTGCATCAGTGGGGCCCTCCTGTACAGCAGTAGTCGGGAACCTGACACGCTGCATAAGTGGGGCTCTCCTGTACAACAGTAGTCGGGAACCTGACATGCTGCATAAGTGGGGCCCTCCTGTACAACAGTAGTCGGGAACCTGACATGCTGCATAAGTGGGGCCCTCCTGTACAGCAGTAGTCGGGAACCTGACACGCTGCATAAGTGGGGCCCTCCTGTACAACAGTATTCGGGAACCTGACACGCTGCGTAAGTGGGGCCCTCCTGTACAACAGTAGTCGGGAACCTGACATGCTGCATGAGTGGGGCCCTCCTGTACAACAGTAGTTGGGAACCTGACACACTGCATAAGTGGGGCCCTCCTGTACAACAGTAGTTGGGAACCTGACACGCTGCATAAGTGGGGCCCTCCTGTACAACAGTAGTCGGGAACCTGACATGCTGCGTAAGTGGGGCCCTTCTGTACAACAGTAGTCGGGAACCTGACATGCTGCGTAAGTGGGGCCCTCCTGTACAACAGTAGTCGGGAACCCTGACATGCTGCATAAGTGGGGCCCTCCTGTACAACAGTAGTCAGAACCTGACATGCTGCATACGTGGGGCCATCCTGTACAACAGTAGTCGGGAACCTGACACGCTGCGTAAGTGGGGCCCTCCTGTACAACAGTAGTCGGGAACCTGACATGCTGCATAAGTGGGGCCCTCCTGTACAACAGTAGTCGGGAACCCTGACACGCTGCATAAGTGGGGCCCTCCTGTACAACAGTAGTTGGGAACCTGACACGCTGCATAAGTGGGGCCCTCCTGTACAACAGTAGTCGGGAACCTGACACGCTGCGTAAGTGGGGCCCTCCTGTACAACAGTAGTCGGGAACCTGACATGCTGCGTAAGTGGGGCCCTCCTGGACAACAGTAGTCGGGAACTAGACATGCTGCGTAAGTGGGGCCCTCCTGTACAACAGTAGTCGGGAACCTGACATGCTGCGTGAGTGGGGCCCTCCTGTACAACAGTAGTCGGGAACCCTGACATGCTGCATAAGTGGGGCCCTCCTGTACAACAGTAGTCGGGAACCTGACATGCTGCATACGTGGGGCCCTCCTGTACAACAATAGTCGGGAACCTGACACGCTGCGTAAGTGGGGCCCTCCTGTACAACAGTAGTCGGGAACCTGACATGCTGCGTAAGTGGGGCCCTCCTGTACAACAGTAGTCGGGAACCCTGACACGCTGCATAAGTGGGGCCCTCCTGTACAACAGTAGTTGGGAACCTGACATGCTGCATACGTGGGGCCCTCCTGTACAACAATAGTCGGGAACCTGACACGCTGCGTAAGTGGGGCCCTCCTGTACAACAGTAGTCGGGAACCTGACATGCTGCGTAAGTGGGGCCCTCCTGTACAACAGTAGTCGGGAACCCTGACACGCTGCATAAGTGGGGCCCTCCTGTACAACAGTAGTTGGGAACCTGACACGCTGCATAAGTGGGGCCCTCCTGTACAACAGTAGTCGGGAATCTGACACGCTGCGTAAGTGGGGCCCTCCTGTACAACAGTAGTAGGGAACCTGACATGCTGCGTAAGTGGGGCCCTCCTGGACAACAGTAGTCGGGAACCAGACATGCTGCGTAAGTGGGGCCCTCCTGTACGACAGTAGTCGGGAAACCTGACATGCTGCGTAAGTGGGGGCCCTCCTGTACAACAGTAGTCGGGAAACCAGACATGCTGCGTAAGTGGGGCCCTCCTGTACAACAGTAGTCGGGAACCTGACTTTGCTGCGTAAGTGGGGCCCTCCTGGACAACAGTAGTCGGGAACCAGACATGCTGCGTAAGTGGGGCCCTCCTGTACAACAGTAGTCGGGAACCTGACATGCTGCGTAAGTGGGGCCCTCCTGTACAACAGTAGTCGGGAACCTGACATGTTGCGTAAGTGGGGCCCTCCTGTAGGTGCAAATGGAGGCTGGGCATTTATGACAGTGTACCACCTAAGCAGGAAAAACCCAGTAAAGATGGGAAATTCTTCAGGAACCATGAAGAGAAGCCTGAACACTTAAGATGCAAAAGCAGAGGATCACCTTGAAAAACTCTGAGGCAATCTCTATATCCTTAGAGTAGAGCAGGGGTTGCCAACCTCGGGTGAATGCACCTGCAAGGGTGCGAGATGGCATTTCAAGGGGTGCAACAAAGAGTCCTAATTTTTTTTTTCAACAAGTCGGCCGTCTCCCACTGAGGCAGGGTGACCCAAAAAGAAAGAAAATCCCCAAAAAGAAAATACTTTCATCATCATTCAACACTTTCACCTCACTCACACATAATCACTGTTTTTGCAGAGGTGCTCAGAACACAACAGTTTAGAAGCATATACGTATAAAGATACACAACATATCCCTCCAAACTGCTAATATCCCAAAACCCCTCCTTTAGAGTGCAGGCATTGTACTTCCCATTTCCAGGACTCAAGTCCGGTTATATAAAATAACCGGTTTCCCTGAATGCCTTCACTGAATATTACCCTGCTCACACTCCAACAGCTCGTCAGGTCCCAAATACCATTCGTCTCCATTCACTCCTATCAAACACGCTCATGCACGCCTGCTGGAAGTCCAAGCCCCTCGCCCACAAAACCTCCTTTACCCCTTCCTTCCAACCTTTTCGAGGACAGCCCCTACCCCGCCTTCCTTCTCCTACAGATTTAAATGCTCTCCATGTCATTCTACTTTGATCCATTCTCTCTAAATGACCAAACCACCTCAACAAGCCCTCTTCAGCCCTCTGACTAATACTTTTATTAACTCCACACCTTCTCCTAATTTCCACACTCCGAATTTTCTGCATAATATTTACACCACACATTGCCCTTAGACAGGACATCTCCACTGCCTCTAACCGCCTCCTCGCTGCTGCATTCACAACCCAAGCTTCACACCCATATAAGAGTGTTGGTACTACTATACTTTCATACATTCCCTTCTTTGCCTCCATAGATAACGTTGACTCCACATATACCTCAACGCATCACTCACCTTTTTTCCTTCATCAATTCTATGATTAACCTCATCCTTCATAAATCCATCCGCCGACACGTCAACTCCCAAGTATCTGAAAACATTCACTTCCATACTCCTCCTCCCCAATTTGATATCAAATTTTTCTTTTTCTAAATCATTTGATACCCTCATCACCTTACTCTTTTCTATGTTCACTTTCAACTTTCTACCTTTGCACACACTCCCAAACTCATCCAGTAACCTTTGCAATTTTTCTTTAGAATCTCCCATAAGCACAGTATCATCAGCAAAAAGTAACTGTGTCAATTCCCATTTTATATTTGATTCCCCATAATTTAATATTTCCCATAGAAAATAATGGAAATAAAATTAATCTGTTCCAGAAACCCAAAAATATTCACAAAAAAATACATTTTATAGAGATTAATTATAGTTTTACATACACACAACAAATACATGTATAGTGTTCAATTATGTATTAATAAATTTAAATAAACATATAAAATAACATTTTACTTACCTTTGTTGAAGATTGGTGATGGCATCTGAAAGATAAGGAGGAGGAGAGGGAGTTGGGGTTAGTGTTTGGAAGGAGAATCCCCCTCCATGAGGACTTAAGGTATCAAGGCCCTCTCTGGGGTTACTTCCCTTCTCTGTCTTTTAATGCCACTAGGATCAGCTTGAGAGTCACTGGACCCTTGTCACACAAAATAACTGTCCACAGTCCTCTGTTTCTGGTGCCTCTTTAAGATTTCCCTAAAATGGGACATGGTTCTGTCACTGAACTTGTTGCAAAGATGGCTTGTTTCAGCTTGCTCAGGGTGGTACTTCTCCACAAACATTTGGACATAATTCCACTTCTGTATTATTTCCTTCTTCACGTCTATGGTGTTTCTCACTTTCTTTACCACAGGGGTACCACTAGCAAGTTTCTTTGGGCCCATTGTAGCTTATTTCACAGTCCCACAAGCACTAAACACAATGAAATAATCGTAAGATGTTTGAATGAGAGTACAGGTTAGTGTTCACTCAAGCATCAACAAAACCAGACTGGTTCACAGCGCCTGTGTGGGGACGTGGACAGAGCGGGCTGCCGGACAGGTCTGGTACCCGGCGGTTCGAAAATAGGGGCGAGTTCGATAATAGGGACAAAGTTGGTTCAAAAAAAGGGTTCTATTTTCAAAGAGTTCGATAAGCGATACGTTCGAAATTTGAAGTTCCACTGTATATGAATTTAAGTATAGTACATTTAGATCACCTTCTTTAAAAAATTAAGAGAGCTGCCAATCTTTACCTCATTACTTGATAAGGAAAATTATAGTTTACCTGAAGGTGATAGACTATGGTGTGGTTTACAGGTAACATTCCATCAACAACCTGATGGAGGTAGTTGGCCACTTCACTCAGCTGTTTATGTAGACCACGAAGACCTAGGAGTTGTGTGGTGATGCGCTGGCCCAGGGATCCCACCACTGTGTCCTGCAATAAATAATGGTGTGAAGCATGGGTTGTGAATGTTCAAGCAAAGAGGAAGTGGAGATGTTGTGTCTGAGGGCAATAAGTAGTGTAAATATTATGCACAGAATTTGTAGCTTGGAGATAAGGAGGTAGGGGATTATTAACCCCTTGACTGTCGAAACCCCCAATCCTGAAGTGTCTCCAGGTGTCGCAAAATTTCTCAAGAGAAAAAAAAAAAAAAAAAATATCTTATGAAATGATAGAGAATCATTTCCCGATTGTAATGACACCAAAAGAACAAAATTTGATGGAAAAATGACGGAATTACGCTCTTGCAAGGTTAGCGACCTCGGCAATATTTACAAATCGGTGATTTCGCCCACTTTGAGCCCTATTTTCGGCTAATTCCATTGTTCCAGTCGACCCAACTCATAGCTATTTCTTCAGAACTCCATTTTTTCTATCGACTGAGTACAAGAAACTGCCCATTTACCGATTTCAACTACCCAATAACGTGGTCAGAAATTTGCAATTTGGCCAATTTCATGAAAATTAAAAAATATGACAATTTCAAAATAAGGTCCAGAATGAACAATGCAGACATTCCTGGCTCTAAATTAGCATTTTCTTTGTTTATCAGTCACGTCTTCAGGCTTCTCTGATATTACTCTTGCTTTCTATTTTGAATTTTTATTCAAACAAAAAATAGAAGATTTACTGTTATGCAGACTACTGCAATATTGTAATAATTGCACAAATAATGTCAACCCATTCATGACTGCATATAAGAATGGCTAGTTGGACATTTATTGCACAATGACATTATTTGTTTACTTTTGAACATCGGCAAAAATCAAACATTTCCCCTACTTTGAGCTCCATTTCCAGGTATTTTTTTATAGTAAAACCAATCAAAATCACCTCTATTTCTATAATGTTTTCCATTCTAACAAATGAGACCAAGAAAATGAGAATACAACCATAAATACTATACGAAAATAGACCACAAAGTCGGCATTTTAATTTAAAAAAAAAAAAGGATGTTTTTTTCTCTCATTATGCACTGCGTGCTGCAGGATTTTTTTATATGGTGCACACTGACCACAGGGCCCATTCTCTAACATGTGGGTCTACCAGCTTTCTCCTGCTTGATTTGAAGCTGCTAGAATTTATGAGTATATATACGTCAAACCAGTGGCTCGTAAGATGTATATATACGACCAAAACAGTAAAAGGGCTAAAAGTATTATTCAAAAGACTGATGAAGGGTCGTTGAGGCGGCTTGGACATTTAAAGACAGGATGGAGCAAAACAGGATGACTTGGAGGGTCTATAAATCTGTAGTGGAGGAAAGGTAGGGTAGAGACCATCCTAGAAAAGGTTGGAGGGGAGTAAAGGAGGTTTTGTGTGAGGGGCTTGGACATCCAGCAAGTGTGTGAGCATATTAGAAATGGAGGCAAATAGATTTGGGACACAGACATGAAGTTGGAGTGTAAGCAAAGTAACAGTTTGTGAAGGGATTCAAGGAAACCGGTTAGCTGGACTTGAGTCCTGAAGGTGGGAAGTACAGTGCCTGCACTCTGACGGAAGGGTGGAGGGGTATCTGAAATGTAGTATTGTTGCACCTCTAGCAAGAGCGATGGAGTGAATGATAGTGAAAGAGGTTCTTCTTTTGGGTAACCCTACTTTGGTGGGAGACCGCAGGTGTGTTAAAAAAAAATATTAAAAATAAAAGAAAAATTTATTTGGGAAAGGGAGGATTAAAATTTCTGCAAGCCATACAATAATACTGGAACAACAAGAACTAGCTGCCCTATGAGTCTGGCCCATGGCCAAGCTCCAGGAGGAGAAAGACTCTTGAAACTCATCAAAGGTATATCAAAGATGTCCTTTCAAGTAATTGTTATGGCAAAAATTAGGATGGGTTGTAGGATTTAAAAAAGAAAAAACTACTACCAATAATCATCCTGCTTACAAACTTTTCCATAATAAAATCACTGCTTAATTTTAAAGAAAATTTTTACAAATACTACGTGGTGCAACAAAGACAGCTGCAAGTGGAAACTCACTGGGTGTTGTGTGTCATCATGCAGCAAGTACTTTACACATTTTTTTTTATTTTTTTATTATCACACTGGCCAATTCCCACCAAGGCAGGGTGGCCCAAAAAAGAAAAACTTTCACCATCATTAACTCCATCACTGTCTTGCCAGAAGGGTGCTTTACACTACAGTTTTTAAACTGCAACATTAATACCTCTCCTTCAGAGTGCAGGCACTGTACTTCCCATCTCCAGGACTCAAGTCCGGCCTGCCGGTTTCCCTGAACCCCTTCATAAATGTTACTTTGCTCACACTCCAACAGCACGTCAAGTATTAAAAACCATTTGTCTCCATTCACTCCTATCAAACACGCTCACGCATGCCTGCTGGAAGTCCAAGCCCCTCGCACACAAAACCTCCTTTACCCCCTCTCCAACCTTTCCTAGGCCGACCCCTACCCCGCCTTCCTTCCACTACAGACTGATACACTCTTGAAGTCATTCTGTTTCGCTCCATTCTCTCTACATGTCCAAACCACCTCAACAACCCTTCCTCAGCCCTCTGGACAACAGTTTTGGTAATCCCGCACCTCCTCCTAACTTCCAAACTACGAATTCTCTGCATTATATTCACACCACACATTGCCCTCAGACATGACATCTCCACTGCCTCCAGCCTTCTCCTCGCTGCAACATTCATCACCCATGCTTCACACCCATATAAGAGCGTTGGTAAAACTATACTCTCATACATTCCCCTCTTTGCCTCCAAGGACAAAGTTCTTTGTCTCCACAGACTCCTAAGTGCACCACTCACTCTTTTCCCCTCATCAATTCTATGATTCACCTCATCTTTCATAGACCCATCCGCTGACACGTCCACTCCCAAATATCTGAATACATTCACCTCCTCCATACTCTCTCCCTCCAATCTGATATTCAATCTTTCATCACCTAATCTTTTTGTTATCCTCATAACCTTACTCTTTCCTGTATTCACCTTTAATTTTCTTCTTTTGCACACCCTACCAAATTCATCCACCAATCTCTGCAACTTCTCTTCAGAATCTCCCAAGAGCACAGTGTCATCAGCAAAGAGCAGCTGTGACAACTCCCACTTTGTGTGTGATTCTTTATCTTTTAACTCCACACCTCTTGCCAAGACCCTCGCATTTACTTCTCTTACAACCCCATCTATAAATATGTTAAACAACCACGGTGACATCACACATCCTTGTCTAAGGCCTACTTTTACTGGGAAATAATTTCCCTCTTTCCTACATACTCTAACTTGAGCCTCACTATCCTCGTAAAAACTCTTCACTGCTTTCAGTAACCTACCTCCTACACCATACACTTGCAACATCTGCCACATTGCCCCCCCTATCCACCCTGTCATATGCCTTTTCCAAATCCATAAATGCCACAAAGACCTCTTTAGCCTTATCCAAATACTGTTCACTTACATGTTTCACTGTAAACACCTGGTCCACACACCCCCTACCTTTCCTAAAGCCTCCTTGTTCATCTGCTATCCTATTCTCAGTCTTACTCTTAATTCTTTCAATAATAACTCTACCATACACTTTACCAGGTATACTCAGCAGACTTATCCCCCTATAATTTTTGCACTCTCTTTTATCCCCTTTGCCTTTATACAAAGGAACTATGCATGCTCTCTGCCAATCCCTAGGTACCTTACCCTCTTCCATACATTTATTAAATAATTGCACCAACCACTCCAAAACTATATCCCCACCTGCTTTTAACATTTCTATCTTTATCCCATCAATCCCGGCTGCCTTACCCCCTTTCATCTTACCTACTGCCTCATGAACTTCCCCCACACTCACAACTGGCTCTTCCTCACTCCTACAAGATGTTATTCCTCCTTGTCCTATACATGAAATCACAGCTTCCCTATCTTCATCAACATTTAACAATTCCTCAAAATATTCCCTCCATCTTCCCAATACCTCTAACTCTCCATTTAATAACTCTCCTCTCCTATTTTTAACTGACAAATCCACATATAACTATACACATATAACTACTAATTTCAGAGGGATGATGTAAGGTCTCTCTTTTTCCCAGATTTTTTTTTTTAACAAGTCGGCCGTCTCCCACCAAGGCAGGGTGACCCAAAAAGAAAGAAAATCCCCAAAAAGAAAAGACTTTCATCATCATTCAACACTTCCACCTCACTCACACATAATCACTGTTTTTGCAGAGGTGCTCAGAATACAACAGTTTAGAAGCATATACGTATAAAGATACACAACATATCCCTCCAAACTGCCAATATCCCAAACCCCTCCTTTGAAGTGCAGGCATTGTACTTCCCATTTCCAGGACCCAAGTCTGGCTATATAAAAATAACTAGTTTCCTGAATCCCTTCGCTAAATATTACCCTGCTCACACTCCAACAGCTTGTCAGGTCCCAAATACGTACCATTCGTCTCCATTCACTCCTATCTAACAAGCTAATGCATGCTTGCTGGAAGTCCAAGCCCCATGCCCACAAAACCTCCTTTACCCCCTCCCTCCAACCTTTTCGAGGACGAACCCTACCCCGCCTTCCTTCTCCTACAGATTTATATGCTCTCCATGTCATTCTACTTTGATCCATTCTCTCTAAATGACCAAACCACCTCAACAACCCCTCTTCAGCCCTCTGACTAATACTTTTATTAACTCCACACCTTCTAATTTCCACACTTCCAACCGTCTCCTCGCTGCAGCACTTACAACCCAAACTTCACACCCATATAAGTGTTGGTACCACTATACACTTTCATACATTCGCTTCTTTACCTCTATAGATGATGTTTTTTGTCTCCACATATACCTCAACGCACTACTCACCTTTTTTCCTTTATCAATTCCATGATTAACCTCATCCTTCGTAACTCCATCTGCTGATACGTCAACTCCCAAATATCTGAAAACATTCACTTCTTCCATACTCCTCCTCCCCAATTTGATATCCAATTTTTCTTTATCTAAATCATTTGATACCCTCATCACCTTACTCTTTTCTAAGTTCACTTTCAACTTTCTACCTTTACACAATCTCCCAAACTCGTCCACTAACCTTTGCAATTTTTCTTTAGAATCTCCCATAAGCACAGTATTATCAGCAAAATGTAACTGTGTCAATTCCCATTTTGTATTTAATTCCCCATAATTTAATCCCACCCCTCTCCCGAACACCCTAGCATTTATTTCTTTTACAACCACATCTATAAATATATTAAACAACCATGGTGACATTACACATCCCTGACTAAGACCTACTTTTACTGGGAAGTAGTCTCCCTCTCTTCTACACACCCTAACCTGAGCCTCACTATCCTCATAAAAACTCTTCACAGCATTTAGTAACTTACCACCTATTCCACATACTTGCAACATCTGCCACATTGCTCCCCTATCCACTCTATCATATGCCTTTTCTAAATCCATAAATGCAATAAAAACTTCCTTACCTTTATCTAAATACTGTTCACATATATGTTTCAATGTAAACACTTGATCTACACAACCCCTACCCACTCTAAAACCTCCTTGCTCATCCGCAATCCTACATTCTGTCTTACCTCTAATTCTTTCAATAATAACCCTACCTTACACTTTTCCTGGTATACTCAGTAAACTTACACCCCTATAATTTTTACCATCTCTTTGTCCCCCTTCCCTTTATATAAAGGAACTATACATGCTCTCTGCCAATCCCTAGGTACCTTCCCTTCTTTCACACATTTATTAAACCAAAATACCAACCACTCCAACACTATATCCCTCCTTTGCTTTTAACATTTCTGTCATGATCCCGTCAGTTCCAGCTGCTTTACCCCTTTCATTCTACGTAATGCCTCACGGACCTCCCCCCCACTCACATCCTGCTCTTCTTCACTTCTAAAAGATGGTATACCTCCCTGGCCAATGCATGAAATTACCGCTTACCTTTCTTCTTTCAATAGAAATTCACAAACACTTACTTTATAAATAAGAACACTATCATGTAGCAGTTATAGTGCATTTAAAACTGTATTGTATCAGACATATTCTTTAGCACACTGGCCATTTCCCACTAAAGCAGTTACTTAAATGAAAAAAATAATATTTATCAAACATACGAGGGTCATTCGGTGCTGCATGACGGAAGAAATAAGAGGCAGAATGTGCAAAAAGCAAGTAAGATGACTCAGAGAAAACACATTCACCCTCACTAGTGTTTCAGCTGACTTCTCAAAAAAGCAACGATGTCAAGGTCTTGTGACAGCACACAGAAATGCAACTTTTACAATAAACTTTCAAAGTAGAGTACTTCTCACCTCCAAAACTTCAGTCCATTTAACAAGCTTATCATATTCCCTGCATTTATTATCATGCTCAAAGTTCAGCAACACAAATCCCAAAGACCATTTACCTCCATTCAATCTAATCTAACAGCTTCACAAATACTTGTTTAATTTTAAAGCCATTTACTCTTTTCACAAAGACATTTTCACTGCCTCTAATCTCTTTATTGTAAAACTTAAAAACCATACTGTGCTATAAAACATTCTCCTTATTAGCATGCATTAACTAGCTTCTTTTTTTCCAAGTATTTTTCAACATCTGCAACTTTGTTTCCCTACTTGTTCACAGAGTTGTCTGCTACAGCCACCTCTAAGCATCTATATACCGTCACTTCATTCTTTTACTTATTCTTATCAACCTATTCTTTTTGTATTAATTGTAAATTTCCCTTTTATAAAGCCTTCTAAACTCGTTTAACCTCCGCACAATCTTGCAGTGATAGCCTTCATTCATATATGATTTACTTTCTAAGACAGCAACTCATGTTCACTCTCTCTCTCTAATACACTAGCAGTGATAATTAATTTTTATTAATTCATACACCTGTTATTTCCTGTGTAAATCTGACAATTTTTCTTCCAGACATTTGATTGCTCCCAAAACTTTATAAATTAATAAATTTCAATACAGCATCTATCAAGCTTAACAACTCTCACAATAATTTCTCCTAATATGTGTTATATTATACTGAATGTGATTATCTTGCCTTATTTAGTTTAACCTTAGGATACAGCAGGGGAGGATCCTCTATGAAACTAATGAAGCTTAACCTTGAGGGCCCCTAATCCTGGAGGGGCCCCAGAGTGACTTCATTCCACATTGCTTAAAAATTCTGGGTCTACTGTATGAGAAAGGATTGCGAAGGGGCCCCCATAAGAGTTAAAGCTTCAGGGCACCAAAAATGTAGGTCCCCCACTGGGATATAGTACTTTGCTCACCTTAATATCTCTAAGCAGATGCTCCACTCCAACTTCTTCAGCTTCCTCCGCACCAATTTCACTTGCCACGTGCTCAAATGTTTTACTTGTAGGTGTACCATCCTGGAAAATGGTACGCTTTATAGACACCACCCACACTACATGACTTGACCATACTACAGAAAATACACATGACAAAATAAGTAATGCAAGACAAAAATCATAGTTTTTTCATATAAGCTTCTCAACAATGATAGTTCATATTTTTGGAATTATGGATTTTCACTTAAGGGATAATTAAAATGCAATCAGACTAACTTTACCAAGTGTACAGTAATTGCATACATCCAAAAATCTACATCTTAGGAAAGGCTTTACTCGAACATATAAAAAAGACATGTGTCGTACTGTATTTGTTACGAAAACCATTCTATTACAGGAAACAGTCGACGGATAAACTAGAAAAATAAAAGAAACAAGGGAGAAATATACTTACATCGTGAACTTCCTCCACACTATAATATGCTTCTGTGGGAAGTCCAATATTTGATGCATGGGCATCAATGATCACTAACACTGAATTACCACAATGTCTCTTGACCAAATCATTGATGGCAATATCATTTTGGCACAGCTTAGGGCCTGTGTGGTACCAGCCGACAATCTTCTCACGAGCATTAACCTTTTGAAATGGAGGGAAAAAAAAATCACAATCTTTCTCAGGTACACATCTCTTACACATAGTCTTCCTGGCAGTGAATGCCATGAGATAAACAATAAATTAGATTTCAAATAAAAAATTCTTTCAGTCTCAGATGCTTTTACATATCACAGATAATTTAGTACTATGAGCTAGTAACTATGTTACATTAAAAGCATTACTTTTAAGGTTCCATAATGCAAGTTTTGTAAACAAAACTGAAAAAGTACATCCAAGACTGGTAATAAAGGCTGAGGTACTGAGACTATTAGGTAAAAGGACATGTAAAAAGTAATGTTGGACACGTGTCCCTCATAGTACACACTATTACATTTTGGATGCATCTTTTCAATCCTGTTTACAATTACACTATGCAGAGAAGCTCCATAAGTGCTGACATGGATACCAAACATTTATCAGACAGTTAAAATCTTGGTATTGCTAAATTAACATAGAAAGTAATGTATAATCTAAAGCCAAATCTTAGAGAAAACAAAATTTCAGTGACCTGCGTCATAAACCCAAATACATTTACACCGTAAAACAGGACTGAACTAGAGTAGTATGAACATTCACTATGACACATGAAAAGGGTGAATTCATTTGTAATACTGTGGTTATTTAATTACAAAGTACAGGAATGCAATAAGTACCAACAAGGGTGGTGCTTTACAGCACGTGCAGTATTAATGGTCCAGTCCCACATCAGGCATGCAGTACTGCACATTATGTTCCAATAGAAACCGACTGATGCAAAGATTTATAATAATTAACACATCAGTCATTTGCCACCAAGGCAGGGTGGCCCAAAAATTAAAAACTTTTATCATCATTCACTCCATCACTGTTTTGCCAGAGGTGTGCTTACATTACAGTTATAAAACTGCAACATTAACACCCCTCTTTCAAAGATTTGTACATTGAATTCCATGTAGCCTAACATTGAGCTCATTGACCCAAGGATAATAATTTTTAAGAATACATTTATATGACTATAATTATACAGTGGAACCTCTACTTACGAGTGCACCCATGTGCGAGTTTTTCCAGATACGAGCAGTTGCTTGGTCGATTTTTTTGCTTCCAGACACGAGCAAAATTTTCAGATGTGAGCAGGCCTCAAGGGAGGTTCCTTGACGTGGGTGAGGGGCTCTTGCTCTTGATCTAGGAAATTGGATCTCATTTGTTTGTTGGACAATCTTATTGAAACTTGGGCAATGTATGATGGAAAGATGCTTCTTAACGTGCACCAAAATTGAAAGAAATTGGACCATAAATAACGGAGTTCACTTCTCAGCCACTAGCTGCCCCTTAATGGTACATTTTTGTATGGTTTTTATGGTTGTATTCTTGTTTTTTTTTTATCTCATTTGATAGAATGCAAGATATATTACAGAAATAGATATGATTTTGATTGAAACTGAGCTCAAAGTAGTAGAAATATTCAATTTTTGCCGATGTTCAAGAGTAAACAATACCTGTCCAAGTGGCCATTCCAAATATGCAGTCATGAATGGGTTGACTTTATTTATACAATTATTACAATAATGCAGTAGTCTGCATAACAGTAAATCTTCTATTTTTGTGTGAATAAAAATTCCAAATGGTAGGCAAGAGTATTATAATAATAATAATAATAATAATAATACGTATAATAATACATAATAATTATACAATAATATACACATAATAATATAATTATAATATGTATGTACTAATAATAATAAATAATACTATAATAATTGTGAGTGAGTTTAAGAACACCACCACAAGATAGCATTAAGTGTATGAAAACAACACTCAGTGTACGTGTGCGTCAACTGGCGGTGGAGATAATTCTGGTGATTTCCTTATGTTTCGTGCAGTTATTTTGCAGAATTTCTTGATTCTAACCATGGGTCCTAAGAAAGCAAGTGCAAAGGACAGTGCTGAGAAGAAAAAGAGGATGATTTCCATGGTATTAAAGCAGGAAATCACTGATAAACACAAACTTAGAGTGTAGCATTAAACAATAGAAAAAGGACGAAACAAAATGAACTCCTGACAGCATACACCGCTGTACCCAGCATCTCTTCTACCTCATCAACCTTCGCCAGCCTCTCTTCTCCATGGTAAATGCTGTACAGTGGAACCTTGACTTACGAGTTTAATCCGTCCCAGGAGCTAGCTCGTAACTCAATTTACTCGTATATCAAATTAATTTTCCTCATTTAAATTAATTGAAAAGCCATTAATTTGTTCCTGGACTCTGGAGAGATGAGAAAAAAATACTTGAATATGACGCTGTTATCAATTGTACGGCTTATTTATCTATCACAATTCATCTAATATGACATAATAAACAATATAATTAACACAGAAACATGATATATACTCTAGAATGAATAAAACAGGCCATAATATGGTGGCAGAGGCAGCGGTAGAAGCGTCTGCCATTTCTGTCCTAATTTGACTATAGTACTATCTTCCCATATTCGTACTAGTGATCTATTGCAGTAGATCACTAGTTTTCTAAGGAAAATGCTGAAACAATGTTTTTATAAATAAGAAATATCATATAAAAACTGTTTATATAAAGTGTATATGTACTTACACACTTAGAGCAAAGATAGTGGGGGAGGTTGAGGATGGGGGAGGTTGAGGTTGGAGGATGTTGAGAGTGGGGGGATACTGAGGGTGAGGGATGCTGAGGGTGGGGGATGCTGAGGGTGGGGGATGCTGAGGGTGGGGGATGCTGAGGGTGGGGGATGCTGAGGGTGGGGGATGTTGAGGGTGGGGGATGTTGAGGGTGCAGCGTATGATGTATTGCCTGGTTAAGTCCATGGAAATCGTCTTTTTCTTCTCAGCACTGTTCTTTGCACTTATTTTCTTAGGACCCATGGTTAGAAAAAAGATATTTGGCCAAATGACTGTAAAAAAATGCAAACATGCACGAGAAAACTGCTCCCATAGCGATGTAAACATGTGTACGATGTTTAGGCATCAGTAGTGACATCTAAAGGCAGGATTCTGAATTATTATTACGTACGTATTATGTATTATTATTATTAATTTAGGGAACTGAAGCTCTATCATTATAATAATAATAAAAATATATTATTATTATTATTATTATATTATTATTATCTATTATTATTGTTATTATTAATTTAGGAACTGAAGCTCTATTGTTACTGTAACAATAAATAATATTATTATATTATCATTATTATAATTATACTATAATTATTATTATTATTATTATTAATTTAGGGAACTGGAACACAGATCCAATTCCCTAGATCAAGAGCCCCTCACCAGCATCAAGGAACCTTGATGCTGGTGAGAAGCTCTTGATCTAAGGAATTGGATCTGTGCTCTAGTTACCTAAATTAATAATAATAATAATAATACTAATAATAGTAATAATAATTATTATTATTAAAATGAACACCTCCAACTCAATGCACTGTTTACCTCGCTGTGGGAGCAGTTCTCTCATGCTTTGCTTACATTTTTGACAGTCATTTGGTCAAATTTAATTTTTCTAAGCATGGGTCCTGAGAAAGTAAGTGTAAAGGACAGTGCTGAGAAGAAAAAGAGAAGGATTTCCATGGAATTCAAGCATGAAATCATAGATAAACAAGCGAGGTGTCCAGGTATTGGGTTGGGGGGGGAAGCTGGCTCGTAACTCAGATAAAAAAATCGACCCAGGGACGGCTCATATCTCAAAAAACTTGTATGTTGGGACACTCGTAAGTCAAGCTTCCACTGTATTATTATTATTATTATTATTATTTATTACGTATTATTATTATTATTATTATTGTTTTCCTTATAAAACTATGTAGTGATTAACCCTTAAACTGTCCAAACATAGATCTACGTTCACATGTGTAGTGCTCCAAAAGTAGATCTACGTTTTCTTACACGCTTTCAAATGTAAAAAAAAAAAAATCTACGTTTTTTACATAGTACTTTCAAATGTAGAAAAAACGAAGATCTACGTTTGGACAGTTTAAGGGTTAATAAAGTTTGCCTTACAAACACTCCGTTTTCTGTTATAATAAAAGCATGAGAAGGTATGTAGTTAGGGGCAGGAACTATGGCCGCTGTGCCGCTGCCTCCACTACACACTACTCAAATATGTAATGACACATTTCATTCATTCTAGTGTATATATCACGTTTCTATGTTATTAATATTGTTTATTATGTCATATTAGATGAATTGTGATAGACACAAGCTGTAGAGTTGATATTAGAGAAATATTCAAGTATGTATTTTGTCATGCCTGGAATTTCACTGGGATGGATTAATTCCATTTCAATTAAATTAACCCTTTCAGGGTCGCCAGGCCCTCTCCGAGACTTGTTCTCAGGGTCGCCAAATTTAAAAAAAAAATTATTACAAAAAGATAGAGAATCTTTTCCCGATCATAATGACACCAAAAGTATGAAATTTGATGGAAAACTTACGGAATTATGCTCTCGCGAAGTTAGCAGTCTCGACGATGTTTATACATCGGCGATTTTGCCCACTTTGAGCCCTATTTTCGGCCAATTCCAGTGTACTAGTCGACAAAAATCATAACTATTTTACTAGAACTCCATTTTTTCTATTGAATGAGTACAAGAAACCACCCATTTACCAATTTCAACTATCCAATAAAGTGGTCAGAATTTAGCAATTTTGCCAATTTCACACAAATTTCAAAAGATGACAATTTCCAAATAGGGTCCAGAATAAACAAGAAAGACAATCCTAGCACTAAAATAAAAAGTTCTCTGTTCGTTAGTCACATCCCCAGGCCCCTCTTATATTTCTTTGGCTTTCCACTTTAAATTTTTATTCTTACAAAAAATAGAAGATTTATTGTTATGCAGACTACTGCATTAGTGTAGAAATGGTATAAATAATATCAGCGCACTTGTGAAAGAATATTAGACTCACCAGTTGACGTGTACTGGACACTTGGCATGATTTGTTTACTTTTGAACTTTGGTAAAAACCAAACATTTCCGCTACTTTGAGCTCAATTTCAAGGTACTTTTCATTGTAAAACCAGTCAAAATCATCTCAATTTCTGTAATATGTCTTCCATTCTATAAAATGAGACCAGGAAAACTAGAATACAACAATAAATACCATACGAAAATACAGTGCAAAGTCGCTGTTTTAATCCAAAAACACGGTCAAAGTTTTTTTTTTCTCATTACGCACTGTGTGCTGCAAGATTTTTTTTATACTGCGCACACTGACCACATAGACCCATTCTTTCATATGTAGGCCTACCAGCTTTCTCTCACTAGATGTGAAGAATCTAGAATTTAGGCGTACTAGTACGTCAATAACCCTGGTGCGTAAGCCATACTAGTACGTCCAAAACCCTGAAAAGGTTAAATAAAAAAAAATTGACTCTACAAACGACCAAATCCAGATGCGAGCAAGGTCACGGAACGGATTAAACTCACAAGTAGAGGTTCCAATGTAAATGGAAAAAACTGATTTTAACTGTGAAACAATATTACTAGTGGGACTTCAATACAGTACTTAACCCTTAAGCTCGTAGATCTACGTTGACGTGCGTAGAGCTCCAAACATAGAACTACATTTTTCTCACATAAGAAAGCATGTAAAATCAAACGTAGATCTACGTTTGGAGCGCTACACACGTCAATGTAGATCTACATTTGGGCAGTTTAAGGATTAAAACAGACAACAATGAGGAGCAATATCATGCATTTAAATGAGCAGTGGACATAATGCCTGGGGAATTCTAAAGAAAAAATAAGATCCTTAATAAAATGGTTGATTTGAATAATATAGCGAGTTTAAAAATCTTGTAAATGCTCAAAAATGATCTATAAATGTCTTATTTATATAGCTAAAGAAATTAAAGTAAAATCAGTGTAGCCTGACATACAAATTAAACATCCTATAAAAATAACTTCATGAAGGTGCCAGATCAACCAGGCTGTGACGGATATGTGGGGCAGTGAGCCTCCAGCAGCAACAGCCTGGTTGACCAAGCTAGCACAAGATAAGTCTGGCCCATGGCCGGGAGTGGAAAAACCCTAGAAAATCATTAAAGGTATATCAGAAGTATACAGTACTTTCTTACCTTTTTAAACATATTGTATTTATTCTCCAAGTAGTCATGGTCTAGGAACCAAACTGACTTATCCTTCTCATCTTCATCGAAAGGAACTGAAAATAATAATTTTTTTAATAACAGAAAAAGACACTATCGTGAATGGAACAATACACAAATAACCTGCACATAGGAGAGAGAAGCTACGACAATGTTTCAGTCCAACTTGGACCATTTACAAAGTCACAGTGACTTTGTAAATGGTCCAAGTCGGACTGAAACAGTCGTAGCTCCTCTCTTCTATGTGTGGGTTATTTGTGTAATATTTTTATTTGTAAAATGCTAATACAGTGGTACCCTGAGTTTCATACAGTTCCCAACTCAAACAACTTTGTAAGTGTATTTTTGGGGATCTGAAACAGACAAATCTAATTTACATTACTCCTTATGGGAACAAATTTATTTGGTAACGGCACTCGAACAGCCTTTTGGAAGAAATTATGTACGAAACTTGGGGTACCACTGTAATTTAATGTTTAACATGCATCGCACATAATCCACAACTTATTTCTATTGGAGTCTACGTCCCCCGTTAAGTCACAGGTACCTGGTAAACTTAAATTAAGTCATTTTAACCTTTGATAAGTTAGGTTTCTAACTTTCTGCATGACATGACATTATGTGTCAAGAGTGAGACATCAAGCACGTCCATGATATTATCTCCAGTGTAAAACAAAGATCAAAATAAGGACATAATTTGTAAAGTAAAAGGACACAAGTGCAACTAATGTGACATTTATTGTGGCAACGTTTCGCTCTCCAGGAGCTTTATCAAGCCATTACAAACAATACACGGACACAGAGGGTATATAAAGGCTCAGAGTGAGGTGCAATACTAGTGAGGTACCATTTCGATGTTCACTAGTGGTAGTGGTAGTAGTAGTAGTGGTAGTGACAAAAGTAATACAATATGGTAGAGCAATTAATTCGTACATGAGTAAAAGGATATAAAAGCTATTACTTGGGTAACATAAAAATAGGTTGGACAAATATAGACTGGAAAGAGGCAGCTTGTTTCAGTGTTCACTCCTTGTATGTGCTTGTGTAGTATAACAGGAGAGACTATGTGATGGCAGGGTTTACTGTTTTCAGGAGGATTCTTGCTACTACTACTACTACCACTACCACTAGTGAATGTCGAAATGGTACCTCACTAGTATTGCACCTCACTCTGAGCCTTTATATACCCTCTGTGTCCGTGTATTGTTTGTAATGGCTTGATAAAGCTCCTGGAGAGCAAAACGTTGCCACAATAAATGTCACATTAGTTGCACTTGTGTCCTTTTACTTTACATATTGTCGGTAATTCTACCAACTTTATTACAAGGACATAATTACCAGCATAAGAGTTGGAGACAACAAGGGCATATTAGTGTAAAAAAGGTCAATCAAGGACATAATTATGAGCATAAGTTGGAATCATCAAGGACATATTGGTGTAAAAAAGGTCAATCAAGGACACAGTGTAAAAAAGGCCAATCAAGGACATTACCAGAGTAAAAGTTGGAAAAAATCAAGGCCATATTAGTGTAAGAAAGTCAATCAAGGCCATAATTGCCAGGATAAGAGTTGGAAACATCAAGAACAGTGACATAATTATCAGGACATAATTATCAGCATAAGTTGGAAACATCAAGGACAGTGTAAAAAGGTCAATCAAGGATAAAATTACCAGCATAAGAGTTGGAAACATCAAGGACTCCTATGATTATAAAAGGGTGAATCAATGACATAATTACCAGCATAAGTTGGAAAAATCAAGGACAAAAATAACATAAATTACAAAAAAGGTCAAGGACATAATTACCAGCATAAGTTGGAAACATCAAGGACACCCATGACTATAAAAAAGTTAATCAAGGACACAATTATCAGCATGAGTTGGAAACATCAAGGACGCCCATGACTATAAAAAAGGTCAATCAAGAACATAATTACCAGCATAAGTTGGAAACATCAAGGACGCCCATGACTAAAAAAGGCCAATCAAGGACATAATTACCAGCATAAGAGTTTGAAACATCAAGGACACCCATGACTATAAAAATAATAATCAAGGACACAATTATCAGCATAGAGTTGGAAACATCAAGGACGCCCATGACTATAAAGAAGATCAATCAAGAACATAATTACCAGCATAAGTTAGAAACATCAAGGACACCCATGACTATAAAAAAGGTCAATCAAGGACATAATTACCAGCATAAGTTAGAAACATCAAGGACGCCCATGACTAAAAAAGGTCAATCAAGGACATAATTACCAGCATAAGTTAGAAACATCAAGGACGCCCATGACTATAAAAAATGTCAATCAAGAACATAATTACCAGCATAAGTTAGAAACATCAAGGACGCCCATGACTATAAAAAATGTCAATCAAGGACATAATTACCAGCATAAGTTAGAAACATCAAGGACGCCCATGACTATAAAAAAGGTCAATCGAGGACATAATTACCAGCATAAGAGTTAGAAACATCAAGGACGCCCCTGGACCTCCAAGAGCCCAGTAGGACTCCCACCACACGCTTGGTGCTGCCTATTTTAGACATCCTGGTGAAGTGGTCCACCACACTGAGCAGCACCAGTGGGTGCACCACCACCTTGTTCACCGGCAGAGTCTCCGTGGTGCTCATCTTGGCCTCACACACCTTGGAACAAGAACCTCGTAACTGCTGCTTCACCTTCGGTTTGTTGGGTTTAAAAGGGCTACTAGACGGCTTACAGCGTAGCGAGTCCGGCTTCCCGAATATTTCCTGCTCGAAAATGAGCCCATGAAAGAAAATTGAAGAGGAACTCCTTTGTAAATAAAAACATAGACTAGAAATTCTCAATTAGACCAGATGGACCACCTTGTTAAGCCCCAGTAGAGGCAACAGCCCACTCACCCACCTGCCCAAACACTGCCCGAAATGCCTAGGCATGCTAGTGGCTTTCTTTGTAACTAATATTTTATTATATGTAAACCACACATTGTAATTAATCATTTATAATATGCAAACGCTACATTGTAACATTTACGGAGAAATAAACATTTCAATTTGAATTTCAATTTAGTAACCGGCTTCCCACTAAAACCGTTAAAGAATCTCACACCTTTGTCATTCCTCGCTAGATCCTCGACTTGATTTTTTATATTCATAAAAAAATTTACAAGAAAAAATAATAATAACAACTCATGTAATCGTGAATATTTACAGTGAGCATTAATTGATAAAAAAACGCATATTCTTGCAAATTATGCCCAAAAATGTACTTATTTATTTATATATATTTTTATACGATAAAATTTCAATTAAAACGAAAAATATCAATTATTTAATCATAAATATTTACAATAAGCATTAATTTAAAATCGAAAAATGCACATTGTTGCAAATTAAGCCAAAAAACTGCAAATTCCCGCTATCTGTAAATTATGGGATTATTTATGTATATATATATTATTTCGCAATTATTCTACATATTTATATATAATTCAGAATAATTATTATATTATATATACTGATAATATATTAGAAAATCCATAATAATTCAAAAATTACAAATCGCAGCAATTTAAACCCTTTTTTTGAGCATAATTTGCAACAATTTGTATTTTTTTATTTCAAAACTTTAATAAAACATAATAATATATCTGAATTAAATATGATACATGTATAATAATTGTAATATAATACCTATAAAAAATAATTCTATAATTTATAAATAGAAGCAATTTCCACTTTACTGGAACTTAATTTTGCAAAAATATAATTTTTACAATTTAAAACTTTAGTATTAGTATATACATAATATAATAATATATCTGAATTATATATATATATAAAATGTGTAGAATAATTATGAAATAATATACTGTATATACAAAGAAATAATTCAATAATTTGCAAATAGCAGGAATTTGCACTTTTTGACTTAATTTGTAACAATATGCATTTTTATATTATAAATTAAAACTTATTGTAAATATTTATGATTATATGAGTTGTTATAATGGACATTTTTTTATTTTTTTATATGAAGTCAACGGGTTACCTTGCAAGTTGCAGCAGCCAATAGGAAGAGACTTCACCTGAGAGACGCTCTCTGATTGGCTGTGTCTTAATACTGGTTAGGGCTCTTGATTCAAGGAATTAGAGGTCTCCCCTCCCTCGGATCAAACCTAATTAACTTTTATGCCCATGTTATATACCGCCAGTAAGGATATATAATCTGGAATGCAATAATAACTGGCTTGTAGTGTGGTGGCCAGTCTCGCTCTTCTTGTCTCAAAAATTAAATTATCTCCATATATATATTTTATTAAAAACAAAATTGTTATATATAGGCTGTTAAAATATAATTATACACAACATATTATATAAAATTAATGAAAAACAATTTTCACAACCAACTCGAGTTTCTTACTAAACCTAAAAGCCGATTTTATATATATATATATATATTTGTATTTTGTCAAAACACATTATTTAACAATTATAACTATTTATAGACTTTAAAAATTAATGTGTAAAAACATGATAGAGTTATAAGTGTTCAACTATATATTAAATAATCTCTAACAAATTTTAAATATCCTTCACACTTGTCAAGAAATTAATGTGGAATTTGTACTTTAAATATTATATATATTTTAAATATACTGCTATATACATATATATGGAATTTTTTGGCAAGTATTTTGCATGAAGGAAATATATGTACAGAGAGAATTGTTGGGGGAAAAATGAAAGAAAAAATGCTGCAGAATTTTGTATATAGCGCTGATTTTCAAGATTTTTTTTTGGTGTATATTATAATATAGGTATGTATGTATTTTTTGCAAGTATTTTATTTGATTTAAGGGGGTTATTGGGGTACACATAAGAGAAAACAGGAAAAAATGGTGTAAAATTTTGGACATAATGTAGATTTTTATGTGTATAATAAATGTATCATTATATACGTATGTTTGAAATTTTTGGTAATGATGTTTTTTTATTTAGAAATTGTGGCAAAGGCAGAAATAAGAGAAAACATTAAAAAATGGTGGGAATTTTTGTGCAAAAATTAGATTTTTGAGAATTTTTATGTATATATATTGCAAGTATGTCATTACATATGCATGTATACAATTTTTACGATTATTTTAGAAGATTTAAAATTATTGTAGAGGTGTAAATAAGAAAAAAAATGGGGAAAAATTGTATGTTTTTTTATAATTTTTCATATATATATTTTAATTATAACTAACTAACATTATAACATTATAAACGCATGTATATATATATTAAAATAATTTTATTTGATTTAAAGTGATTTCAGAGATGAAAATAAGCGAAAATAGGGAAAACGTGTGGAAATTTTTGTAGATTTTTGAGAAATTTTTACCTAAACATTGTAATTATAACATTATAAACGCATGTAAGTATTTTAAAAATAATTTTATTTAATTTAAGGTGATTATATAGTAAAAATAAGCGAAAACAGAAAAAAAGGGGAGAATTTTTATAATTTTATATATTTTTGGATATATAATGTAATTATATCATTACAAACGCATGTAAGTATTTTTAAAATTCACTATATATAATTTAACATCATAATAGAGGTAAAAATAATGGAAAATAGGGGAAAAAATATAATTTTGCCAGGATGTATTTTCATAGTTGTGTTTACGAGAGTCAGATGATCAGTGATGGCCAGTGACCGTCCTGTTGCTGCTGGATAATCAATAATGACTAGTGTTGTTATGTGAGGTGTGTGTGAGTGCTGGTGGCATCACACATGTTATGTACAGACTAGGGAGAGTGTGTGTGTTACTGGTCTGGGACCAGTGTGTTGGCTGGAGCAAGAGGGGAGGGAAAATTATCTCCTCTTGGACTGTTTTCCTGTTACTGTTACCGTTCCTCACTGGTGTTGTCCTGTTTTGTTTTAGAGACCAGGGGGAGAGTGTGACACTGGTCTGGGACCAGTCTAGTAGCTAGAGCAAGAGGGGAGGGAAAATTATCCCCTCTTGGACTTTTCATGTTGCTGCTACCGTTCCTCCCTCTGTTGTTTTCCTGTTTTGTTTTAGAGACCAGAGAGACTGTGTGATACTGGTCTGGGACCAGTCTACTGGCTGTGTCACGGGGAAGGAAAATTATCAGCTCTTGGACAGTTTAAATACTGCTACCATCCTTCCCTCCCTCAGGACAGTTTTCTGCTTCTACCTTCCTTCCCTCCCTCAGAGGACAGTTTTCCTGCTGCTACCATCCTTCCCTCCCTCAGAGGACAGTTTTCCTGCTGCTACCATCCTTCGCTCCCTCAGAGGACAGTTTTCCTGCTGCTACCATCCTTCCCTCCCTCAGAGGACAGTTTTCCTGCTGCTACCATCCTTCCCTCCCTCAGAGGACAGTTTTCCTGCTGCTACCATCCTTCGCTCCCTCAGAGGACAGTTTTCCTGCTGCTACCACCCTTCCCTCCCTCAGAGGACAGTTTTCCTGCTGCTACCATCCTTCCCTCCCTCAGAGGACAGTTTTCCTGCTGCTACCATCCTTCCCTCCCTCAGGACAGTTTTCTGCTTCTACCTTCCTTCCCTCCCTCAGAGGACAGTTTTCCTGCTGCTACCATCCTTCCCTCCCTCAGAGGACAGTTTTCTGCTTCTACCTTCCTTCCCTCCCTCAGAGGACAGTTTTCCTGCTGCTACCATCCTTCCCTCCCTCAGAGGACAGTTTTCCTGCTGCTACCATCCTTCCCTCCCTCAGAGGACAGTTTTCCTGCTGCTACCATCCTTCCCTCCCTCAGAGGACAGTTTTCCTGCTTCTACCTTCCTTCCCTCCCTCAGAGGACAGTTTTCCTGCTTCTACCATCCTTCCCTCCCTCAGAGGACAGTTTTCCTGCTTCTACCATCCTTCCCTCCCTCAGAGGACAGTTTTCCTGCTTCTACCTTCCCTCCCTCAGAGGACAGTTTTCCTGCTTCTACCATCCTTCCCTCCCTCAGAGGACAGTTTTCCTGCTTCTACCATCCTTCCCTCCCTCAGAGGACAGTTTTCCTGCTTCTACCTTCCTTCCCTCCCTCAGAGGACAGTTTTCCTGCTGCTACCATCCTTCCCTCCCTCAGAGGACAGTTTTCTGCTTCTACCTTCCTTCCCTCCCTCAGAGGACACTTTTCCTGCTTCTACCTTCCTTCCCTCCCTCAGAGGACAGTTTTCTGCTTCTACCTTCCCTCCCTCAGAGGACAGTTTTCCTGCTGCTACCATCCTTCCCTCCCTCAGAGGACAGTTTTCCTGCTTCTACCTTCCTTCCCTCCCTCAGAGGACAGTTTTCCTGCTTCTACCTTCCTTCCCTCCTCAGAGGACAGTTTTCCTGCTTCTACCTTCCTTCCCTCCCTCAGAGGACAGTTTTCCTGCTTCTACCTTCCTTCCCTCCCTCAGAGGACAGTTTTCCTGCTTCTACCTTCCTTCCCTCCCTCAGAGGACAGTTTTCCTGCTTCTACCTTCCTTCCCTCCCTCAGGACAGTTTTCCTGCTTCTGCCTTCCCTCCCTCAGAGGACAGTTTTCCTGCTTCTACCTTCCTTCCCTCCCTCAGAGGACAGTTTTCCTGCTGCTACCATCCTTCCCTCCCTCAGGACAGTTTTCCTGCTGCTACCATCCTTCCCTCCCTCAGAGGACAGTTTTCCTGCTGCTACCATCCTCCCCTCCCTCAGAGGACAGTTTTCCTGCTGCTACCACCCTTCCCTCCCTCAGAGGACAGTTTTCCTGCTGCTACCATCCTTCGCTCCCTCAGAGGACAGTTTTCCTGCTGCTACCATCCTTCCCTCCCTCAGAGGACAGTTTTCCTGCTGCTACCATCCTTCCCTCCTCAGAGGACAGTTTTCCTGCTGCTACCATCCTTCCCTCCCTCAGAGGACAGTTTTCCTGCTGCTACCATCCTTCCCTCCCTCAGAGGACAGTTTTCCTGCTGCTACCTTCCTTCCCTCCCTCAGAGGACAGTTTTCCTGCTGCTACCATGATTCCCTCCCTCAGGACAGTTTTCCTGCTGCTACCTTCCTTCCCTCCCTCAGGACAGTTTTCCTGCTGCTACCATCCTTCCCTCCCTCAGGACAGTTTTCCTGCTGCTACCTTCCTTCCCTCCCTCAGGACAGTTTTCCTGCTGCTACCATCCTTCCCTCCCTCAGGACAGTTTTCCTGCTGCTACCATCCTTCCCTCCCTCAGGACAGTTTTCCTGCTGCCACCATCCTTCCCTCCCTCAGGACAGTTTTCCTGCTGCTACCATCCTTCCCTCTCTCAGGACAGTTTTCCTGCTGCTACCATCCTTCCCTCCGTCAAGACAGTTTTCCTGCTGCTACCATCCTTCCCTCCCTCAGGACAGTTTTCCTGCTGCTGCCATCTTTCCCTCCCTCAGGACAGTTTTCCTGCTGCTACCCTCCTTCCCTCCCTCAGGACAGTTTTCCTGCTGCTACCATCCTTCCCTCCCTCAGGACATATTTTCCTGCTGATACCATCCTTCCCTCACTCAGAACAGTTTTCCTGCTGCTACCATCCTTCCCTCCCTCAGAGGACAGTTTTCCTGCTGCTACCATCCTTCCCTCCCTCAGGACATATTTTCCTGCTGATACCATCCTTCCCTCACTCAGAACAGTTTTCCTGCTGCTACCATCCTTCCCTCCCTCAGAGGACAGTTTTCCTGCTGCTACCATCCTTCCCTTCCTCAGGACAGTTTTCCTGCTGCTACCATCCTTCCCTCCCTCAGAGGACAGTTTTCCTGCTGCTACCATCCTTCCCTCCCTCAGAGGACAATTTTCCTGCTGCTACCTTCCTTCCCTCCCTCAGAGGACAGTTTTCCTGCTGCTACCATCCTTCCCTCCCTCAGAGGAGTTTTCCTGCTGCTACCTTCCTTCCCTCCCTCAGGACAGTTTTCCTGCTGCTACCTTCCTTCCCTCCCTCAGAGGACAGTTTTCCTGCTGCTGCCATCCTTCCCTCCCTCAGGACAGTTTTCCTGCTGCTACCCTCCTTCCCTCAGCAGACAGTTTTCCTGCTGCTACCATCCTTCCCTCCCTCAGCTGACAGTTTTCCTGCTGCTACCACCCTTCCCTCACTCTGAGGACAGTTTTCCTGCTGCTACCACCCTTCCCTCCCTCAGAGGACAGTTTTCCTGCTGCTACCACCCTTCCCTCCCTCAGAAGTTTTCCTGCTGCTACCATCCTTCCCTCCCTCAGAGGACAGTTTTCCTGCTGCTACCATCCTTCCCTCCCTCAGAGGAGTTTTCCTGCTGCTACCATCCTTCCCTTCCTCAGGACAGTTTTTCTGCTGCTACCATCCTTCCCTCAAAGGACAGTTTTCCTGCTGCTACCATCCTTCCCTCCCTCAGAGGACAGTTTTCCTGCTGCTACCATCCTTCCCTCCCTCAGAGGACAGTTTTCCTGCTGCTACCATCCTTCCCTTCATCAGGACAGTTTTTCTGCTGCTACCATCCTTCCCTCCCTCAGAGGACAGTTTTCCTGCTGTTACCATCCTTCCCTCCCTCAGAGGACAGTTTTCCTGCTGCTACCCTCCTTCCCTCCCTCAGCTGACAGTTTTCCTGCTGCTACCACCCTTCCCTCCCTCAGAGGACAGTTTTCCTGCTGCTACCACCCTTCCCTCCCTCAGAGGACAGTTTTCCTGCTGCTACCCTCCTTCCCTCCCTCAGCTGACAGTTTTCCTGCTGCTACCACCCTTCCCTCCCTCAGAGGACAGTTTTCCTGCTGCTACCACCCTTCCCTCCCTCAGAGGACAGTTTTCCTGCTGCTACCCTCCTTCCCTCCCTCAGCTGACAGTTTTCCTGCTGCTACCACCCTTCCCTCCCTCAGAGGACAGTTTTCCTGCTGCTACCCTCCTTCCCTCCCTCAGCTGACAGTTTTCCTGCTGCTACCACCCTTCCCCCCCTCAGAGGACAGTTTTCCTGCTGCTACCACCCTTCCCTCCCTCAGAGGACAGTTTTCCTGCTGCTACCCTCCTTCCCTCCCTCAGCTGACAGTTTTCCTGCTGCTACCACCCTTCCCTCCCTCAGAGGACAGTTTTCCTGCTGCTACCACCCTTCCCTCCCTCAGAGGACAGTTTTCCTGCTGCTACCCTCCTTCCCTCCCTCAGAGGACAGTTTTCCTGCTGCTACCCTCCTTCCCTCCCTCAGCTGACAGTTTTCCTGCTGCTACCACCCTTCCCTCCCTCAGAGGACAGTTTTCCTGCTGCTACCACCCTTCCCTCCCTCAGAGGACAGTTTTCTTGCTGCTACCATCCTTCCCTTCCTCAGGACAGTTTTCCTGCTGCTACCCTCCTTCCCTCCCTCAGAGGACAGTTTTCCTGCTGCTACCCTCCTTCCCTCCCTCAGCAGACAGTTTTCCTGCTGCCACCATCCTTCCCTCCCTCAGAGGACAGTTTTGCTTTCTTGTTTCCACCACTTGTGAGGTTCTCGCAGGTTTACACTCCCTGGAATCTTGATATAAATGGTTTTCTTGGTGGAACATAGCTTTCCTAGCTGGCAAGTGCAGTGTTAGTGAGTGGTGCCTGAGAGGGGGTCTGTTTTTGTGTTATTGAGAATATTAGGGTCTATTTGTGTGTTATTAGGGCTACTAGGGTTTATTTGTGTGTTTTTGGGGTTCTTTCTTTCTTTCAACACACTGGCCGTATCCCACCAAGGCGGGGTGGCCCAAAAGGAAAAATGAAAGTTTCTCCTTTCAAATTTAGTAATATATACAGGAGAAGGGGTTACTAGCCCCTTGCTCTCGGCATTTCAGTCGCCTCTTACAACACGCATGGCTTTTGGAGGAAGAATTCTGTTCCACTTCCCCATGGAGATAACAGGAAATAAACAAGAACAAGAACTAGAAAGAAAATAGAAGAAAACCCAGAGGGGTATGTATATATACGCTTGTACATGTATGTGTAGTGCGACCTAAGTGTAAGTAGAAGTAGCAAGATGTACCTGAAATCTTGCATGTTCATGAGACAGAAAAAAGGACACCAGCAATCCTACCATCATGTAAAACAATTACAGGCTTTTGTTTTACACTCACTTGGCAGGACGGTAGTACCTCCCTGGACGGTTGCTGTCTACCAACCTACTACCTAGGTTTTTGGGGTTACTGGGACCAATTTGTTTGTTATTGGGGCTATTAGGGCTTGTTAGTGTGTTGGGGCTACATGAACCTGTTTGTGTTATTGGGGCTACTGGGACCTGTTTGTGTGTTACTGGGACTTCTAGGGTCTGTTTGCATTTTAGTTTGTGTATTGGGACTTCTAGGGTTAGTTTGTGTGTTATTGTTTGTGTATTATTGGAGCTACTAGAGACTTGTTTGTGTGTTATTGGGGCTACTGGGGCCTGTTTGTGTATTATTGGGGCTCCTGGGGCTTGTATGTGTGTGACTGGGGCTATCAGGTCAACCAGGCTAGTGCTGTTAGTGACCCACTGACCCACCAGAGCATGGTTGATCTGGCACTTGGAGACGGTAGTGCTCCATTCTCCTCATGAACTTATACGACTGCTCTGGTAGTACAGGAGAGCCTGCTTTACAGCACTTCACTTTATGTTTTGCTAGTACAGCAGTTTTCACTTATACCTGTTCTTCATTTATTCAGACTTCCTGCAATAAATATATTCACCACTTACTATAACCTAAGGACAAAAATATTATAATGTGTGTACTGTACAGTGGACCCCCGCATAGCGATATTAATCCGTGCAAGAGAGCTCATTGTTATGCGAAATTATCGTTATGCGAATGAATTTTCCCCATAAGAAATAATGGAAATCAAATTAATCCGTGCAAGACACCCAAAAATATGAAAAAAAATTTTTACCACATGAAATATACATTTTACTACACACAAAGAGAAGGATACATGCACAATAGTAGAGTAGTACATGCACAATATATATTGTGCATGTACTACTCTATTAAATGAAGAATAAATGACACTTACCTTTATTGAAGATGTAGCAATGACTGATGAGACACTGTGTCCTGGGAGTGCCTTTTCCTCCTGAGTACTGTAGGTCCTGTTTGGCATTTTCTTCCAGAACATGCCTTATCACACTGTGTATGCCACTACGATTCTTAAATCTCTCAAACCAACCTTTGCTGGCTTTAAATTCACCAATATGAGCACTAGTTCCAGGCATTTTTCCCTGTTCACCTGGGTGTTAGTCGACTGGTATGGGTTGCATCCTGGGAGACAAGATTAAGGACCCCAATAGAAATAAGTTAGACAGTCTTCGATGACACTGACTTTTTTGGGTTATCCTGGGTGGCAAATCCTCTGGGGTTAATTGTTTCTTGGTATTCTCAATAAGCCACACCAACAACGGTGCTACAGCAGCAGCAGCTGACAGTGCTACAGCAGCAGCAGCAGCAGCAGCTGACAGTGCTACAGCAGCAGCAGACGATGTTGCAGCAGCAGCAGACGGTACTACAGCAGCAGCAGACGGTACTACAGCAGCAGCAGACGGTACTACAGCAGCAGCAGACAGTACTACAGCAGCAGCAGCAGCTGACGGTGGTACAACAGCAGCAGCAGCTGACAGTGCTACAGCAGCAGCAGACGATGCTACAGCAGCAGCAGACGGTACTACAGCAGCAGCAGACGGTACTACAGCAGCAGCAGCAGCAGCTGACGGTGGTACAACAGCAGCAGCAGCTGACAGTGCTACAGCAGCAGCAGACGATGCTACAGCAGCAGCAGACGATGCTACAGCAGCAGCAGACGGTACTACAGCAGCAGCAGCAGCTGACGGTGCTACAGCAGCAGCAGCAGCTGACAGTGCAGCAGCAGCTGACGGTGGTACAGCAGCAGCAGCAGCTGTACCACCCATAGTAGCGATGGTTGATTGGGGTTTATTATACAACCTGGCCAGCTTGGAGACACGCACTCCACTTTCATACTTATCAATGATCTTTTTCTTCATCTCTATAGTAATTCTCACCCTTATTGCTGTAGGGTTGGCACTAGAAGCTTTCTTGGGGCCCATGGTCACTTATTTTGCAGATAAAAATCACCAAAAACAGTGTAATAATACGAAATGTTCCGATTGTATGCTTGGATGTTACCGCGGAGGCTGGCTGGTAAACAATGCCACCGGCGGAACATGTGAGCGTGGCTCAGGCCGCACATATACGCGTCTCAGACGAACAGCGTTGAGCGGGTTTTTTAGCGGTATGCGAGGCAAAATCTTGGCGATAAAATGTAGCGGTATGCGGATTTAACGTTATGTGATGCCAACGGTATGTGGGGGTCCACTGTATATGCATTTTTTAGGCCTAACTCCATTGCTCACTTAATAATGTAAGCTTGTTATCAGGCTTTTATATGCATTTGAACATGAAAAAAGGCTATATTTCACTTTACAGCAATTTTTGCTTTGCAGTAGTAGCCTGGAACCTAACCTGCTGTGTAAGCAGGGCTCTCCTGTACAGCAGTAGCCTGGAACCTAACCTGCTGTGTAAGCAGGGCCCTCCTGTACAGCAGTATCCCGGAACCTAACCTGCTGTATAAATGGGGTTCTCCTGTAGATATCTGCTAGTAGCAGGTTGAATAGCTGAGACCATGAGATGCTGATAGTGTTTTCTTATTGTGCTAATAATCCCCCTGTCTTTCACTGGGTTTATTTTACACTTTCTTCCGTGATGGTGGACTCAGTTAGCACCAAAGTTAGCACACATTTTCATGAACCTATTTTTCAGATCATGGGATCATTGAACTTGGTAGTTCCTCTTATTATGTGGGGTCGTGAGGCCCCCACCCACGACATCTCCTGCGTCCTCTTCACTCGCAGTTGCCGCACTATTGTTACAGGGTCCCGGGATGGTCAGATATGTGTTTGGGACTTTGATCCTCCCACTCTCAAGGTATGTCATGACAATGTAATGAACCCGAGTCCAGGATTAGCAGTAGCATTTAGAAGAAAATGGAAATTTATGTTAAATCTCTGTAGCCATTCAGCTTTCTTAAAATTTTATATGAAAAATGTACTCTCAGTACAAATACAGTGGAACCACGGTATACGACCTTAATTCATTCCAGAAGGCTGTTCGAGTGACACTCTGTTTGAGTATCGAACAAGTTCTTCCCAGCCAATTTTCTTTTTGGTTGGCTGTTATCACTAATCGTCATAGGCCCCATGGTGACTTATTTATATAATAAAACAATAAAACAAATAATACAATAAAACAAAAAAAAAACACCAAAAAATGCGGAGAAACATGAAATAGGTTACAGCGAAGTTCTGGCAGGCCATATTTGTTTGGTCGAGTGCAGAGCTTTGTTCGAGTAGGGAGTTGGTCATATACCGAGGTTTCACTGCATTTTCTACTGTGTTCAGCAGTGACTAACATTGTTCATTAGTGGTCAATTAATCCTTTTGCTAAAGTGTTTTTTTTTTATACTTGTATATTTTTCAATGCACTGGCCGTATCCCACTGAGGCAGGGTGACTTAAAAAGAAAAATGAAAGTTTCTTTTTTTAAGTTAGTAATGTATACAGGAGAAGGGGCTACTAGCCCCTTGATCTGGCATTTTAGCCGCCTCTTATGACACTCGTGGAGATTTTTGTACGTGTGATTTCTAAAAAATTGATGAGGTTCTTGGCTAATTAAATCATTTATTTCTCCCTATAGTTGACGCCTCGTTGCCTTTTGGTTGGTCATACAGCAAGTGTAATATGCCTTGCGCAAGGCGGACATGGACGAGGCACTACCTTCATCGTTAGCTCCTCAGAAAATGGGTTAGTGCTAAATTGCTGATTACTTTGTTTTAGTGGTTAGGTAAATATTTTTATTGAAATTATTGAATATCCTTGTCAGATAAAAGTAATTTCTGCAACATATTTTGTCATACTTTAGCAAGTACTGTGGTTTTTTACATGGGAAATTTTGAGATACCTGGAGGGAATTTTGGGGGTCAGTGCCCTCACAGTCTGGTCCATGATCATGACTATCACTTGTGAAAAATATATATAGTATGGTATAGTTGAATCTTGTCAGGAACAAGGTACTCTTTGCTTATCAAGGTCCTCATAATCAAGAATAAAGATAAATGATATGTAATATCAGATTATACCTCATTGCAATGTGTACCAGGTAACATTCATTTTACTTGCACATTTGCAGTGTTGCTGGACAGAATCCTGCCTGCTTTTAGACATACTTTGCAGATCTGTAATGTAAATTGTAAAGCTGTTCAGTATCCTTTTTTTATGCTAGTTTGTACATTTATGCATTAATTCGTGCAAGTATACTACACATTTCATACATGATAAAATGTGCAGGCATGCGTATTATATAAATTTATGCATGCAACTACATGACTATACATACATGTACTGCATAAAGTCATACATGCATGCTTAATGAGCTCAACATATACATGCACAATACTGTGGTTTCTTTTTTGCATTACTTTGTTTACTATAAGTGTTTTTCAGTTGCTCTCGATTCTACCAAACAGACAAGTGTATCGCTTCTCTTATCCCTTCATTCTGTAATGTGCTGACATAGTGTTGTCTTCAACAGAGAAATGTGTAAATGGGACCTCAGAGATGGACGTTGTGTTGAGGTCCTCAAATCCTCCAACATTCACTCATCCATGACAGTAAGTTTTAGCACATTTCTCTACCTTTGATATACCTTTGAGTTTTGAGTCTTAATACTCTCGGAGCTTGGCCATGGTCAAGGCTCGATATATTTTTTTTTTTTTTAATATTTCACGTAATTTAAAAACTCATATGAAAAGTCCATAAAAATTTATTATTGTTACAGATTTCGATGTTTCGGAGTATTTGGAGGTTGTCACGTAGCGATCTTGTTCTTATGAACACTGCTTGTACCTTCATATTAATGCCTGTTATGGTGATGGGCTCTTGTTAACGCAGTACAGTATTGCATGGCATATTGTTGCTGAATTATTGCCTAGTCACTGGCAGCCAGAAGAGCCACAATTAATGAGCAGAGGATCGAGCCTATGCCATTCCTTGCATTGGCCTATGGCTGGGCTCTGGGAGTAGAAAAACTCTAAGAACTCATCGAAGGTCAACGGTAGGGATTTTACATTTCCTGATAAATATTCTAATACAGGTAATATTAAGCTTAGGGCCTGGTCTGAATTGATTGACAATTTTATTCCTTAAAATATCCAACATTAGTTGGGTTTATTTTGAGGAAATAGGGATTTTTTTGGAAATAGGGTTTTGTGGTAATGGAATTTATTTTGTGGAAATGGGGTTTATTTTGTGGAACTAGTAAGAGACAAACTAACAAAATCCAACATAACTAGCCTAAAATAACCTAACAGAACTTAACCTCACCTTCCACCAGCGGTGAAAATGGGAACGGCACTTTGTTTCTCCATGGGGAGGTGGAACAGAATCCTTCCTCTGTAAACCATGAGTGTCATAAGAGGTGACTAAGATGCCAGGAGCAAGGGGCTAGTAACCCCTTCTCTTGTATACATTAGTAAATGTAAAAAGAAGAAAAGCTTTTGTTTTTTCTTTTCCAGGTCACACTTTTTTGGTTGGAGACAGCTGGTGTGTTAAAAAATAAAACTTTTATTTTCATTTGATTTGTGGCTGTGATTAACCCTTACACTGTCCAAGCATAGATCCACATTTGCACGCATAGCGCTCCGACCTTGATCTCCATAAGAAACAGTGTAAAAAAAACGTAGATCTACGTTCGGAGCACTACGCGAGCAAACGTAGATCTACGTTTGGGCAGTTTAACCCTTTGAGGGTTTCAGCCGTACTAGTATGGCTTACAACCCAGGGTTTTTGACGTACTAGTACGCCTAAATTCTAGCGCCCTCAAATCTAATGGGAGAAAGCTGGTAGGCCTACATATGAAAGAATGGGTCTATGTTGTCAGTGTGCACAGTATAAAAAAAATCTTGCAGCACACAGTGCATATTGAGAAAAAAAAAACTTTGACCGTTTTTTTGGAATAAAACAACGACTTTGCACTGTATTTTCGTATGGTATTTATTGTTGTATTCTAGTTTTCTTGGTCTCATTTTATAGAATGGAAGACATATTACAGAAATTGAGATAATTTTGACTGGTTTTACAATGAAAAGTACCTTGAAATTGAGCTCAAAGTAGCAGAAATGTTCGATTTTTACCAAAGTTCAAAAGTAAACAAATCATGCCAAGCGTCCAATACACGTCAACTGGTGAGTCTAATATTCTTTTGCAAGTGCGCCAATATTATTTATACCATTTTTTACACTAATGCAGTAGTCTGCATAACAATAAATCTTCTATTTTTTGTGAGAATAAAAATTCAAAGTGGAAAGCAAAAGAATATAAGAGGGGCCTTGAGACGTGACTAATGAACAGAGGAAATGTCATTTTAGTGCCAGGAATGTTTTTCTTGTTTATTCTGGACCCTATTCGGAAATTGGCATCTTTTGAAATTTGTGTGAAATTGGCAAAATTGCTAAATTCTGACCACTGTATTGGATAGTTGAAATTGATAAATAGGTGGTTTCTTGCACTCATTTGATAGAAAAAATGGAGTTCTAGCAAAATATTCATGTTTTTTGTCGACTAGTACAGTGGAATTGGCTGAAAATGGGGCTCAAAGTGGGCAAAATCGCCGCTGCGTAAACATCGTCGAGACTAACTTCACAAGAGTATAATTCCGTAAGTTTTCCATCAAATTTCAAACTTTTGGTGTCATTATGATCGGGAAAAGATTCTCTATCTTTTCATAAGAGAAAATTATTTTTTTTTTTTTTAAATTTGGCCGACCCTGAGAACGAGTCTCGGAGAGGGCTTGTCAACCCTCAAAGGGTTAAGGGTTAACTAGGCACATGACTCAATTGGGGTTAAGCCAGTACCCAAATCTTTGCCGATACTCAATTTTAGGCTGATACCGATACCCTCAAAATTAACCAGTAATGACTGTTACCGATACTTTGGTATATTCCTGGGCTCAGTAATAATCTTCGATTGACTCTGATGTGCCACTCATGTCAAAATACATGTATTTTGGAATGACGTATCTTGGAACGTATCCACGCAGATATGGGGGACTACCATGTAGTATTTTTTTTTAACGTGTTGATCATTTCCCACTTAGGCAGGGTGACCCAAAAAGAAAGAAAATACTTTCACCATTCAACACTTTCACCATCACTCATACATAATCACTGTCTTTGCAGAGACTACCATACAGTGGACCCTCGGTTTTTGTGTTTAATCCGTTCCAGAGCCATTGGCCAAAACCGAAATTGGCCAAAACCGAAACCATTTTCCTTATAAGAAACAATGTGAATGGAATTAATCTGTTTCAGACACCCAGAAGTATCAACAAAAAAATTTTTTTTACCTTAAATATACATTTACATGCACAAAAGAATGAACATTAAACATGACACTTACCTTTATTGAAGACTGTTGTTGCTGGAAGGAAGACAGAGAGGACAGGAGAGTGAAGAGAGTTTATTCTTTGGAAAGGAAATCCCCCTTCATAAGGACTGTAGGTACCAAGTCCTTATCCGGGGTCATTTCCTTCCTTTGTTTTTTACTGTCACTAGGACCAGCTTGAGAGTCACTGGACCCCTGTCACACAAAATATCTGTCCAGATACGTCTGTTCCTGGCGTCTCTTTAAGATTTGCCTAAAATGGGACATAGCATTGTCATTGCAAAAGTCGCCAGCATGGATTGCAACAGCTTTCTCAGGGTGATGTTGCTCCACAAATGACTGCACTCTAGTCCACATTGCACAAATCTCCTTAATCTCTGAAGAAGGCACCTTCTTTCATCTCTCTTCCTCCTCCTCTGCAACAGTTTCTTGTGCTGTGGTCTGTTGCTGTTGCCGATGAAGCTCTTGCAGCTCATCAGTGGTTAGCTCTTCATTGTGGTCCCCCACCAACTCTTCCACATCCTCGCCACTCACATCCAACCCAGTGGAATTCCTCAATGCCACAGTTGATTGCATAACAGGTGTAGGGTTGACAGGGTCAGCCTCAAACCCTTCAAAATCCTTCTTTTGGACACACTCTGGCCACAATTTTCCCCAAGCAGAGTTCATCGTCCTGGAAGTCACTCCCTGCCAACCCTTATCTATAAGGCCTATGCAGTGGAAGATATTGAAGTGATTCTTCCAGAACTCTCTTAGGGTGAATTCAGAATCTGAGGTTTTGTCAAAGCACCTTTGAAACATTGTTTTGGTGTACAGTTTTTTTGAAGTTTGCAATGATCTGTTGGTCCATGGGCTGGACGAGAGGAGTGGTGTTAGGAGGCAAGAAATTCACTGTTACAAATCTGAATTCCTTAGACAATTGGTCTTCCAAGTCTGGAGGATGAGCAGGAGCATTGTCCATTAACAGGAGGCACTGGAGTGGAAATTTATTATCCAGGAGGTATTTTTTCACACTGGGGCCAAATACTTCATTAAACCATTCCAGAAAAATTTCCCTGGTGACCCATGCCCTACTGTTAGTCTTCCATATCACACACAGTTTACTCTTGGCAACACTGTTTTTCTTGAATACACTGGGATTTTCAGAGTGATATACCAGTAAAGGCTTCACTTTGAAATCCTCACTGGCATTACTACAAAACATGAGAGTTAGCCTGTCTTTCATAGGCTTGTGTCCTGGGAGTGCCTTTTCCTCCTGCATGATGTAGGTCCTCTTTGGCATTTTCTTCCAAAACAGGCCTGTTTCATCACAATTGAACACTTGTTGGGGTTAGAATTTTTCAGACTCTACACAACATTTGAATTCCCACACGAATTTTTCAGCTGCTTGTTTGTCTGAACTGGCACGCTCACCGTGCCTTACAACACTGTGTGTGCCTCTTTGCTTCTTGAATTTTTCAATCCAGCCTTTGCTGGCCTTGAGTTCACCTTCATCACCACTTGTTTCAGGCAGTTTCTTTATGAGATCCTCATGCAACTGCCCTGCCTTTTCACAAATAATGGACTGCACAACACTATCTCCTGCTAACTCTCTCTCTCTGATCCACACCAACAACAATTTCTCCACTTCTTCATTTGTTTGGGATCTCCGTTTGGTTATTGCATTCACCCCTTTTGCAACATCAGTTTCCATGATTCTTTTCTCTTTATCACAATGGAGCTGATTGTTGATGGTGACTTCCCGTACATCCTGCCGAGTTCAGCAATGCGTATGCCACTATCGTATTTGCTTAGGATTTCTTTTTTCAGTTCTTTGGTGTTCCTCACTTTCTTTACCAAAGCACTGGCACTAGGAGCTTTCTTTGGGGCCAAGGTCTCTTATTTAGCAGTCACACACGATAAATAAGTGGCAAAGACAATGGATTATTACATATGACCTGGCAGGATATGTTCACTCACCGAGAAACAACACTACACTGGCTGAGAATGCGTGTGGGAGGTGGCTTTTTCTGCGTGCTGGGCACTGGACAGGTTCCGTATGATCGACAAAAACAGAAGCCAAAAATTGACGAAAAAAATCGGCGATAACGGAGATCAACGAAAACTGAGGGTCCACTGTACATTTATGATAGCTTAAATACTGAAGGGCCCTTGTAAACTTAACTGCTCTTGTAATTATCAATAGGTTAATATTAGTAGGTAAATATACATAAATTGGTTCTTAGTATTCCTTACACAATTTACCCTTAATTTTTATTTGGGGTATGTAATCTAATAGGATAATTGTGTTTAGACCTTGACAGATTTGTGATGCTATTGGTTAGATTATTCATCAATTTTATCTTAAAGCAAGTGTTCTTCTTTTAGGCCTACCAGATGCTGAATGTGAGTGATGTACGATTGTTCTGCGTTGGCAACTACCCTGAAATTCTCATATATGATCCCCACACCTTGGATATCCTTTTCTCCTTGGCTGCTCGTATCCAGCCTGATTGGATATCCGCACTTCACATCCTACGCCCACCGAGAAGAAATGGTAAAATGATTAAGGAAGTTGTGCGTTTGTTTCCTTCTCTTGAGGCTTTTTGAAGGAAAATTTTTTTTTTTTTAACGCCGGCCATCTCCCGCTGAGGCAGGTGACCAGAAAAAGAAGAAACGCTTTCGTAAAGACTTTCTTGTTTTACATATAGACATTCCATGGAGAAGTGGAAAAGAATCCTTCCTCTGTAAACCATGCGTATCATAAAAAGTGACTAAAAGTAAACCATACCACAGTGGGGATAGAACCCACGGTCAGAGAGTCATAAAATTCCAGACCGACGCATTAGCCACTGGGCCAGCTGACTACAACAAGATTCATCCATCAAAATGGTATACAATACTGACAGGTTGGTAGATAAGACACATAGGCAACAGTTAGGCAACTTTATTCCGAAACGTTTCGCCTATACAGTAGGCTTCTTCAGTCGAATACAGAAAGTAGACAGGAACAGTAGAGATGTGAAGACGATGTAATCAGTCCATCACCCTTGAAGTCGTAGAATTTGAGGTTGTCAGTCCCTCAGCCTGGAGAAGTTCAGTTCCATAGTCAGGAACTATCTGAAGATCAAGCGACAGTGCGGAGACTTAAATACTGTCAGAAGGAGAGGTGCAGAGTAGTAGTAGTAGTGAGAATGTAGCCACTGAGAGGTCAGGTCCCTCTCAGATCCAACTGTTCTCACTTGAAAGGGTTGTCCAAGGTGTTTTCTGTGCCAAGATGCCATGTGTTGCAGTGTCTGACAAGATGAACATCAAAATGGTATACAATACCAACAGGTTGGTAGGTAATACACATAGGCAACAGTTAGGCAACTTTATTCCGAAACGTTTCGCCTACACAGTAGGCTTCTTCAGTCGAATACAGAAAGTAGGCAGGAACAGTAGAGATGTGAAGACGATGTAATCAGTCCATCACCCTTGAAGTCGTAGAATTTGAGGTTGTCAGTCCCTCAGCCTGGAGAAGTTCAGTTCCATAGTCAGGAACTATCTGAAGATCAGCCCAACCCTTTCAAGTGAGAACTGTTGGATCTGAGAGGGACCTGACCTCTCAATGGCTACATTCTCACTACTACTACTACTCTGCACCTCTCCTTCCGACAGTATTTAAGTCTCCGCACTGTCGCTTGATCTTCAGATAGTTCCTGACTATGGAACTGAACTTCTCCAGGCTGAGGGACTGACAACCTCAAATTCTACGACTTCAAGGGTGATGGACTGATTACATCGTCTTCACATCTCTACTGTTCCTGCCTACTTTCTGTATTCAACTGAAGAAGCCTACTGTGTAGGCGAAACGTTTCGAAATAAAGTTGCCTAACTGTTGCCTATGTGTCTTACCTACCAAGATTCATCCAACTAGGTATATTTATACACAATAGGAAGATTAGCATAGGCACAACTGTGACCTATGTTAACCTTCCTATGGTGTATAAATATACACGTACAGTCGACCCTCAAATTTCATCATCCCTTTTCTGTATGTAAAAACTATAGTTTTTTTTTTTTTTAACAAGTTGGCCGTCTCAACCAAGGCAGGGTGACCCACCGAGGCAGGGTGACCCACCGAGGCAGGGTGACCCACTGAGGCAGGGTGACCCACCGAGGCAGGGTGACCCACCGAGGCAGGGTGACCCAAAAAGAAAGAAAATCCCCAAAAAGAAAAGACTTTCATCATCATTCAACACTTTCACCTCACTCACACATAATCAGTTTTTGCAGAGGTGCTCAGAATACAACAGTTTAGAAGCATATATGTATAAAGATACACAATATATCCCTCCAAACTGTCAATATCACAAACCCCTCCTTTAGAGTGCAGGCATTGTACTTCCCATTTCCAGTACTCAAGTCCAGCTATATAAAAATAACCAGTTTCCCTGAATCCCTTCACTAAATATTACCCTGCTCACACTCCAACAGCTCGTCAGGTCCCAAATACCATTCGTCTCCATTCACTCCTATCTAACACACTCACGCATCCTTGCTGGAAGTCCAAGCCCCTCGCCCACAAAACCTTCACCGCCTCCCTCCAACCTTTTTGAGGATGACCCCCTACCCCGCCTTCCTTCCCTTACAGATTTATACGCTCTCCATTTCATTCTACTTTGATCCATTCTCTCTCAATGACCAAACCACCTCAACAACCCCTCTTCAGCCCTCTGGCTAATACTTTTATTAACTAAACACCTTCTCCTCATTTCCACACTCTGAATTTTCTGCATAATATTTACATCACACATTGCCCTTATGACATCTCCACCACCTCTAACCACCTCCTCGCTGCAGCATTTACAACCCAAGCTTCACACCCATATAAGAGTGTTGGTACCATTATACTTTCATGCATTCCCTTCTTTGCCTCTATAGATAATGTTTTTTTATCTCCACATATACCTCAATGCACCACTCACCTTTTTTCCTTCAATTCTATGATTAACCTCATCCTTCATACATCCATCCACTGGCACATCAACTCCCAAATATCTGAAAACATTCACTTCTTCCATACTCCTCCTCTCCAATTTGATATCCAATTTTTCTTTATCTAAATCATTTGATACCCTCATCACCTTACTCTTTTCTATCTTCACTTTCAACTTACTACCTTTGTACACACTATACTATTCTCTATAATTTTTTTTTTTTTTTTTTTTGATAATATTTTTGGGTGTCTGAAATGGATTAATTGGATTTACATTATTTCTTATTTCTTAATTGGATGAATCTTATTGTAGCCAGCTGGCCTAGTGGCTAATGCATTGGTCTGGAGTTTTATGACTGATCGCGGGTTCTATCTCTGCCCGTGGTATGGTTTGTTTGCAATCATGCCATTACGATCTTGTGAATTTAGGTGAGCAAGGGGCTAGTAACCCCTTCTCCTATATAAATTACTAAATGTGAAAGGGTTGCCTTGCCTCAGCGGGAAACAGCTGATGTGCTAAAAAAATAATATACAAAATGTAAGAAACTTATGAGGGTCTGTCCGGGAGTTGAACTCAGGACCTCTCACACCCTAAGTGAGAATTGTACCACTAGACCAACAGGTTGCTTTAAGGGGAAGGTACTGTAATTACAAGGTAGATGATAGGTTTGCATAGTCTGGTAAATGCCTTTTAAATGTTTTGCTCTCTGGCAAGATTGGTGGAATTTTCTATTGTCCCATGAACAAGTAAGATGGAAGGAAAATCTTACAAACTTATATTCAGTTCACATTTTTGTTTTTCCCTGCATTTCTTAAATCTTTATTCCTTTTATTTTTTATTTCCCAATTAAAGAGGCCTGGACTGAGAGCTGGCCATTGTGTTGATGATCCCTAGGACTTCTAATACATATAAGAGATATAATAGATATACAGTAATTTATGGAGGTTTTTATTATACTTGTATTAGGAGAGAGGTTTAATTAAAAACTTTAAAGGAAATGTGCATATCCTTCACACTGTATTAGAGATTTACATAAATGCTGTACAATACCAACAAGGTGAAGAATTAGACACATGTGCAACATCTGGGTTTCTTTATTTGTAGATGTCTGCAAATAGATACTTTTGCATTAGAGATGCTGTTTTATTTAGTTAAGTTATTGTAATTTAATTATATTGAGCAGATACTTTGCATGACTTCCTTTAAGAAAGATAATCATGCAGATTATCTGCTTAATATAATAATCTTTAGAGTATGATATGTTGTCAAGATTAATCACACGGTGCACATGACAGTGATCAAGTTGCTAAGCATTCTTTTCTATTCCTTGCACACAGATGAGGTTGTGCTAGGAGTAACAACAGGTGGTTGGGTCAAGGTATGGACGGTTAGTGAGAGAGAGGTGAGGCCTAGGGAGCCAATATACGAACATGAGGCCAAAATGATCCATTCCCTGAATGCTCTATGCCTGGTGTGCTGCACTTACAATCAGAGGACTGTCCTTATTGTCTCACAAGATGATTGGCAGGTGAGTGATGGGCTTGTCGCTTCATTGTATGGTAAGATACTACAGCAGTAGACTGGAACATAACCTGCTGTATAAGCAGGGCCCTCCTGTACAGCAGTGGCCTGGAACATAACCTGCTGTATAAGCAGGGCCCTCCTGTACAGCAGTGGCCTGGAACATAACCTGCTGTATAAGCAGGGCCCTCCTGTACAGCAGTGGCCTGGAACATAACCTGCTGTATAAGCAGGGCCCTCCTGTACAGCAGTGGCCTGGAACCTAATGTGCTCTATAAGTGGGGCCTTACGAACTGCACCATTGAACTGAAATGTCAAAGATCTGTCAGTTTTGTAATTTGATGTTTGTTTTTTCAACCTCTGCCCTACTTAAGACTTTTCTTCATCACTGGGGTTTAGCAGCAGTTTGAGGGAAGCAGGGAATTTGATGCTTATTTTGGACAGTTACTGCTGTGCTTGGATCAAACACCCCACCACCTGTGCTACCCAAGGTGGTGTAGGAGTTAGCATGGGACTTTTAGAATGCATTTTTACCTTGCTTTAAGACTTGCTGTTCTTATATTTCTCAATGATGAAGTGAGTGATGATGAAAATGTTTCTTCTTTTCTTGGGTCACCTTGCCTTAGTGGGAAATGGCCAGTGTTTAAAAAAAAAAAAATTCTTTGTCACTAGCATGCACCTACTGTGCATGCTAGTGACTGTGGTAGGCAAGATACGTACATGCATGTGTAGCGTGATTTAATTGTAAGTAAAAGTAGAAAGATATACCTTTTATCTTCATGTTTATGAGATGTAAAAAAGACACCAGGAATTCTACCATCGTGTAAAACAGTTACAAGCAGGTTGCCAGTACAGTGGGCCCTCAGCTAATGAACGCATCGCATAACGTTAAATCCGCCCAATGAAGAGTTTGAGCATAAAAATTTTGGCCTGGCTAACGATAAAAAACTTGCCCAACATGATTCGTCCCGAACCTGTCTGTCCAGCCTGAGTGCCTCAGCTGCCCTGCCGTCATTGTTTACAAGCCAGGGTGGCCAGTTTCATGCATACATTCGATACATTTTGTATTATTGCATTGTATATAGTGCTTGTAACTGCTAAATAAGCCACCATGGGCCCAAAGAAAGCTTCTAGTGCCAACCCTGTGGTAAAAAGGGTGAGAAATACTATCGAAATACTATCGTACCACGGTCAGCTACTGCTGCACCACTGTCAGCTGTTGCTGCACCACTGTCTGCTGTACTACTCGAAGATGTGGAGAGACTGTTGTTGGTGTAGCTTAATGAGAAACAATTAATCCCAGATGGCTAGTCACCCGGGATAACCCAAGAAAGTCAGTGAGTCATCGAGGACTGTCTAACTTATTTCCATTGGGGTCCTTAATCTTGTTCCCCAGGATGCAACCCACACCAGTCGACTAACACCCAGGCGAACAGGAAAAAATGCCTGGAACTAATTCCAACCCCAACAAGTGTTCAATTGTGACAAAACAAGCCTGTTCTGGAAGAAAATGCCAAACAGGACCTACATTACTCAGGAGGAAAAGGCAATCCCAGGACACAAGCCTATGAAAGACAGGCTAACTTTCTTGTTTATTTGTAATGCTAGTGGGGATTGCAAAGTGAAGCCTTTACTCATGTATTACTCAGAAAATCCTAGAGTGTTCAAGAAAAACAAAGTCTCATTACTCATCAATACTCTTCAATAAAGTAAGTGTCATTTTAACATTTATTTAAATAGTTATTGTGCATGTTTCATTCCTTTCTTTGTAGGGAAATGTATGCATGTATTTCATAAAAAAAAACAAATTTTTTTAATACTTTTGGCTGTCTGGAATGGATTAATTGGATTTCCATTATTTCTTTTGGGGAAAATTAATTCGGCTGACGATAATTTCGTCTAACGATGAGCTCTCAGGAACGGATTAATATCATTAGCCGAGGGTCCACTGTATAAGAATTTTTGGGGCAAATGCCAAAAATTTTAAAAGTTCTGGAAAGTTCCTGGTCTCAGCATATCCAGTTCACTGTAGCACAGCTTTGGTATGTAAAATTTAAAGGGGAGTTATTTGAATCTGGTAGTATACTTTATTTTAAACCACAGTGTGTGCAGGATTGCGTATTTTTCAGATATACGATGCTGGAGATTTTTCTCAGTTGTGTCGTGTTGGAGTGACTGTTGGGGAGAGATGGATGGGTGGAGACTTCCTGGCTGCTGACCGTGTCATAGTATGGACTGATATGGGCCAAGCTTATATTTACAAACTACCTACAAAGTAAGTAACCTGAAGTTTATTTTGCTCGGTTTACGTGTGTGTAGTCTCTAGGGATAATTGTATTTATTATTACATTTTTCTGCACTGTAATCCATGTTGAGCATTGTTAAGTTGTGAGCTAGCAGTAGTTTAACTTATCTAGCACAAAGGCAGCTTTATATAATGTTTCTATGTAGCTTTGCTACCCCCTTAAAAAAACAGAATAAACCAGGTGACAAAATCATAATCTGGATATGAACAGTTAGAGGAGGTGATGTCACTTCCTGGGTACTGACGCCTTATGCATCAGATAGTGAATATATTACTGTTAATTTACATAAACACAGTTAATATACTGCTACATAGTTATAATTTTGTATAGTGAGTTCTGTAAGTAATAGTGAGATATATTTGACTTTGAAGGTCTTTAAGAATCAGTAGAGAAGTATTGTAACCTTTAATGAGTATATTGCATAAGGGAAAAGCTATCACATAGCGTAAAAGACTGCTTTATAGTCTATATTAGCAGTCTGTTAGTGTGTGGCTAGGTCAGGTTAATTATTAAGGTACTACTGCAATATATTCCATAGTAAATATATACATGAATAGTATAGGAGGGCCCCACTTATACAGCAGGTTAGGTTCCAGGCTACTGCTGTAAAGCAAAGATTGCTGTAAAGTGAAACATCCTTTTTTCAGTTTCAGTTGCATATAAAAGCCTGATAACATGTTTATACTATCATATTTTAAGTGAGCCAGGTCTAAAAAAAAATGCATATACAGTACACGCACTACTTTCCGTAAAATATTTTTGTCCTTAGATTATAGTGAGTGGTGAATATATTTATTGTACGAATTCTGAGTAAAGGAAGAATGGGTATAATTTAAAACCACTGTATTAGCAAAACAATGTAAACTGAAGCGCCATGAAGTGGGGCCTGCCTGTACTAATAGTGTTAGCAGTGTGTCAGTGTTGTGTGTATGGTGCAGATACCTTGAAGGAAGAGTACTGTATAGTGTAGTGGTCAGACCGTTCAAGGGAAGGGGTGCCTGAATGCTGGTTTATGATTCTTGACCCAAGGAATTAGAGCTACCCTCCCTTTATGGGATGGTATCTGATTACCTCCCATTCCCCAGATGCTGATATAACCCTTCATCATTTAGTGCTACCCCATGACTATAATAATTTATTGGCACTAGCAGTGATATTAAGTTACAAAGTAAGGTAGAGGAATACACTACAGTATATATGTACAGTCAGGGGTAAATCTACATTTCTGGGGCCCTAAAGCTTGAACTGTTATGGGGGTCCCCTTCACAACCCCTTCTCATACAGTAGACCAAAAATTTTTAAGCAATGTGGACTAAAGTGGCTTCTGGGGCCCCTCTGGGATTAGGGGCCCTGAAGCTTAAGCTTCGCTAGTTTCATAGTAGATCTGCCCCTGTGTACAGTGTTTCTTCTTTCAACAAACCGGCCACATCCCACTGAGGTTGGGTGGCCCGAAAAGAAAAACGAAAGTTGTGTACAGTACATAAAAGCAAAGTGAATCATACAGTTAGAATAAAATTAATCTGAGAAAAGAATGAATGTTCAATGTAGTTGATTCAGTAGAAGTAAATACTATATTTTACTGTATTCATATTGATTTCTTGAATGAAATGAAAGCAGATATGTAAATAATTCATCAGTGCTGAGCAGCACTAAATATCCTGTGCTTCCCTGGAGAGAGAGAGAGAGAGAGAGGAGACAGAACATTGAGCCAGTAAATGATGAGAGGATTGTTAGATAAGGGCATGAGTCATTAAATAAGAACATAAAGGTTTTTTATTTTTATTTTTAGTAATTTATACAGGAGAAGGGGTTACCAGCCCATTGCTCCCGGCTTTTTTGGTCGCATCTTATGACTTGGATGCCTTGGTGGGAAATGTCCTGTGTGTTATGAAAAGAAAAGGGCTCTGTAGGAGGCCTACTGGGTCATTCTAGACAGGTCCAGATAGCAATGAATGGCTAGTTAGTAACCCACACATGGCTGTGGAATGCAAACACATGGTTCCTCTAACAGAACTTTTTTTTTAACTGTTTCATACTGCAGCAGGGTGACCCGAAAAAAGAAACACTTTCACCATCAATCATGCTATCACTGTCTTGCCAGGGGTGTGCAAATATGACAGTTTAGATGTCCCTCTAAACAGCAAATATCCCAGACCCCTCCTTTAGAGTGCATGCACTGTACTTCCCAGGACTCAGCTCTGGCTAACAGAACATGTATCCAGACTAAATAAAAATCGCTATAAACCCTGTGTGTATAAAGAACACAAAACAGTATTTTTGTTTTTTATAAAGTGGTGTGGAGAAACTTTCTGTAGATATTACATCTTATGATGTAATATTTGTTTATGGGGTGGGATGAGAGGCCAGTGGAAGGTCTCAGTCATATAACCAAAAGCTTTACTGTGAGGGTCATTATATGACCAGTACTTCCATGGTCAGTCTGGTATCATTACTGATCATTGTCTCCAATGGAAATAAATGATACTTCTGTACTAAGACCAGTGACAGGATGTATTTTCCCCCAGTTTTCCTGACAGAATACCACCACCATCACCACTATCACCATCACTACCATCACCACCATCACCACCATCACCACCATCACCATCATCACCACCATCACCATCATCACCACCATCACCATCATCACCACCACCATCATCACCACCACCACCACCATCATGACCACCGCCACCATCACCGCCACTGCCACCACACACAATATCAGCACACCATCACCACCACCATCACACACCACCATCACCACACCACCACCACCACCACCACCACCATCACCACCACCATCACCACCACCATCACCACCACCATCACCACCACCATCACCACCACCACCACCACCATCACCACCACACCACTCACCACCACCATCACCACACATCACCACCACCATCACCACCACCTCACCACCACCATCACCACCACATCCTCACCACCACCATCCCACCACCTCACCACCACCATCACCACCACCATCACCAACCACCACATCACCACCCAACACACACACCACCATCACCACCACCATCACCACCACCCCACCACACCACCACACACCACCACACCACCACCATCACCACCACCACACACCACCTCACCCACCACCATCACCACCACACCACCACCACCACCATCACCACCCACCCACCACACACACCACACACCACACCACACCACACCACCACCACACCACCACCCACCACCACCACCACCACCACCACCACCCCAACACCACCCCACCCACCACCACCCCACCACCACCACACCCACCACCACCACCACCCACCACCACCACCACACCACCCACCATCCACCACCACCCACCACCACCCCACACCACCACCACCACCACCACCACCCACCACCCACCACCACCCACCACCACCACCACCACCACCCACCACCACCACCACCACCACCACCACCCCCACCACCACCACCACCACCACCACCACCACCACCACCCCACCACCACCACCACCACCACCACCACCACCACCACCACCACCACCACCACCCCACCACCACCACCACCACCACCACCACCACCACCACCACCCACCACCACCACCACCACCACCACCACCACCACCACCACCACCACCACCACCACCACCCCCACCACCACCACCACCACCACCACCACCCCACCACCACCACCACCACCCACACACCACCACACCCACCACCACCACCACCACCACCACCACCAACCACCCACCACCACCACCACCACCACCACCACCCCACACCACCACACACCACCACCACCACCACCACCACCCACACACCACCACCACCACCACCACCACCACCACACCCCACACCACCACCACCACCACCACCACCACCACCACCACCACACACCACCACCACCACCACCACCACCACCACCAACCACCACCACCACCACCACCACCACCACCACCACCACACACCACCACCACCACCACCACCACCACCACCACCACCACCACCACCACCAACCACCCACCCACCACCACCACCACCACCCACACCACCACCACACCACACCACCACCACCACCACCACCACCACCACCCACCACCACCACCACCACCACCCACCACCACCACCACCACCACCACCACACCACCACCACCACCACCACCAACCACCACCACACCACCACCACCACCACCACCACCAAACCACCACCACACCACCACCACCCACCACCCCCCACCACCACCACCACCACCACCACCACCACCACCACCAACCACCCCCACCACCACCACCACCCACCACCACCACACACCACCACCACCACCCCAACCCACACCACCCCCACACCACCCACCACCACCACCACCACCACCAACCACCACCACCACCACCACCACCCACCACCACCACCACCACCACCACCACCACCACTACCACCACTACACTACTACTACTACTACTACTACTACTACTACTACTGCTGGTATATACAATACATATAAATTTACATGCTTACAATACCAATGTGTTGTAGGAAAACACTTTACATATGTACTCTTCCCGCATATTAACTTGCAATATATTCATGCATTTTCACAATACAATACCTGCAATATTGCTATACAATATTTATATAGTGTACAGGTATTAGACATCTTTCCTTTTTTTTTTTTTTATTACTACAGAACTCGGTATAATTCTGTGTAATTTAGCAAAGCCCATCTTCTTTTTTTTTTTGTGACACTGGCATTATCCCACCGAGGAAGTGTGACCAAAAACGAAAAGCAAAAGTTTTTCTTTTTAAATTTTAGTAATTTATACTGGAGAAGGGGTTACTAAAACCTAATGTAGAAAATATAGTTCAAGCATTTAAGAGTTTCTCACAACTGGTTTAGTTTTTTATTGGATCTTCATATTTACACGAAGCGCTAAACCCATGTGGGTCGTTCAGCACAAGGCGGGGCAAAGACTAAATCCTCCGTCTGTTTATAGACTGAGGTTATACAGTAAGTCCTTGACTTACGAACACACTGAGAACCTTTTGTGTTGAATATCCATAATACAGGAAATCTTCAACCTATAATTATATACAATAATGATATAATAATGATATTATACACAATAATGATATTAATATTATACACACTACAGATTCTCAGCATGTTGGTAAGTCGAGGACTTGCTGTATTCTTCCTGGTTATTCTTCCCTGGCCCATGACTGGGCCCCAGAACTAGAAAGACTCTTGAAACATTGAAGGTATATCCCTGCGAAGCTTCTCGCATCTTCAGCCAGTTTAGTTAGTCTTGGTTTATGCGAACTTGGCTGTAATGTTATTAGGAAATAGAATAAACCCTTGATTTAACAAACAAAATTTGTTGAGTCACTTGATTCGGAAACAATGAAGAAAGTTTGTTGATTACAAAATTGTGGATTATTGTTACAATCATGGGTAAACAATCTCATCCATAGCCACTAAAGTCACCATTACTGGCCACCTTCTCCTCTCTGTTAGTAAGTTAAATAGACTATTCACTGTGTATATCAGGAAATGCATCTGTGCACCAATAGCAAGACAGTGTGAATGATGGTGAAAGTGTATCTTTTTTCTGGTCACCCTGCCTCTGTGGGAGACGGCCAGTGTGTTCAAAAGAAAAAAAATCAACAAATGTTTAACTCTTCATTCACACAAGTTGCAGTAAGTTAATTTACAATATTTCTACATTGTGTACAGTATATCAAAATATGTTTTATTTAAAAATGCATGTGCTCATTCTTAAGTGATAGCTAACTCACACATCACCTTTTACAGGTTATTGAAGGGCAAAGCAGTTA